TTTTGTGTTGGAAATTGAAAAACAAAAATATACACTTAACATAAAAGTTTTAACTGTTTGCGGATTTAGGTATGGAATTTAGTCCAATGAAAAAAATTGGCATTGTTTTAAAACAAGTTAAACTGAAAATTTATTCATTCAATGGAAATTTCTGAAGAAATAACTGCCTATTTACACCACTCTTTTCTCCTTTTTCAACAATTACTGCTCTCGAACAAGTTCAACTTTCCTTTACAGTTCCCCGAGTTTTTTTTCCGTATAACCTTTCTTCTTAATGACGAAAGTTTTTTTTTATGAAAAAAAATCCATTTTTAAGATTTGCGAAAATAGTTTCATTTCTTTTAATTTTAAGACAATAAATGTTTGCTCTCCTTGCTCTTGGGTAAAGTTCTAGACATTAATATACTATTCTTTTTTAGTCTTTTATTACTTTTTGGTACTTTTTGTTTTTTTATTATTTTTAGCAATTATCGTCTTTTATTGCTTTTTAGTACTTTTCCGTCTTTTATTATTTTTCATTATTTTTTGTTATAATTTTTTACCAGCACTATTATTACTATTGCTAATAACACTTTATTACTAGTTACAACTTTAAGCACTGCTTTTAAAATAAAAGGGAAGCAAAGTTTCATTGAACTCAAAAAAATTAATAATTTAGTAGTTTTTTCTCTATATTGGACATGAACTTCCCCCTTGGAATTCAAAGATTTCCACGCGAGTAAACACCCCTCTTTGATGTATTTCATATATTCTCCGAGCAAATGAAATATATGAAATAGTTCAAGATAATAAAATATTCATAAACATTCACTTATTTAATTTTTAACATCTAGGACAAAGCGAAATATTACAAAGTTTCTTCTTGCACAAGAAACGCAAGTAACACAAGAAACACAAGAATCGCACAAGTAGAGAGCATGTAAACTATTTTTGACTTTAAATACAGTTTATAACTAGGAAAAAATTTTTCCTTTCATTTCACATTCTATTTTCGTATATTACACTTTTTCGAAGAAAAACAATATTTTTTTACAAAAAAATTTGCGATAGAAAAGAATTAATTCCTCGAAGAAAATTAATAAATAACAGATCAAGATTAAGTATCGTTTTTTTTTTTAATTGTCCGAAGTTGGGGAGAAGAAAACCTCTGATAAAAAATGAAATTCCATAAAATAATTCTGATTATAGAGAATGGTAAAGAAGAGAGAATATGTTCGGAGATGCAATTTGAAGAAGATAGGGAGAGAGAAGAATGTAAAAAAAGTGGTATCACCTCGGAACTTCTATAACTCGATATATGTGAATGCAGCTTTAAAGAAGGCAGCATGGAGCCGACCGCGAAACATGCGGACAACGCCGGCTGCTGAAGCAAACAAACGTGTGGTGGTTGTACACATAGATGAGAGGGCGACTAACACGGACACTTCATATCACATACGATACACGGGGAAGAAGACTGGCTTCGCTTTTCTTGGAAGTTGTTTTTTCTCAATGTGTGTATATGTGTGTGACCCCCGTTCAAAAAATCAGACTCGATTTTTTATTTTGCCGATTATAAGTAGACTTGGACGGAAGCTGCACCCTATGAAAATGATCGCACCCTTCTGTTAATAAACCTCACACACGGAAGGACACTCGGTTCACTTGCTTGGCTTCACCGTCCGCACTACCTTTATTGCCACAAAAGGTTTAAAGCCCATTGTCTTATTTCTTTTCGTCCAGACCGCCGGGTCAATGCTCCAGGGCTGAAGGACGAAGTCGATGCCGATCGAGAAACTCGCGTGCAACGTTGTTGCCAATTCTAAAAACCCTTTCTTCAAATCAACAACTCTTTCTTCTCTTTCACTATTTCTCCTATTGACAAGTTTCTAGCAATTTATTTCCATTTTTTCACTTTCGTCAATTTTATAATTTTTTTCGATCAATCTTCTTTTCTCTAAAAATGCTCTTTACTTTAATATTCTCCACTTTAGTTTTTTTTTCTCAATTTTGTCTGAAACTATAACTATACCGAATCTTCAAAGGTAGAATCACTTTGTTCCGAAAATAAATAAATCGAATTATTCTTCTCTAGACTCAATAATTTTTTCTCTAGATTGAACAATTCTTTAATTTAACTCTCTGAAATTGAGATTCATGGAGTATTATAAAAAATTAGGAAAAAGAAAAATAATTAAAAATTTACTTTATGACAGTCTTGCCTTGATAAAAGTCTCCGCTTGATGAATATTGAAGAAAAAGGGCATGATTCTGAAATTGAAATCACAGTGCGGGATTCTTCACTGGGGCTAATTCCTGTCGGCTGCTGCGTCGTCACAACTCATTTGAATTTAATCGAAAGGTGCGAGAGGTTTGAGAATGTTGTCATGAGAAAGGCATGACGCATTCCTCTCGTACAGTAACAAAACACGTGCTTGATTCTTTGAAGTCACTCACAATAATTTAACAAAATCCCTCTTTTCCTCCAATTACAAGGCACTGTAAAATTGAAGAAAAAAAAACAATAACAAAAAAGAAAAAACCACGTTCAAGAATTAAACCGCGAACAGAGGGACAAGCTATAGACCTACCGCCTTGCCAAGACTCTCTGGAGGTTGCTCCGCTCGATCTTCTTTGAGAGAGGCGCCAAAGGAGAGGGAGAGACAAGCCTGACGTCAAGTCTCTGGTTGTCTCTCTTTGTCTGCCTATATTGCTCCGAGGGTGAATTGTACTTCTGAGTAGGCAAAAAAGAGACACACTATTGCACAGCACATATGCTCCGTATGACAACACACGTTTCTATATTGTGTCGAGGGGTGAACAGCACAACCTGAGGAAGAGTAAAAACTTTGCGTTAATAAAGCTAGGTTCTCGAATATGTCTGAAAGATTTATCAGGGTGAAGCTATAAGAATGGATAGCATTGGGGTTGCAAGGTACAATGGTGTGTAAAGACCACCTGGATACTATTTCCAATGATATTATATTACCATTTTATATCCAAGACAAATATACATATATATATACATATCAAAAACCGGATGAGTTTTTTCTTCTTTTTATAGTATCGAAAATTATCATAAACATTTTTTTCCGAACCATTCTTGGATAAAATATTTGTCATATATTCTTCAAAGAAAAAGAGAATTTAATATTTTCATTTTTAGCAAATGACGAAGACCTCAATCTATACAAGTGTATATCACGTTCGATTTTAATCTTTAATAGGACTTACACTCAAGTACAGGTGTCATTTAGTTTATAACTTTTTAAGGTCGGCATATTTTTTTGTAAAGGAAAATATTTTTATATATAAAAAATAAACATTATAATTAATAATCGTTTTTAGTACTGCATGCAAATAAATAATAAAATTAACAATAAAACAAACAAATAAATAAATATAAAATTTGTATATGTGAATATAAAATTATAAATTTATTATATATAATACATAAATAATAATTTATTATCAGTTACATAAACTGATTTCGATAAATATTGTCTTCAATAAAATGCCCTAACCCAATTATAGATTAAAATAGTCTAGAGACAGAACTAGACTATAACTCATTAAAAAATATTTTTATCCATCATTTCTAAATGTTCGTATTAGAATTCTTTTTTTATACCTATTTGTAGAAAACGAAATTTTAAAAAATCAGAAAACAATTAATTAATTATTTCTTAAACATTTGTTAAATATACACAATAAAAATAAAGCAACAAATTATTTTTTAAACATTTGTTAAATATTCACAACAAAAATAAAGCAACAAATTATTTCTTAAACATTTGTTAAATATACGCAACAAAAATAAAGCAACAAATAAAATAAAGAAAAGAAAGAGAATAAAATAAAAATTAAAAAAATGGTACCTTTCGGTAAAGCTAATGAAATATTTTGATTTTTCTATTCCAAAAAAAATAGTTTCAGAATAATGAAAATATGATTATTTAATAAATAAAAAATTTTTAAAATACCTAGCGGTGAAGCTAAATTTAATTTTTAATTTTTCCATTACAAAAAAAGAGCCGAGGAATAATAAAAATTTCTTCTCATAAATGGAAGAATAATTTAAAATTATCCGCCAAACTGAATGATGTCGTCAGATGGCACCAGTTTACAGCAACAAAATATATATTTTCTATTTTAAATTTAAAATTATTTGAAATTACCTATTCATTTTAAAAATATATACTTACGAAACATTTAGGAAACAAGATTTTTCCATTTCAATTTGCATCCAATACCTTGGAATGTCTTAGTTTTGGACCAAGGTCCATAAAAAAATGATTCTTCTTTTTCGAAAGATTCAATCTGCCATTTGCTTCACAGGGACGCATGCACTATTGAGACCTGGGGAATAAAATAAAACAATGTTATTATAAAATAAAATTTTTCTCTTTATGTAATTAATTTTTAAAAATTTTAATTTTCCTATTATTCTCATTTTCTCCTTTTTTGTAATTTGTATTTAAAAAATTTCAAATTTCATAAATTGCAAATTGCAAAATTTTCAATTTTTGCAAAAAATTATATTTGTTTTGCTTGATATTTGAAAAATATAAAAAATTACGCATAGGTTTATAATTTAAAAATATCTACAGTTTTAAATTATAAAACTTAGTGATATATAGTTTCGATATTTGATTTCAATTTCTCTTCTATTTAATTAAAAATATACATTTGTATTTATCTCATTAATTAAAAAGTGACAAAAAAATACAAAAATCCTGCAATTAAAATTAAAAATTAATGACAAAATTAAATAAAAAATTTCAATTTATAAAATTCGAATTTAATTTAACGCTTTGAATTTAAAGAAAAAAAAGTAGCAACGAAAACTAAAAAAAAATTTTCATGAAAAAAATAAGAAAATATTTAAATAAAAATAACAAATTTCAAATAACAAAAATTTTCATTTAAAAAGAAGAAGTAAATTTGATTTTAGTCTGCAGCCCTGATTCTTTAGTTCGGATAGTCTTACGTCACAACACGCGAGTGAACCAGGCTCTTTAATAATCCTTGTTCTTAGTGAACGGGCAAAGTGCCAAAGCCGGTATAACAAATGCAATAATTTCTGATTGACTTTTGCTTATAGCTTGAAAAAAAAATTGTTAATTATAATAATTTATGACATACAAGTGAAAAACAAAATTATAATAAAAATTATTTCAAGAAACAACTTTTTAACATTAATAATGTCATATTATAATAAGCAGTAATACAGTAAACGTTTCATAAAAGAGAAATCAGGTGAAAAGTGAAAAGTCTTCCGCTCACATTATTTGACATAGCTGTCTTCTTTCTATTCAATATTATTTCAAATTTAAACAAGGGCCAAGCAAAACAATTTTAAAAAATGTCTACAATCACCTGTATTGCGCCTGTTAATATTGCTGTTATTAAATACTGTGAGTAAATTTCGTTATAATTACACTAAAATTTTAATAAAATCCTAAGAAAATAAAATAATTAAAAAATTATATTTGAAAATATTTTTAAATATTTACAAAAAAGTATTTGTAAGTGAAAAGTAAAAAAAAGTATTTTCTAATTATCACTATGTATATTTAATCCATGTTTTCATATTTCTAATTATTGTACAATTGTACTTTTACTTTTTTATTGCTCACGCAAAAATTTTTTTCCAAGAGTTAAAAAGAAATTTATGATTGAAATAATCATTTAAAACTATTGCATGTTAAAGAATTGAAGGCATATATGATTATCATATTCAAATTAGAATACTTTAGTGTATTGCGATAAGAATTTCAGATTTATTTTCAGTTACAAATATAATTTTAGTTTCTTTTATTTAAAATATAAAATTATATTATAACTATTAATAATATATTATTGTATATAATATTGTATTAAAATATAATCATTATGAAAATACCTATTTCATTTTATTTAAATAAACATTTTATTATTTTATAAAATTATTATTAAAAAAAATTAGTAAATAAATATTTCTATAGAGAGAATAATTTAATGAATTGGCTAATTTAAAAAGTAATTGTTTTCAATAGGGGGAAAACGAGACGAGAATTTGATTCTGCCTATAAATGACTCGATTAGTGCAACATTAGACACAGAGCAGGTATTTTTTTTTACAATATTTATAATATTCAAATTTTAAATACACTTTTTACAAAAAAAAAATACATATTTTACATTAGAAATTATAATTGAAATTTTTTTCAGTTATGTGCAAAGACAACGATAATGGCTAGTCCTGATTTTAAAAAAGATCAAATTTGGCTCAATGGAAAGTAAGTTAAAAAGAAAATTATTACACAAAAATCCTTTAAATTTTTTTTTCAAAAGTTGTAAACGTGGTAAACATTTAATAATTTATCATTTTTGCCTTCTTGATAAAAATTATCATAAAATTGATAAAAATTGTTATTGTTTACAAAAAAGCTTCATTTTTCTGTTGCAAATTATTTTAAGACACAAAATTCTTTTTTAGGGAAGAAACGATAAACAAACGGCTACAAAATTGTTTACAAGAAAGTAAGTGACATTTATGATAGAAAATAAGAAAAAAATGACTTACCCAAACGTAATTATTTGTTTGTGGAAATATTTGTCAATATAATTTGTTCTTTACAGTGAAGAAACGTGCCCAAGTTGAAAATGATGTATTGCAATGGAAAATTCACATTTGTTCAGAAAATAACTTCCCAACTGCTGCTGGATTAGCTTCAAGTGCTGCTGGTTATGCATGTTTCGCAACCGCTTTGGCCAAACTGTACAAAGTAGAGGTTTGTTAGAAAAAAATTATTATTTGAAAATTTCTAAATTGAAAATAACCGCTATTTTACTAATATAGTAATTTAATTATATATTTAGTTATATAATTGTTAATAAATTGTAAATTACGAATAAAGTACAAACTACAAAATTGAAATGAACTAGAAGAAAACTTTTTCGGAGTTCAATTAAATTAAATTAAATTAAATAATTAAAATAATTATTACTTTTCAAGGGTGATGTCAGTGCAGTTGCCCGAGCAGGATCAGGATCTGCCTGTCGAAGTACAATGGGAGGATTTGTGAGATGGCACATGGGTTCTGATCCAAAAGGAAGTGACAGCACAGCCAGACAAATTGCCCCAGCTGATCATTGGCCAGAAATGAGAATCCTTATTCTAGTCGTGAGTGATCCATTTTTTCCTTTTTTGATAATTAGGAAAACTTGAATTTGATAATTAAGATTTCCTAATTATGATTTCCTAATTGAATAAATTTACCAATATTTTGCTGAAATACCAATATTTTCAACTAATATTCAATATTTTAATTAAATTAATTACATTAATTAAATATTCAATCATTCACCAGGTGAAAGACGACAGGAAAAAAGTCTCAAGTGCCGAAGGAATGAAGAGAAGTGTCGAGACTTCCGAATTATTAAAATACAGGGCGGAATGTATTGTTCCAAAAGTAGCGAAACAAATGGAGAAGGTAATTTTAGAAAAGAATTTTGAACAATTTGCATTATTGACAATGAAGGATTCGAATCAATTTCATGCAATTTGTCGGGATACATATCCACCTTGTGCCTATATGAACGACATTTCTCAATTAGCCATTGAATTGGTTCACGCCTACAATTCTGCTGTCAACGAAACTAGGGTTTGTTTATTCAATCATTGAAAAAAAGAAAATTATTTTCTAAATTAAAAAACGTGGAATTTTAATTAAATTCTTAATTAAGGTGGCTTACACATTTGATGCTGGTCCAAATCCAACGTTATATTTGCTTCAAAAAGACGTCCCTGAATTTAGTGCAATTTTGAATCACTATTTTCCACCTCCAAATGATGCAGACGTTGAATACAAGAAAGGGATTCCAGTCTCAGCTGTCAAACTTTCAGAGGTAATTTAATCTTACTTTGAACTTCATTTGAAAAATTATGAGATTTGAATTATGTAATTTTTCAGGACCTGTTGAAAAAAATGACTGTTAAACCACAATTGCCAGGACTTTTTAAGTACACGATACACACACGTGTAGGAGAAGGTCCAAAAATTCTAAAAAATGAGGAAAATCACCTTTTGAATAATCACGGTCTTCCAATAAAGGGTTTTAAAACAGATTAATACTGTTATAAATCAAAATGATTATTAGGGAAATTAAAACAATTATTTTTACACTATTCAAGGTTTTATGCGGTGATATATGACAATAATATTATACAAGATTGGTAAAAAGTCTAAGAAATAAATATTTTTTCTACATAAATGAAAGTGTTATTATTAACTCAAAAGGAATGTGTAAAATACTGGGGAGACAGAAACTAAAGAAAATATTCCCAAATTTTCTAATGTTATATTTTTCCCTTAATTTAGAAAAAAACTTCAACTCTTTTCTTTAAAATTATTTAAACATATTCTACTTTCGTATATTCATGCAAAAATCTCTTAAGATGTTAAGAATTATAATTATTGCAAATTAAATGAGAAAATATTTTGAGCACGTGCTCTAACCTTACCTTGATTCGCTATCAGAAGTATAGATACACTTATTACATTCAAGTCATCATCGAAACGTACTTTGTATATCTTACTGATATTTAAATATTATGTGCAATGAATACTTTAACACGTGCCATTCAATTGAAGCAAATTATAACTAAAAATAACAGCATTTTAATCGACACACAGAAAAATACGTTGTAATTTAAAAAGCTCTACTCGCTTACTGCGCATGCTGTTTACGTTAGTCACGTGACCCACATCAAGTGCTCCCATTTGTCGTAATGGTTATCCAATCAAAACAAACTAAACAAAAACAAATAATTTTTTAAACTTAACCTAAAAATAAAAAAGGTTTTTTAAAATTCTAAAGTACAGTTGACGTTATTTTTAAACAAATTGTCTTTGATTTATATTTAAATTAGTAGAATTACCGTTTGCATGCATTTTTTACTAAACTAGTTTATAAATAGCTGGAAACAAAAGAAAAAAATAACGAATTTTTTATAAATTGATGATTGAAAAGGAAAATACAACGTAAAATTTGCCAAGTTTGTAAACAATAAAAATTTATCTATTCAATATAAAGTTATAATAAATAAATTGATAACTATGGGATCTCGAGTTCGTGATATTAGTCATTTTATGAGAGATGTTTTTAAAACTGCACAAAGTTCAAAGAATTGTGAAAAACTCTTAAGAGACGTAAGGACTATTTTTTATTTTTAAATATAAATATATTATACTTTCTACTTTTATATTGTTAGTAGTTTAGAAATAAAGAACTATAATTTTAATAACTATCTAAAAATTTTTCAGGTGCATTTTAAGACTGCCAATAATGGTTATTGTTCGGCAGAATTAACACTTTCAGAGAGACATTTAAACGAAGATGGAATTCTTAATTCTCGTATTATTGCTAATTTAATTGAACGTATGACAACTTTTGCTTTAATGTCTTACAATAATAAAATTTGCGGAAATACAATAAATACAAATATTCAGTAAGTATTAAATAGAATTAATTTAATAATAAATAATTTAAATCTAAATAATGTATTAAGAAAAAGTTTTTTTTTGAAATAACAGAAAAAATTGAAAAATATGATTATTACAGATTTTTGAGTCCAGTTGATCTTGATAGCAATCTCATAATAGACTCTCATGTTTTGAAAGTAAATGATCCTGTTGGTCACGTGGAATCTCAATTGTGGACTAATGAAGGTCGTTTGATTGCCCTTGGACAAAGTATTAAATACCTAAAAAATATCCCGGCACCGGAAGATAAAAAAAGGAAAAGAACAATTCGAATTGTTCAATCCAATTTTTAAAAAAACAATTGACAAGAAAAAATTGAAAACTAGCAAATTATAACCAAAAATGACAAAAATTTATTCATCGCTTTTTATTAAACGAAAAAATAAACGTTTTAAAAATATTTTTTAAATTTCTAAATTAATGGTCTTGAATTCTTTACATATAAAACTAATTTACAATTAAATATTCTTCATTTTCGGATCAATAAATTTATAAATCAATGGCTAATCATCCGGTTCATTATTCCGTTTTTGAATTCTTTGATAGGGCAAGAAGAACAAAAACTTTTGCTAGACTTCTAAACAAAGTGAGTACTTCAAAATTAAAATCAAAATTCATTTCATTTTTATAAATTCATATAGTTTTTCGACAAAATTCTTTGTCTTTTTAATAATTAATTTCAGGTATCTGTAATTGAAGCTCAAAATGGAAATTGTCTTGCTCATTATACAGTCACTGAAGAAGAGACAAATGCAGGCGGAGTCCTACATCCTGGATTTATTGCTTTTTTAATGAACTCCATTACTCATTGCTCTAAAATAACAAGTAATGTTTCTCATCCAGCAAAAGACGAACCTCTCTTTTTAAATATTCAGTAAGTAATTTTTTTTTATTTTCATTCAATAAAAAATACAAACTGGTGAAAAACATTTTTCGTTTCAAAATCTTTCAATTAGAAATATTTTTGTTAAAATTTAAAGAAGAGAAAAAAAGTAGTACCTAACAATAAAAATAATATTAATAAAAAGAATTAAAATAAAATTTATCAATTGTAAAGATATTTGCGAAGTGCTTTACCAGGAGACGAACTTTTAATAGAAGCAAAAAATCTAAGAACTGGATCATTACTTCAAAATTTTCACACTGAACTCAGATTACAAGATGAATTACATGGAATTATTGCAACTACTGGAAAAGCTGGTTATTGATAAAAATTAAAAATTATCTTGTTCATTGTTTTTGGAATTTCTAATTTAATAAAAAAAAAAATCTTTCACTGAAAAAGAGAATTAAATATTTTTATTTAAATATTAACTCTGATAGTCATTTGAAAATAAATTAGTTGCTTCTGTAAAGAAGAAAAAATGAATAACGCAACTGATGACAAATTAATGTGTCATTAAAAAATGTATTTTGTAAACAAAACTTAATTTTAATTTTGAAATTAAATTAAATAAACTAGTAATAAAATTAAATAAATTTGACATGATTTCTTGACATTTTTATTTATTTTTCTACTAAATTCAAGTAAAAATTTTCAAGTGAAATTATTTTAATAAATAACTAAAATTTTCAATAATGTCACTTCAACTTCCTAAATATCTACAATTTTTGTTTGATAATGAAAAAAATTCGCGAGCATTTGGAAGACATTTAAAAAAAGTGAGTATAAATTTTCCCGTGTTGAGTACATTTCTCAGTTTTCATTTTTTACATTGTCTATTATTATTCGGTTTTATTTAACCAAAATTTATTTTTATTCAACAAATTATCAAAGAAAAACTTGCATATTTACAAATTTTGATATTTAATATTTTGAATTTCAGATAAAATTAATTCCTTCTGAGCCAGAAAGTATAAGAGCAGAATTTACAGTTTGTACGGAACACACGGATATTGACAAGAAACTTGATTTTGGATTTCTTTCGTTTTTAATAACAGCTATATCGAATCACGCCTTAATCATGAATAAACAATATTTTGGAAGTACAAAAAATTTAAGTGTCCAGTGAGTAATTTTAATAAATAATGAATTATAAAATAATGAAATAATTAATAATCGTACAATTTTTCAAGGTGTTTTAAACCATCGTTTCCTGGACAACTACTGACAATAGAAGCGAGAACAGTAGGAATTATATCAGACTATATTGCTCAAATGGAGGCTGAAATTACAGATAAAGATGGTGAACTTGTCGCTTCTGGTCAATCAACTATAAATATGAGAGATGCTCGCTTTTTGGTACCAATACAAGAACCAAAAGAGGAACCAGAGTATTGATAAATTTACTAACAACGTAAGATACATTTTTTAAACTATATCGATTCGTTTCTCAATAAAGAAATTACGATTTTTTTTTCTAAAAATTTCTCTAGATTTATTTTTTTATTTCAAATATTTAAAGGTTTAAAAAAAAGAAAACACAAAAAAATGAATAGCGCACCTATGACGGATAGTGTGCATTAAAAATGACAAATATAACCAATTTTAAAAAAATGTAAACATATTTCGAACTATTATGACAAAATTCCATTCGAGTTAAAATTTATTCATGTTGGAAAATTAATATTAAACGTAAAATTAACAATGACTTTGCAATTTGGTAAAATTCCCCAAAAGTGTATTCAAAATACGAGAAATTTAGTTTCTTGTTTAAAGAGCGTGAGTTTATATTTCAGTAAAAAAGGAAAACAATAATAGTAATGATAAAAGATAAAATTCTTTTAAATTCTAAAAACTGCAAATTGAAAGCTAAAAAATTAATTCACAATACATTGTTTATTTCAGCTAAAAGTAGACTTTGTTGGTGAAGGAATTTATCGAGCGAGAATTAAAGTGGAGGAAAAACATTTAAATGATAAATCATACTTTAATTATGGACTGATTGCCTATTTACTTGATCATTCGGGAACAGCAGTATTAAAATCCATCATTCAAGAGCCTGGTCTTCCAATTAAATTGGATATCGAGTAAGTAAAATCCGAACAAGAGAATAAACACAAAAATTTATTGAAATTAAAAAAAGAAAAGAAAAGTGGGAAATATTTTCGAAAATTTGATTTCAATACAAAGGGAAATTTTTATCTTAGATATTTGGAACCAGTTCCTCTTGGAAGAGAATTAATATTATTCGCCCGTCTTCGAAGTATTCATAACAGATACGCTCACATTACGTCCGAATTAAACGTTATTGAAAAGAATAAAAATTTTCCAGTCGCACTAGCTCAATACACAAAATTATTACATTCTGAAAGTAAACGGTACCCAGAATGGTGTTTGGGTGATTGAAGAAAAGACTTCCTTCAAAGAAAAGATCTAAACCTTTTAATTTCTTTTAACTTTTAAAAAAAGTTTCTAAATAATATATTTAGCAAAAAATTGCTCGTTTGTAGTATTTCAAATAACGTAACTTGTTTCAATTAGTTTCAAATTTAAAAATGTTTTTGTCGTCTGCTTTTAATAATCACGTGACATAATCAATGTCGAATTACGTAAACATTGAAATATAACCTAAAAAACTACAACTGTCAAAGATTCTCATTTCTCACTATTTATTATTTATATAAATGATATAAATATATAAATTGCACATTAAATTTGTAAATTATAATTTTAATCAGTCTAGTTGATTTAATGTCAAAAATCTAATTCACGAATAATGACAATAATCAGAGAACTGAAAAATTGAACTTGAAAATTATATTTCTTTAAAATTTTTGTTTTCCTGAAAATTGTTGTCATTATGAAACATCTATTTATAATATTTGCATAATACTCATTCTAAATGTAAATTTACCAAATAATAGTTATTCTTTAGTGAATGAATTAAAAATTACGAAACTCATTTACTATTTACATTTTAATTTAAAATTCAATACGTATTTTATAGTATAATTATAATTTCAAAAAAACTTCAACACACGAGTAATGAAAGATCGTAGATTGTAAGTTAAGACTGTGAAGTAGTAGTTTCATTTAATACTCGATTGAAAATTATCCATAAAAATGGGCGCTTCTAGAGTTGTTAACGAATTAGCTAAATTATTTTTTGAAAATACAAAAAATTCAACCACTTTTGGAAGATGTTTAAAAAACGTGAGTATCACTTTTTTCTTTTGGAAATAATAATAATAGTTAAACAATAATAGTTTTTACTAACATGATTATGTAATGAAATTTTTTTTACCCTTACGCAATTTACGCATTTATTTCCAAATAGTTGTATTTTTTACTTAAAAATCTGGAATATTTGAATTAACAGTTATTTCTTACTATAATATTTTAATTAAATTATGAAGATTGTAAATTTATTTGAATTATTTTAGGTAAAGTTAATATCTGCCGAGAGTGGAAACTGTAGAGCAGAATTTACAGTCGACGAGGAGCATACTAATTTAGGCGGATCTCTTCATGGGGGATTTACTTCAACTTTAATAGATTGTATCACTACTTACGCTTTAGTATCACATGGAACTGGAACTCCTGGTGTCTCAGTCAATTTACACGTCACGTAAGTAAATTAATATCTTGTAAAGTAAAATTAATTAATTATTAATTAAATCAATTTTACTGAATAGAAGAAGAGGGCAATTTAAAAAAAAATACAAATTTACCCTTATTGTTCATAAAGGTTTATGAAAGCAGCTTTTCCCGGAGATAATTTAATAATAGACGCCAAGACTGTAAGGGCTGGAAAAACTCTTGCTTATCTTGAGGCCGAACTCAAAATGAAAGAAGGAGGTGCTATCGTCGCTCGAGGACAACACACCAAATTTATAGGTTCTTAAATTTTTCTATTAAAATTACTTTCGTTGATTCTAATCTATTTTTTATTATCTGAAACAAGAAAAGAAATAAAAATACTTTCTTTAGAAGGAAGAAATTGAACTTTTTTCAGTAGTGAAAATAATGAGAGTTATTAAAGTAGAAAATATATTTAACACAATAACAGATAAAATGCGTCTGGTACAATTTCAAAGCAATGGTTTAAATCGAATCGAATTTTTATACCTAAGTAAATAACTTTATACCTAATTTCAAGTTCAAGATCAACAGAAAATTATTTCTCTCTCTCCAGTTCCTGAAGTAAAGATTTCATTTCACTCATATTTTCCGTAACATCATTAGTCAATTTTTTCAACAATTCATTTTTCTCATCAGTTTCCATCAGTAGATGATGAATAAATTCCATCTTCTCCTCTCGATTCAACTCCGACTGGAAATTAAATTTAGACATTAAATTTTCACTCTTGGAATATTTTATCGCCGCACTTCTTCTAAATCTAGAAATATCATTCGGTTGATCTTGACAATCTTCACAGCATTCGTTCCACAATCTCAAATCAATATCTGGTATTTCCTCGCAAGAAATAATTGGATTCGCACTACTCGGTAAATGGAAAATATCTCTTTGAATTCTCGTGATATTATCGCCATTATCACACAATATTCTTGCAAAATTTGTCGATTTTATCTGTTCAAGTTGTTCGCTCTTGAACGTCGATGGACTCTCGTACCAAAATCTATCGGCATCTCTCATTCGTTGAAATTGCTCGGTCAAAAGACACTTAAACAGTGGTCCAACTTTAGCATTCGGTAATTGATCCTCCAATATTCCTCCCACCCAAACGTCAATATTTCCCGGATGACCATAAAGTTCCTGTAATTTTTCCCGTACGCGTTCACTGCTAATTTCATTTTTCAAATCCTCGAATGTAGAGACATTCGACATGTTGCAGTACTTTCTCCATTCTAGATAACCGGGAATCGCGTGATCACGAGAACGTTGAATATTCATTGCGGCAAGATCAAGTGCCACGGCGTGAGCGACTCTAAACAATTGTTCCGTTAATTCAATATTGAGATTTTGTTCCGGTAATTTGAGTTTGGCTGCGGTTGCAAACATTCCTCGGATTAGGGGATCAACACCACCTTCCTCGACTAATCGCCATGGGGAAAAGAAAGCATCCCTGAGATCCAATGGACCTTGAGGAATCGACGAGAAATTATCGTCCAATCTTTCCAAACGTGGCTGTATGAGTGAATGACCAAATCGAAGAGCAGCGGTCGCGAAGACATTCGATATCGTCGCGTCTAATTTTGAATTATAACCACGATAGCTTTCTAAAAATCCTCCAAGGACTGTAGGAATCCAATTATTAAAAGTGATATGTTGCATTTCGGCACCGACGATTTTTCTCGCCTCCTGGTAAAGTTTCTCGCCTCGCCAATGTGGATTAATTTCGAAAAGTCTTCGGGCAATTCGATTGTGCTCCCTCATCCAAATGGTGTGCATCGCCAAAAGTCCCACTTGCTCATTGGCACGAAAATCTCCGGTCAGGAAGCAATTTATCGAACTTTCCAAAGGATCACGTCTACAGTCCACAAACTGCCCGGAAGCGTAAGGAAGCAAAGGTTTTCTATTCGGAAAATTCGGTCCTTCACGCAATAATCCACGATCTGTGGTCAAATCACGAAGATCTCTAGCCACATCGTCATCGTAGCCATAAACTTGCGACGCGTCCAAATAACTCGTCAATTGATTCAATTGCTCCCTTGGTGTGAGTTTTCCCCAAAGAACACTCGTTTCACCAGATCCGCAAACAGCACTGGTTCTGAAAAAATCGATACATCTTCGATTCGTCACTCGAGGATCGTTCGGTGGCACTTCCATGGGGAAGCACGGCGGCGCATTGTCACAGGATTTTTTACAATCGATTCCGTCCCAAGTTTCACTCGACACTGCCGGTAGAGCGTGATCAAGATCGTGATCGAGAAACTGTCCCCACTGCATCACCATATGCGTTATCGAATCATCAGACGTAATATTGTGAGTTGATATCAATGACGTTGAAACTAATCTTGCAGCCGGTTTCTTATGACCATGGTACAATCGATTTTTATCCCAACCAACGGGAGTCGAAAATCCATTCTCGTAAATAGGTTTTAAAATTCTTCTGAAACCCGTATAGGACGATCCCCAAGTCGGATTCTCAAAATTATTACATCTTCCATCAAATGTTCGATAACGTTTGTGAAAACATAAATTATTACAATTGTCCTTTCGACGATGCGCCGTACATCCGGAAAGTCTTTCGATTTCGATTATCTGAAATTTGAAAAAAGTTAAAAAATAGTCAAATTGCATTATTAATGATTAATTATGTATATTTGAATTAAAAGGAGAATACCTGTTCGCGAGTGAGAATTTCGTCATAGATGAATTGATCAGTGACATTAGCGAAAGTTCCAGTTCTCACTAGACGTCGAATATTTTGAAGAGTTCTCTCGAATAGTTCTGCAGGTCTTGCCGCTGCTCTTCCTTCAGCCGATGGAAATCTCGACATTCGGAAAAGATCCTTGTGATGTTGCGTATTTTGCCCTCCAAACAGAGACTGCAGGGTATTATTGATAGCTCGATCGATTTCACTTCTCGCCTCCTGGAAGGCTCTCAAGACAATTGCATCACTAGCTTCCGCTTTTCGAATCTGAAGCAGCGCCTGTCCGGTGGCTCGCCCGTGTTCGTTAATCGCCGAACATTCGTATCTAAAAAAAGTAGAATTAATTTTTTATTTTCGAATAAGTAAATAAATAAATAAAATTAATGAAATAAATAAAATATTTTTCAGACGACTAACATCAAAATAAATAAAATAAACTTGAAATAATTTGTTAATAGTAAACCTTCCAGCATCCTGGGCGGAGATATTGTACAAATAAAGACTTCCTCCTTTCGACAATCGAAAACGATTTCTATCGAGAGGAATATTTCTATTCGTATCCAGAGCAATTCCATCCTTTTTCCAATGTATCGTTGGCTTTGGATTTCCACGTGCTCGACAGGGAATTTCAATCGAAGCACCACTCTCGACCTCCATGTCCTGTGGCTGATAGGTCATTTCCGGTGGTCGAAAATCCTCCCTCAAGACATTTAAATCAGCACTCGTCTCAGCGAGACCCTCGCCACCTTTTGCGCGACAAACATAGCGCGCCGAATCACTCTGCTTAGCTGCTTGAATTTTCAAAACGGCTCCATTGTCCTCGAATTGAAAACGACCACCAGCTGCAATTAATCTGCCATTCTTCCACCATTCAATAACCGAATCGCCCTCGACCTTACAAGTGAACGTGACATCAACACCCGCCTCCACAGTTTGCGAAATTGGAATCTCAATGAAACGAAGAAATTCCGGAATTGCTATTAATGCTCTCGCCTTCCTTGAATTTATAAATCCCATATCATTGTGCGCCACGCATTCATAGTCTCCATTGTCACTTTCATTCGCATCGAAAATCATCAGCGTATTATCGTCCATCATCTTGTAATGTTCGCCATCAATCGGCACTTCCGCTGAGTCGCGCATCCACTTAACGTCCGGCACCGGATCACCTGAGACTCGACAATGAAATTTAATCGTCTCCCCCGCGTCCACCGTATTATCTTCCGGCTCTTCCATTATCTTCGGTTTCGCTGGAAAAAAATTGAGAAACTAGGAAAAATTAAAAATCGGCAAAGAAACTAAAAATCTTAAAAATCAGTAAAGAAAAATTAAAAACCAGTAAAGAAAAATTAAAAACCGGTAAAGAAAAATAAAAATTAATATCCTCCAAAAAAAATACTCACAACAGTGTAAATCATCGAATGCGATTGAATCGAGACGTTTTCCTTTTAAATCATCAGGAGAATCGCAAGCAGCATTCATTTCATTTGGCGGTAATTTTTTAATGTGCTCAATTAACCACATTAAATTACAGGTGCATTCCAAAGCTTTAGTGTTCATTTGTAATCGTGTTGCAGGTCCAATATTGCGAAACGCGTCAAATTCTATTCGACGTATATCATTATTCTGAAGGGAAATTTTTTGCAAGGCTGGCAAATTGTTAAACGTGCCTTTCCTTATCTCCGTCAAGTAATTGTAATGAAGATAGAGATGCTCCAATTTTGCCAAATTATCAAATGCACCAGGCTCAATTCTCTCAATTTGATTCTTGAATAAATAAATTACTTTTAAATTCAAACCCCCCTTGAATGCATCTTTTTGTAAATATTTAATTTGATTGTCATTCAATATAAGAGTATTTAAATTTGGCGAATTTTCGAAAATTCCTGCTGGTATGTCCATTATTTCGTTGAATCTCAGGTCCCTGGAAAATTAAATTTATTAATTATGAATTACGAATTAATTATTAAATATAATTACAAAAAATAATATTGCACAGAGCGATGCATTTTTTCAATCGAATAAAAAATTGTACAATATTTTTTTTCAATGAAAGTAAAAAATGAAAAATATTCATTAATAGTGAGTTTAATCAATCTGTAAAATAATTTTTTCATGTTTTGTCTGGTTCTTCGGAAATAGAAATTCAAGGTTTGTTTATAAAAAAGTTACCCTCCGGATGTGAATAATTTCGCACGTTTTAAAATTACACTTTATCTCAAAGTTTGTTTAAGGCACGTTTCAGAATTGTAAATCTTGACTCACAGTTGGTGAAATTCAACGAATTGATTGCTGACAGAAAATTTGCTGATGTCTACAGATTTGATTTCAATTTTAGTTTAAGACATTGAATCGAAGCTTTATAGTCAATTAAATTTTTATTCGTATTTTCAAAGAGATTTTAATTGTTTATCATTTAAATTTGAACATATAATTTACTGATTCATTAAAAGTCAATTCTTGTTTCTAAAATTAATTAAAAAATACATAATTAAAGAAATCATAAATAAAAAATCCATTATTAAAGAAATTATAATTCAAAAATCCATAATTAAAGAAATCTTGATTCAAAAATCGATAATTAACGAAATTAATAATTTAAAAAATCCAGAATTGAAAAAATTGATAATTCGAAAAGCCATAATTAAAAAAATTGATAATTTGAAAAATTCACGAGTAAAAAAATTAAAAATGGAAAAAATTAATAATTAAAAAGTTATTACTAATTTTAATTGAATAAATTACGAATAATTTTTGTTTGCTTACAGGACAGTAGTGTTATCCGGAACTCGTGGAATAGTTGTCAATTTTTGAAGAGTACATCTCACAGTCGTCTGCGGGCAGCTACACTTATTAGGACACAATTTTGTCAATTCCTCCTGATATCGTCGAAATTCTTGGCAGAAATATCCAGGAATTCCGCAGCAAATGATCATCAATAGAAAATATTTTTCCATCATTATGAAACGTTTTGTTAAAAATAAATTTATCGTACTTCAATTTCTTCTTTTTCTGTCTGATGATTGCAAGCTCACCAAATCGAATGGCAGACTTGGCAATGCTCACGAAACATCACTCCTTTATTTTTCGATTCTTGGGAATTTTGAAGATGGTAAATTTCACGGAAACATTGACGAATTGTGTGACTATTCTCGAAACGCCGGTCGATGCTGAAAACAGATTTTTGAGATGTGAGCACGTCGACTGATAAAGCACAACTGTGAGCGGCTTTCAAAGTTGTTTCCCTGTTGAGCGAAAATAATACTCGAACCTTCCCTTTCGATGAAACAGCTCTTGGCTTCTATATAGCGCGCTAAGTTTATATAGGAATTTAAAACACACATGTGAATGTGTGATACCAGAATTTATAAGAGGCTTCTCGTTGTGTGAAAGATATTGCTTCTTGGAGAGGAGGGATCCAAGCGAGCAGATGTGGGAGATGAGAAGAAAAGCTGTTCTCAAGAGACGAAGAAACCTTGATTGCAGAAGTATCCTCTCAATATTTGTCGATTATTCTTCAATTAAACATTTTATTTCCTTTTTTTCCAAGGAAAAAAATAATCGTCGGGATGTAAAATTATTCCCGGCTCTGATCGAATCTAAAATAAATAAATAATTAGTAAATAGTTTCTAAACTTTTAAATTTTACTCGAATAGCAAAAAAAGAAAAATTAAATACTTAAATACAATTTGCTGTCAATAATATAAATATCGAAACAATAAATTGTTTATTACACATTTTCTCAAATATTCAAAAATAAAAAAAAAATATTTCTAAACTAAATGATAACAAAAAATAAATTCAGAAAAAATTGAAAAATTGTTTATTTTTAAAAAATTACTTTAGAAACTTTAGTTTCTAAAGTAATTTTTTGAAAATAAACAATTTTTCCTCCACTTAGCTGAAATACTTTCTCACGAACTTACGTAATATTTTCATACAACTCCTTATTTGGTCTCTGGAAAAAAAAACATGATTTAAGAGAACGACCGTGAATATTTTCAGAGCTTTTACAAGCATCACATTTATTTCTCAAAGCAGAAAGCAATCACACATGTTTTGGAAAATATTTCTAGTTAAGAAAACCAAAAAAAAAACAAATTTATTATAGACAGATGAGTTTAAAAGCAAATGCCTGAAAAAATAAATTTCAAGTCCATTTTTATTTTGTTGAGAGGCAAAAAAATTGAAAGCAATCATTTTAATGAAGATGAATTAAAATTTACACGCTCTACAAAGATTTGATTGACGTTTATGTTTGTATAATTTTAAGTTCACTGTGAGTAACTCTGATGATTCAATATTCAGAATTAGACGCTAAATTTCCAAACTGGGGCAAATGGAAATTATAGTCGTGTATATAAATTTAGTGAATTATAATAATTTTCCATCTTATAAAATTTTTCTTTACTAATTTTCCACTTTGGAAAATTGTTAATACTTATGAAACAGAAATTAGTTTTAATTAAAATTTTTAAATTAAAATGAGTTAAATAAAATTAAATTGAATTTTCCGTCTTACCGAAAATGTTCCATTTCTCCAAAATCACGTGGTGGCATTCCCGGCGGTGGTCCTCTTGGTTCAAAATCAAAACGTGGGAAAGGCATTGACCCTGGGAAATGTCTCATCATAAAGCTACTTAAAAAAATGTTCGAAAAATTCAATTAAAATTCTATTTTCTAAAAGGAAAATATGAGTGTAAGTAAAGAATAAAAATGTAAAATACAATTATTAATTTCAATAAATTAGTAAATAAAAAAAACTGTAAGAAATAAGAAGAAGAAGAAAAAAGAAACGAAATAGAAATAAAATAATTTCAAATTTAACGTACAAACAATAACATTTATATTCTTTAAATACTCTCATTCGATAAATATTATTTTTATCATAATATATATTTTTTTCAATTAATTCCATATTTACATAGACAATAATAAATTGATATCATCGAATAACATTACCATTCAGAACAATTTTTTATATTTACATGAATGAATTCATAAATTCATTTATAATATAGTATTTGTCTCCCTCTTGTCAAACACTAAATGAAATTACTATAATATCTAATCGAATTTAGAAATTATAAAATTGCAAAATTAATTACAATCATTCAACGATTCAATAAATTATGTTCATTGCTGGTGAAAAAAAAATGACGTTTCAATTAATTTCAATAAAAAACAATCATTCGAAAAATAATAAAGAATAAAAAATAATCTCTCTGTTGTAAATCAATTTTCTTTTGAGTAAATTTGATTTAGATTTTTTAAAATGAAAATATAAAAAAAAAGAATATTGCACAATACTTGTCTCTACGATAAAAGACGAAACGAAAAAAAGACAATTTTTTGTAAAAAAAAGATTATTTCTGAAATAAAAATATTTTAAAGAACATTCTTCAATTTTTCTTTTTTTATCTTCTTTAATTTTTCTTTTGTTCTTTAAAATATTTTCAATTTCAAAAGCAATTTAAAAGTGAAATTGAAATGTAGCGGATATTAAAAAAATTAAATATGACTAATCTTCTTGAAGAGCACTCAAGGGATCCTCGATAATCTGCTCAGCAGTTTTCTTTAAATCCCTGGTGACAACTTTTTTAGCAGCACTATGACTCTCTTTATTTCTTGATAATGATGAAGATGTCTTTCCAAAGATATCTGTGTCACCATCATCAGTATCATCATTGTCGTCATCAAACAATGATTTTCTTTCGCCAGTCAATTTCTTTGATATGGGTTTCTTAAAAGCAAAAATATCCTCCTCTCCACTCGATTGATCGCCAAAAATATCGTGTAAATTAGATTTCTTTTTACTATCATCGACAATATCTTTGGGAATTGTTGCTTGTGTTCCATCTGAAAAGAGATGTTCTTCATTGTCCTCATCATCAAATAAACTCATTTTTGTATCCTTGATCAATTTCTTATTATTTTTATTTTGAACTGAAGTGGAAAATAAGTCACCATCATCATCATCATCATCATCATCATCATGGAATAAATCAACTTTTTTTCTTGTACTTCCTGACTTTTCGATTGGATTACTCTTTTTCGAGGTGCTGGAAAAAAGACTGTCATCTTCATGAAACAGTAGTGCTTTCCCCTTCTCAGGTGATGGAGTCTTTGTGACAAATGCAAATAGTTGGCTTGGATCCTTCAATGGATCGAGATCTTTATTTCGTAATGGATCAAGTGGTGGTTTTTTATTCTCTTCCTCCGAAGAAGAATCGTTTTTCGAATCTGATTCTTCCTTGCTTTTCGTTTCGACGATTCTCTCATGTTTTTCTTCCGCTTTCGATTCTTTTTCGACAATATCTTTTTTGATAGATTCTTTAATGACATTCTCAGTAATAACAGTGGCAGTATCAATTTTCGTAGACTTTATTTCTCTTGTGACTAAATCGTCAATTGGCGATAAAATTGGCGCTCTACCGAATAGAGAATCCTCTTTAAATGGATCCTCGGGTAAATCGGGTGGTACATCGAATAAATCTTCCTCGTCAGTGGATGGTGAGAGGAGTGTATTCTTATTAGTACTCTCTTTACTAAAGGTGCGTTCCGATTTATCATCAATTGCCAATGAGAGATTTAATTCTGTGTTTTTATCCGACTTATCACTTTTAATTGATGGCGCCAATAGTCTCTCGTTACTCGAGTCGACAATTGAATTGGGATCTTTTAATTTAATATCATCGTCGACATCTTGCGCTGAGTCAATGGCATCGAAATCTATTCCACTTTGTCGTAATGCTGTTTGACGTGCCTGCCTGCTTTGTGGGCGACGTTTCACTTGAATTCTCGCACGACTCTGAAAATTAAGGGGGGGGGGGATTAAAATATGAATAATTCAGATGTGCTATATAATATTAATAAATAAATAAACAAATAAAATAAAAAGAAGTAAATAAAATAATTAAAAATAAAAAAAGATGAGAAAGTAGAATGTACGCTAACGTTAAGATTATATTTGTCAAATAAATAAATTTCCCAATTTGAGTAATTATTTATATTCTTTCAAAATTTTTTATTTTGAAAGAATTCAATTATTTAAAAAAAAGTTGATAGAAGTCTTCGCAAGAATTCAATAATTTTCAATACATTAATTTTAAAATTCAAAACATTTAAAAAGAAAAATTATTAAAATAGGAAACAAAAAAACAATTAACAATAATTGAAATAACCGGAATACAATAGTTATTAAAATAAATTATTTACCTTCGAAGCGTTGGTCAACGTCTCAACATGTACAGGTTCATCGAAACTTATCGCCTTTTCGGTATTAATTTCTTTAGATAATATAGAATCAGAATTCTTTCTTGTCAAATCATCAGCTGTGGAAAATAATTACAATAATTTTACTGAACAGTTTAAAATTGGTTTAACAAGAAATTAAAATTTTTGTTTTAACTTCTATTGGTAAAATTGCTTAATCAGCTTTTCTGAATTTCAAATTTGAAAAAGTAATTATTTTAGGAAACTATTTTTTATTGTAATATTTAAAATAAAAATGAATAAGAAATACAGTGGAAATAAGAAAAAACAACAAAACACTCAATTGAATTCTCTAGATTGCAAAATTTGTTTAAAATTCAAATAATAAGATGAAAAAACAATAATAAGCGGAAAAATAATATTTCTATTAATATTATACTTTGTAAATTTTCTGTATTAAAATAACAAAACTGTTGTTCAAACTTTAAATTTAAACTTTAAAGAAAGACTATAAATCATAAACAATGTATATGTTATTGATAATAGTTTAATAACAAATTGACAAGTAATTTTAAACAAAAAAAAATTAACACGTCAGTGAGATAAGATTTTTAATTAGACAAGATTAATAAACAAGATTCTGTAATAGTAAATTTAAATATTTTATATTTTTTTCATTACGAACGTAAACTTTCATTTCACAACTTTTTATTATTATTATTATTATTATTATTTTGATTTTACTGATAAATAACTTTCATTTTATTTTATTAACGAATCAAGAGGTTTTAAATCTAGAAAGTATCGATAATAATAATTTTCTATTTTTAAAATGTTGCCAAAATTTAATTTTCCCAATCTCGAGGATTTTGAGCATTTAATTAAGACAGAAAGTTAAAAAGTAAAGAAAAATTACTTATTGCATTGCATGAATTGTATCAATTCTTCAAAAAATTGGAAGGCGAAATTTTTAAAAAGAATAAACTAAATTTTTAAATTCAGTAAACATACCACTAATGCTTGCTTCCTTTCCAGAACTCGGTATGCTCAAACTTCCGCCATCTTCACTGTCAAATTCCAAAGACTCATCATCGTCATCTTTGGTTTTCTCCTCATTTTTCCTCAAAACAGGTGGCGTATCAGTGGGCGAGAGAATTTTCAAATCGCCCATTCTTCCCATTAGATTTTTTATTTTTCCGGAAACTGCCACCCGACGTGGTGGCTGCTCCTTCCCCTCTTCGTCTATCGGCCGAATATTCAAACTATTCGGTGGATTACTTTTCGAAATGCAAGCACCGTCAACAACATTTTCGACTTTATTCGACTCTGGTTCTTTTGTTCTCGTTCTAAGATTATCGGGTTTTTGCGGAATAATTGGTGGCAACTTTTTAACCTCGGAATTTGACACTTTTTCATCAATATTGGATTCTTTTGACTCAGGCTTATCCTTAATGGCACTATCTTCAGACTTTATTTTATCGACATCCTTGGGAGCTTTATGCCCGAAAAGATCATCATCGTCATCCATATCGTCATCAAATAAACCACTTTTACTTGCTTGAAAAATATTCGATAAATCACTGCCGGCTTTATTAATATTTATCTTCTCTCCTTTATTTGAATTCTTTTCCGAATTCGATGCAGCAGATTTTAATGAATCATTATCATCATCATCGAATATATTTGTGACTTTAGTTCCTTTTTTGGGTAAAATTGAACCAAATAAATCATCGTCCTCGTCACTATCACAAAAAATGGATTTACTTAATTCAGAGGCTTTTTTCACTACTGTCGATGAATCATTTTCCCTTGCCTCACCAAATAGATCAGAAGTTTTTCGTGTTGATGATTCATTACCTAAATTCACTATTTTTTTATCAACGGAGAAAATATCTGGAGAACTTTTAACGGCAAAAATATCATCACTATTGTCTTCATTATCGTCGTCGTCGTCATCGAAAATACTGATTTTTTTCGATGTCTTTGGTTTTTCTTTGTTTTCTGATTTCTTCAAATCGACACCTTTTTCCGATTGATTATATTTCGATATTGAATTAGCAAAAAGTTCATCATCAGAATCCGAATCATCGAAGAGAGAAATCACTTTTGATTTGGATGATTTTTCATTCGCTTTGGGCAATGGCGGTGGACCGAAAACATCGTCATCGACTTCATCGAATATATCATTATTCGATGGGATTTTATTTTCTTGCACTGTTGTAAATAAATTATCACTAGAAACTCTTTCACGATCAAGCTCTTCTGATTTCAATCTCGTTGAAGTCATCGGAGGTTGAAAATCCACTCTGAAAAATTAAAAATTCTAATTAATATAAAATATAATATTAATATTATAATAAATTTATAATGATTTAATTGTAACCGTTTAGCGAATCAAAATTTTGAAAATGAGAGAACAACCTGATAAACGAAATTCTCCATTAATATTATTAGGGTTGTAAATCCATTGGAGATAATTAGAAGAAAAGAATGTTTCGTTATTTTTCCCAAAGGAATTTATTAATTGTCTTTGGAGTGTCTAACAAAATGACATTATGCGCACTTTCCTTTCAACAGTGAGTATTCACTAACTGCTAGGCAGTTAGAATGAATTTTCCAGGTGAAAGGCGCACAGAAATTCGTATCGCATTGGCTAAAATAGCAGACCTAGTTCTTTTGGCAAAGATTTCTAACTCTTATCATTTTTGCAAATAAAATAAACAAAAAAAAAAACATCTTCCTTTCACGAACAAAAATAAAAACAGAAAATGAAAGGAGAACTTTTTCGTCCACTTTCTCCAAAAATTAAGTTTAGAGAAAATTTTCTACAAGGTAAAAAAAGAAATATTTATGAATATGGTATAATAATTAATAAATATTGTATTTTTTAAATATATTTTTCAATAAATAAAAATTATTGATTATTACGCGTTTATTAATATTACAAAGTAATTTTTATTTAATAAACGAAATTTAATAAAATTTAGTAAACAAAATAATAAAACAAAAATTAATATTTCTACAGAAAAAAAATTGAGTTATTAACAAAAACACAACACTAATTTTAAAGCATGAATTTTTTAATTTATAAGAATAAATAAAAATAAATTATAATGAAAAATGAATTTAATTTTGTATTATTAAAATGTATTATCAAAAAAATTACTACAAAATGATAAATAAAATTTTGTTTATCAATTTTGCATAATTAATTCTATTTATTGTTGACGGGGGTCTATCTATTCGTAAATATTTGTCTTCACTAAAATTCTGACGTATTTATTTCATATAAAAAGGCAAAATCTTCAAGATGTTATCAATAAATCAAACTTTAACTGGACCCATTAACATTTCAATTTTGTTAATTATTAATTATAACATTTTCTTTAATAATGAAAACCGTCTTTTGGTTCCTTCTCTCTTTTGTGTTAGTAACATTCTCTTCGGCTTATTGTAAGTGAAAAATAATTTTTTACTTTGGTATAAATATTAATTTTTTGTACAAATTATTTCCTATAAATATTTTTATAAATTAAATTATTTAATTATTTAATTTTTAATTAATTATTAAATATTTTTTTAAAAATTATTAATTAATCATTTAATAATTTTTAAATAATTATTAATTTCAAAAATCACTTTTTTTAAAGCAACGGCAAAAATTTGCAAATACAAAGGACGACAGATGACAGCAGGACAAATAAACATTGACTGCTTTTCAAAAGCAACATGCATGTCAGATGGAAATATCAAAAAAGTACCATCGTAAGTATCTAATTGTTAAAAAAATTAAGAAAATATTTTTCTAAATCGAAAATTTGTTGAAATAATTAAATTTAGAAATTTACTAGAAAAATATTTTATTACAAAAATATATTTCGTTCTAAATTTAAATAATATTAAAAAAATCTTACTTTAGATTAATTTAAAAATAATTTCTATGAATTAGTAATTTAATTACATTTCGTTTCTGTTAAAGCTGTCCGAGGTATTTCTGTCTTCCCAAGAGCAAAGTGACAGGGTACAAGCGATTTGAAACAAATCAATCATTTCCCCATTGTTGTGGTGGAGAAATTTGCGAAGAAAAGTACAAGAGTTTTTGGTAAAAAAAAAAATAGAAAGCAAAAAATAAGCGAGAGAATAGCGATATTCAGTATTATTAGAAATAAACAATGCGAAACGATTCTTTATATTGTAAGCATATTTTTGATATCTCTCTACTTATCAATATAATTTATCACCAATTTATCATTTTTATACTTTGATTAAATTGTCTATTACTTTATAACACTCTAGTCTTAACAATTTGTAAATATTTCAATAGCACTTTATCATAATATTTAATTAAAGATTTTACAATGTTCCTATTTAAATATTAAAATTCTACATAATTCTAAAAATTCTAAACATTTTAGAAATGAGAAAACGTTATACATTTTAAGTATCAACGTTATTGTAAATATATTGTAAATAAAATGATACATGTTAATATTATTCTATTTAATAAATAATTATTTAATTATACTCCAATTTTCGTAAAATGAATTAAAAATTAATTTAAATTCATAATTTCAGATAATTTACACTTTAGTTCAAACTTATTTACATTTAGTTAATTTATTCGGCAGGAATAATTCTGTTTACTCTTAAACAAAGAAACAAACAAAATGTTATTTAAAAAAATGACATTGCGTGCTTTCTGCGTAACAAAATAATCAAAATTAAAAAATAATTAGCGAAACAAATGAAGAAATCGGGAAAGCATTTAAAAATAAATAACTCTTACCTCTATATTGAAAATAAATATCATTTGTTACGTGCATAATGAACGCAATTATATATACTTTTACTTTAAGAGATGTATCACACTACGCGCTGGTTGAGAAATTCTCACATGCAAAGATTGTTCAAGAGATGCTTGCCTTGCAAATTACGTGACTAATGCATAGAACATCTTTACGATGCAAATGTAATATCACAGATTTTTCTTCTTACAAATATGAAAATTGAATAATTATCTTCATTCAAGTTTCTTTAAATTCAATTAATTATATTATTACAAATGACTTAAAAAAATCCAAGTAAAAAATTTCTATTTTTTAATTTTATCGTTTAAATTTTAACATTCTTTTCTAATCCATCCTACGAATTTTTATCTCGATTTTTAATCACTACTTTTATTAAATCAATTTCTTTACTCAAATTATTTCCGCTCTTTTCCTCTGCTTCATTTTACTGTATCGCCATTCTGACTATTTTTACTTTTAGCTTTTCTATTTTTGTATCTCCTAGTACAGTACAATTTAATGTTCAACCTTGAGGTCCAGTTAAGATATGATTTCTGAGTCCCCTCATAGCAAAATACTTATTTTCTTTTAAATATTCTCTAATACTGAATTTAAATATTCCCTAATAGTCAATAATTGGGATATTTACAAAATTTGATAAATAATTGAAAGTATTTTCTACCCGAATGATTTGATTTGATTATCGTGCTTTGATTATAAGTTAAGAATTTGAAGTAATCAAATTTTTTCATTTTGTAATTAATTAGAAAATTGTATTTAAAAAAATGTCTCACCCTGAACTGGAACCAAATGCACTACTCGTGGTGGAAAGTTGAATTGAAGTTCTACTGCTTTGAGTACTTGAATCCGTAAGATTTTCATTCGGTGATAGATTTTTTGGAATATCAATACCCGTTTTACTGGTAGCACTGTCGGGATTTGCACTCTCACTGCCCGAAGAATCCGAGGAGCTTTGACGAAATATTTTCGTTGATAATTTCGACGACCGGAAGTCCATTCCGTGAAGAACTGAAACTCCTCCAACTGGTTTCTAAAATGTAAACAATTCCATTAGTCCACTGTGTCAATCAGAAAAATAGTAAAGAAAATAAAGTAAATTATTTACTGAAATAAAAAAATAAATTAAGTAAATTATTTATTTTTAATAAGAAAAAAAATAAAAATTATTTATTAAAAATACTAAATGAAATAAATAAAAAAATATCAGTAATGAATATTTAGATAAAAATATAGAAACGAATAAAAAGAATGCAATAAATTAAAAACAAACTTAAAGAATCGAAGGAGCCAAAACTTTTGAAAATAAAAAAGGATATAAAAATAGATAAAAGTAAAAAATAAGAAGAAATTATTTTAAAATTACTTTTCGAATGCTGTTGTCAACAGGTGGTGCATCGACGTGACTCTGTGGCTTCGATGTACTAAAAAGATCATCCTCGTTTATTTCTTCGTCAGCAAAGAGATCCTTAACATTATCGTCCGTTTCCGACAGGCTTGTTGTCATACTTCCAATATTATCCATAAAATCGCTATTCATGAACTTTTTATTCCCAGCATCTTTTGGATTCGAGAAAATATTTTTCTTCGAACTTTTTGTTGAAAAAATATCATCAGAATCATCGGAATCTGCATCTCCGAATAAATCATCAAAAGCAGATTTTGGTTTCGTTGCTGAAAAGATGAAAAGTATTTTTTAAAATATAATTCTTTTAATAATTACTTCATGTATTGTAGAATAAATAATTATTGTAAGAAAGTATTTTTGTATTTATAATAATTATAAAATTATTACAGGTAGAACTTATTGGCGGTGGAACATCAACACTTGGAGGAATCATATTCGTTTTTACGGGTTTGGGAATAGTTTTATTCCATTTTGGCGGTATATCGTCGTCAAATAATCCACCACCACCACCTCCACTTCTTCCTCCTTCACTGAACAAATTTTCAGATTTATTGCTGAAAATATCTTCTTCATCGTCTTCTTGAGAAAATAGATCATCTGCAAAATGGTTTAAAATAGTTTGAAATAATTCCTTTTTCAAAAATTTAAAGAAATTCTTCTTCGAATGGAATAATTCTCTCCAAACACTTTGTGAAATAAAATGAAAGTCAAATTTTTTTCCTTACCTTTTGCACGATTTATAGAAGGATTATCAGCTTCCTGTGTGATAACTGTCTTTTGAATAGGAAGGACACTTCCCAATCGCTTAGCCAATTCCTCCGCAAAACTCGGTGGACCATTATTGATATTTTGATTCTAATTTTGAAAATTAGATAATTTACATTTTTTAGCGTTAGAATATTAAAAAAGATGATGAAAGATGATGATTAAATGAAAGAAGGTAATGAAATCTTAATTAAAAAATAATGAAATTTTAATTAAATAAAAAAAATGTCAATGAAATCTTAATTAAATGAAAGGGGTAATGAAAATATTAATAAAATGAAAAAAAAAAGAAATCTTGAATAATTTTCGTTAGAGAAGAAAATGAATTATAAAAACGAAAGAATATGTAAAGAATGTAACCTTTGGTAAAACACTAGTTGGCGTAAGAGGTTCGGACTCGATATTCAATGTATCTTGACTCTTAGCCCTGAGACTTCCATTATTAGTTCCTCTCGTACTGTTACTATCTAAATTATAATCATTCGATTCACTTGACGCAGACGATAATTGAGAGTGTAACGATTTCTGACGATGAGTTACATTCAGCAAATCCATTCCCTTAGTTTCCGCCTCGCTCGACGAGTCTTCCTCATCCTCCTCCTCCATCTGCTCCGACTCACTGCTACTCGACTCTAAACCTATTTTGACTGATGTTTTCCACTTATCCGAACCAATAATATACGGTAAGGGACGATCTTGATATGGATCTTTCGGCCGCAAAATTACACTGCAATGTAAACAATTTAGAATTTAAAAAAACGAAAAAAATTTAAATAGGTTTGAAGAAAAAGAAAATTCTCATCAACTTAAAAAGAAAGTAATTATTTCTACCTCGGTAATGTATTTTCAGCTTCGTCTTCACTGTCACTGGCCACAACGTCCACTTTATCGTATTTTTCATCTATTATTCGTAAACCTTCTTTTATACTTTCGTTTACGATGGCAATAATATCCGCTGGATTTAATTCCCGTTCGGTTGTATTCTGCAGGGAAAAAATTTTTCTTATTGAAATGAAATACCATTCAACTATCAATTTTCTCAAAGAAAAGTATAAAACCAAAAGAAGCAAAACTTGAAACATTTTCATGTGTACTTGTATTACTTTTTCAACTTGTTCAGTGACTTTGTCGATTTCGACATCATCCTCTTGCACTCGACTTTCAATAAATTGTGTATTGGCCAAAGCTAATGATGTGTTCGTAAGATTATCTACAAATATTGCAGTTTCATTTAAACGATTCGTCAATGAATCCAAGGCCTCTGTTGTCTCATTAGCTTTTGTCGTTAAATTCTGCACAAAAAATACTCCTATCAGTAAAATAAGATAAAGATAACACTAAAATACATATCATAAATTACGAGTAGTATCTAAATTCTAAACCATAACCAAATCAAAAAAATAAATAATAACCTCGGAAAAGCGTTCGAGATGTTTTAAAAGTCCAGCATCACCAGCAAGACTCCATTCTCTTCTTCTATTTCGCATTTCTTCTGTACACCAAGGATGATCCCATGATTTCTCAGCAGTGCCATCGGAGCCAGCTGAACCATCCTGTTTTTTTTAATGATGAAAAAAAGAAAAATAAACATGAGTTATCTGAATTTTAATTTCACCAATATTTATCAATATTTTACCAGGTAATTTATAAAAGTCTAGAGAAAAATTATTTCTTGTGCTGTTTATACTTTGACACAAGGTAGAGAGATTAAAGAAAACAATTTTTGTTTACATCGTTCGTGGAATTTTTTTTTATCTCAAAACCGTCACCAAAAAACTGACCATATTAACATCCATGACTATACGGCAAGCACTGTTCCTGCCGTTGATTTCTTCCGTGTCATTCAAAAAAAAGAACGAGAAATTATATTTTTTCAGAATAAAAAAATTTAGAACAATCCACTAATTTTCTCTCTCGGGAAAAAACCACTTTGCAGGTGGAGCACGACACTTGTGTGGTTTTAAATCGCAACTCTCGATTGCCAGGAGCGGCACTGTTTTTAAAAACTTAAATTTAACAATTTTAATTAATTATTTAATTTTATTTTACTTAACATTTTAAAAAGATTTTTTTAAATGTTCCAAATATTTACAATACTTGAAAAGAATATTTCGTTTTATAAGAAAAATTTCTTTTCAGCTTTTCTTGATATTTAAGAATCGTATTTATAACAATCAATCATAGATTGATATTTTGAAATATTTTGCCTAAATTGAATAATAAAAACTTTTTAGACTTTTTACAAAAAACCGGTAATTTCTATACAAGTTAAATTTGTAAATTATAAATTAAATTGTAAATTGGATTAAAAAATTAAAAACCGAGGGCACCGAGGGTGAGAAAACTACTGCCAGCACTGATTTATATCAACTGAAGTTAGCCGCAAGTTCCGGTGGTTCTCAAGCCGAAAACTGTCAAAATTTGAGGTTATGTATCAGATATTGTCGTCAAGTTTTCTGCTTTATCAATTGTTGTGTTATTGTTAAAAGGGTAATGAAACCCGACAAAGAAATATTTGTCGGCGTTCACATCTTTTTTTTTTGTTAAAATTCCACGGTTTTGCTCGATTGACCGACAAGAAAATGGTGTAGGTTGTTTGTCAATATTTTTTTTTCGAAAGATTGTGCTTTCCTTTGCCAAAATATAAAACCCAAACTAGTGAATTACGACAAGCTTCTATCAACATTGAATCTACTGTACATGGGAAATTAACAAGCCATTGTTTCTGACGTAATTGATACATTGTGTAGGCGTATTTGTTCAAGTTTGCATACGCATTTTTGATTACAAAGCTGTAAAAATTTCGTTCATAAAAAAAAGGTATGTAGTTGTTTCCTGTTCGAAAAGAATTTTTGAAATTCGTCACAAACTGAATTTTATTTAGCAACAACTATTATCATTGATTTTTGTTTTTGTAGGAAAAGGGATAATTTCGGTTGATTTGAAATAAAACTTGGTGCTATTAGTATTTTAGGAAAAGATAATCCATGATTGGTAGGTACAGATTGTTTTTAAGTATAAAAGTAGATTTTAATTATTTTAATTGGTCTTTGTATTTGTTAAGGTAAAAAAAGGAAAGAAAATGAAGCAGGAAATTTCGTGGTTGATGAAAGGAGATTCATCTGAGAATGAAGAGTTGTTTAGAGGAAATTGCATTCTGTTTAGTTGATGCACAAGAGAGCGTCGTAGATCATTTTTCTTTTTCTTTATTATTGAATATTGTTAGTGAAGCTCATTTAGAGCTTTATAATTGTTCGAAATCACCAAGTGTTCAAAAAACCACTTTTAATGAAGCTAAAGTGGCGCGCGTGGGGGCAAGCTCTCTTCTGAGAACGTTCAGCGTCGTACAATTGACTTCGATGAACAATGAACCATTCGGGAAGCGGAAAACGTCAGGCGAAGGTTTTGGAAGAAAACTATTGGGATTGCAGTGTTTGCACCTATAGAAATACAGCAGAAGCATTCAAGTGCCTCATGTGTGACGTCCGTAAAGGAACTTCTACGCGGAAGCCCCGCATCAACCCTCAATTAGTGGCCCAGCAGGTCTCGAAAAATTCTCTAATATTTTTTTAAAATTTTATTTACACAATTTATTGATAAATTTGAAAATTTTCAGGTTGCTCAGCAACAGTACGTGCCACTGTTAAAGCCAGGTAAAAAGGAAGGTGGTAGTGGAGGAAGTACGACAAGTAGTGGTAAGGAAAGAGAACGCAAACTGGATAAACCAAGGCGTAAGAATCGACATCCCCCTAGACTTAAAAATATAGACAGAAGTACCGCCCAAACAAATGAGGTGACAGTAAATAATGTCACTGTCGTTATCACTGAGTATAAGCCAAAAGTGAAAAAAAGTTCCGATCAATCGGGTCTCTCAAGTAGTGCATCGTCCGAAAATGGTAGTCAACACGACTCCAATCAAGATTCAAGAAGTTTGGACATAGGAACAGACGCTTAATGCGTTTCTTGTGTCAAAAAAAAAAAACAAAAAAATGAAAAAACAAAAAAAAAATTCGTCTATGAAATATTCTAACTAATATATATATATATATATAATGTATGTCAACGTTGTCTATTATCCCGGACATGTTCTATCTACCTTTAAATTAAAATATAGACCCTACGCTAATCATGTTTACATAGAAATTTAAATTCTATGATCATTATTAGCGTAATAATGACTTGCAATTTGTGAAACAACCACTGCCAGAGAGCAAATATTTTATTTAAATACTTAAAACCAGTTAATTATAATTAGTATACGTATATCTTATATTAAATTTTCACCCCTATTTTTTTCCCCTATCTGTGAAAGTAGTCTAGACGAAAATTAATGAATTTTTTGCCTTTTTTAAAACTAAAAGAACTTAAATTTTTCAAATATTGTATAATTTTTAAATGAATGAATGAATTAATTAATGTAATGTGTTTTAAGAAAAATGTGAACGAATCCTATTATCTATATTTTATTTCATTTGACAAAAGACTATAACGACATTCTTTTTAGAAAATAATTATAAAAATGTCGATTGTTCTTTATAATGCGCTCAATCAAATTTCTGCAATTTTTGTTGTCAAATATGCGTTTATTTTTTTCGTAGTAAATATATATATATTTCACATTTCAGTGAAAGTAGAGAGTATGTTTTATGTAATTCTTAAATGAAAACTTATTAAAAGATAAGTTTTTTGTTCTTGTAACGGTTAATTTTTACACTACTCATATGTATTTGAATTCTGAAATTCTATGTACAATAAATTTATACCGTCACTGAAAATCTGTTGAATTTTTTAAAGTAAAAAAAAGTAAATATTCCTAAAACGAAACTAAATTTATAAAAATACTTTTAAAGTTGTTTCTGGAAAAATTAATATTTATCGGATAACAAGTCGATTTTTTATAAATCAATTTAATGAGTTCAAGAATGAAAATTAAACATTAGAAAAATGTTATATTACAACACAATTAAATTGAAACATTATTTACATTACCTAACTTTTTAAAACTTCTAGTTTTCGCTCTTTGTCTTCTTCTTTTTCTTGCGCATTTTTTTCGCCGATAATTCGAGATTTATTTGTCCGATTTCCTCAGCCACTTCCATCATTTCTTCATCCTGATCTGTCGTCATTTTTGTCTCATCAGATTTCATCTTGATTAATTCTCGATCCTGAAATCTTTCCATAACTAAAAAAAATAAAAGTTATTAAAATTGCTGAAAAAAATTATTAGAGGCTCAAAAATTTGATTGTTAAAATATCCAATTACCTAACGTTATTTGAGTGAAATCGAATACTTTATAATTATGAGCTTTATTATCGCCTCCAACGGAGAAAACAAACGGATTATCTGGACTCGAATCGAGACAAAGAATTTTTCCAAGATTTGTTTTCTTTTCCCAAACCAATTGCGGCTCTTTCAGATCAATTAGATCCCAGACTTTAAGAATATCATCGTCAGATGTGGTGACCATTAGACCAGGACACGAAGTACTCATTGATAAACCTTGAGAAAAAAAGGAGAAAAGAAATTTAAATTCGAGAAAGAAAAATCAAGTAATGAGATTAAATTATACTTTAAAACAAATTTACCTGTTATAGCACCTTCGTGAATATTTTGTTGCCATAAAGGAGCTTTTTTCCTGACATCAATGCACTGAATGAATCCATTATCGGTAGTAGCCTGAAAATATTTTATTAAAGTAAGTTTATTTCGAAACCAACATTATTATTATTAAATAAAAAGAATATGAAAAGGAAAATACTAATTTTCCTTTAAAAAAAGAAACCACTAAAGTAATAATAATTTTAAATTTCGTTACTCACGAAACAAATATTAGGATCAAAATGATTCCACAATACTCGTTCGACTTCTCCAGGACTTTCCCACGATAGGGTTTCGAAATTGTCCTCCGTCCTGAAGTCGAGCAATCTGACAAATCTGAAAATAATTTTAACCAATAGAAACTTTTCTTGATAATAATTTTCAAAAACATAATTTCATTCTCACTTATCAATCGATCCTGTCAACAAATGATGAGCATTTTGTGGATGCCACTTGATTGTTTGTACCGCATCATTAAATGGCGATAATTTCGTGACCGGCGTTCCATTGTCTAAATCCCACAATAATACAGTTTTGTCCACTGAACCACTTGCTAACACATGCCTGGGGGAAAAAATTAAAATTTTTAATTAAAAAGTAAATTAAAATTAAAGATCCAAAAAGCAAAATAATTCAATTCTCATTGTCATTATACGTACGTATAATTTTTATTCCACGATAAATCCAAAACAGATTTCTTGTGACCGATTCGTTTAATTTTTTTCTTTTTATTCTCCTTACGTCCCAATTTGAATGCTGGCTCTAAACAATCGACTAGATCCAAATCCCAAACTTTAATTACTGGCGTAAAATCACCAATAGCGCACAAATTGCCTAAAATGAATAAATACATTGAACATTTTCGATCTAAAATATTTGTAATACAAATAAAAAATTAGTTTATTTACCTGGCTTAGCGTCACTAGGATCATAATTGAGCCACTCGAGACACAAAGGTTGTGAGGGTAATAAAATATCGTGATGACAATAGAACGATCCTTCCTCCTCATTATACACTGAAATTTGACAATCAATAAATCATTAAATTGTCAATTTTTAACTATTTTTTCTATTTATTTTCTATTTTCTAACTATATTCTTTTTACATTCTCATAAAAAATGAGAAGGTCTCGTTTTATTTCTATTTACTTAAATAGATATTTAGCCATACCAAATATTTCCAAAATACTGGCATCCTCCTCGATATGTCCCATCAAAACAAGATTATCATTGGGTTTAATGATATCATCTTCTTTCTCAGAATCATCGTCGTCATCCTTGATTGTTATCAAAGGATCCTCCTCAAATTCCGCTATATTATTAATATAACAGTGGATATTACCAGCTGTGGAAAATTGCAAACAGGTAATTAAATTGGAAATAAAGCATGACAATGTTTTCTTTTAAAAACAAAGAACCATCAATGTCACATACATTCGTCATCATAATTTTCGAAATTAAACTCGTCTTGGTCGGCTGCACTTTTAATTGTAACGTTTTCCTCTTCCATATCATCATCGACGTTTTCAGATTTATTTCCCTTACTCTTCTCCTTTTTAACTTTTGTATCTTTTCCTTTTGATGACGATGGTTCATTGTCACTGTCCGACTCATCCTCAAGGTCACTAGAAAATTTATTTACACTCTGAAGAAAATTAATTAACTTACAAAATACTTAAATAATGTTTTCTAAATAAATCTTATTGTCAAAATAAATATCGTGTGTCAAAGTGACATTTTTGTTGAAATATGTCAAATAGGTAAAAAAATGTAAACGATGTAAACTTACTCCAAAGCTGTCTTAGTTTCCTGGATAATATTCTTTAATTCCTCTGGACTTAATTGTACCTGAAAAGTAAATATTGGTTTAATTTCTTTTTAAATAATTAATATTTAAAGCGCATGTAAATATTGTTGAGAATCCTAACCTTATCGGGTACCGCTGCTGCAACTCCTTTTTTTACCCACGTTGTACACAATATTGCGCTTTTCGTTTCCGTTGTTTCCATCGTAAGTAAAACAATTCCAAAATTTCGCAAACAATTTAAATAAATATTCTCTCTATAATTAAATTTTAGGCAAATATTAAAAACGTTAAAGTTAAAAACACGTGTAATGAAAACACGACCACGTTTTTTAAGGTCAAAATGCGCATGCGTGAATTTAACTAATCAAAATTTGAGATACAAATTAATGCGGCAATTGATGATTTAACAAATTTTCTTTTTCTTTAAAAATTTCTATAATAAAAATTAAAAAGATAATAAATTACAAAGCGTTTATATAATTTAAAAATTGTTTTTTAGATGAATAAAAAAAGTAAAAGCCAAAAAGAATGAAAAGTATTTAAAATTTATCGAATTTTGGATTTAAAGAATCATTTAATTATTATGATTATTAAATTCGATTAAATTTATTATTACGTTTTAATCATTACTTTTAAATTATTGAAATTCCTATTATTTTTATTAAATCCCACAATTGTTTATTTTTTACAGATTAAATAGATCTTTTTACAAATAGAAAAAAATTCCTGTATAATTTAATATAGATATTGTTCTAAATAATCAAAATTTTATTCACAATAACGAAAACGTAAATTTACGACTTGTTTTTGACAGGAATTAAATAATAAAAAAATAAAAAACAACTTTTCTTATCGATACGAAAATAATTGTCAAAAAAAACACGAAAACGTGCGGCTATATAATTTTAATCAGAAGATATACTTGATCAAAGTCTAAAAATGGCAATTTTATTTGATGAAATTCTGATATTGTAAATCAAACTTCAAAATCGCTGATAAGAAGGACACCATGTATATAAAATGCGAAGTGACGATTTAAACGAATTCCCCTCACGAAACGAATGCCTATACACATTTAATCTATCCTTTTGATATACACTCATTTATAACTTTGGCAACGCTACTAGAAGTTAGTAATACTTCAGCTATCACAAAAGAAAAAATAAAAACATAATACAAATTATTTTTCAGTGATAAAATGGTGTTATAATTTTTTGTTTGCCTTAGCAATTAATTTGTTACTAAATATAGATTTAAAAAAAAAAAATTAGTTAAAAAACAAACAAAAATGGGATTAATAAAAACTGGAATTCTCGGATTATTTATAGTCTATACTGTTTCTTTGTATCTGAGATCAGGTAAGACTGATTTTGAAAAACTTCCAAATACTTGGTGGGGGCCTGGAAAAGAAAAACAAGTTGATCAAAGTGTTCGTCCATTTAAAGTAGTTTTTCAAGATAAGGTAAGATATCTTTTTTTAAAAAATAGACGTACAAATATAAAAAAAAACAAGTTGTTCATTTCATGATCATTAAGCTTCCTCAATATAATATATACCAATTGTTTAATTTTTTATTTTAGAATAATTATTTTAAAGTGTTAAGATAAATTGTCAAAAAATACAAAAATTCAATTTTTTGTGAAAATTTAAAATATTTATTAATTCTATAAATTTTGATAAAATATATACTTTATATACATAAATCGATTCGTTTTTATGTCAGGAATGCAATTTTGACAAGAATTAATAAAAATTTTAATATAGAAAAAAGTTATTTCAAAAAATCCAAAAATTAATTTTTTTCAAAAATTAAAAAATTGTTGAAAAATTTTTTTTTTTTTTTAGATATTTTTGAAAATCCTTTTGTCTGATTTTTGGTATTCGTGACCGTAATACACCTACAAAATTTTATCAAAATCCGTCAAGACGTGTAAGAGAAAATTTGTCCACAAGAATCGGTGACATACACACACACACACACACACACACATACATCCGGACATTTGTTCCTCTCGACGAATTATGTATACTACACTTGAAAATTTGTAAAAATAATTGGTTCTAAAAAATTCGGAAATCGACATCACTATAAGGCTTCCTTTATGAGGAAGCAAAAACAAAAAATTCAATTTATAATTCAAGAACCATTTATCCATTTAATTGTTTTGTCACTTTTTTATTCTACTTTATACCTAATCCGGAATATTTTTCAAAACAAGATTTGTTTGTTTGGGTCTAAATGAAAAAAATGGGATTTTTCAGGACGTCGAAGATTTAAAATTAAGATTAAAAAATACACGACTAGCAAAACCGGGATTAGAAGGTGCTTCTTGGACCTATGGCGTGCCTTCTCAGGCATTGCCGAAAATAATTGACTTTTGGCTAAATAAATATGATTTTAAAAAAAGAGAAACCTATGTGAACAAGTATCCTCAATTCGTAACGAATATTCAAGGTAAAAGTCTGATAAAAAGCACCTTACATATTAAATAATCTATTTTTAAATTCCCCCAGAAATGATTTGCATAATTTTCACGATGGATTTTTTTTTATTATTTAAGTATTATTTTCTAAAAATAGGAATAAAATAGGAATAAAAAAAGAATAAAAATAAGGCCTGCATCAAAAATCAGGCTCATTGGGCCTATTGGCAAATTTGCCAAAAGATAAATTTTGCGTAAATAAAAAATTTATTTTCTATTTAATAAATTTCGTTGTAGAGGAAAAAAATTATAATTGAAAGAAAATTAAAAATGATTCGTTAAATTAAATGCCTCTTTTCTCAAATTCTATTTTTTTTCTATATTTAATCTATTTTTGAGTGCATAAATTTTTTCTCAGGTCTGGATATTCATTTTTTGCACGTGAAGCCAAAAGATGCGAAAGGCAAGAAAGTTCTTCCGTTATTGCTACAACACGGTTGGCCAGGATCGGTTTTGGAATTTTATAAAATAATCCCACTTCTTACGAATCCAAAGACAGAATACGATTTCGTTTTCGAAGTGATAGTTCCATCACTGCCAGGTTTTGGATTTTCCGATCCGGCCGTAAGACCAGGTCTTGGGGGCAATGAAATGGCAGTCGTACTCAAAAATCTTATGTTGAGATTAGGATTTAACAAATTTTACACTCAAGGAGGTGATTGGGGCGCTATAATTACTGCCAATATGGCTGCAATGTTTCCTCAACAGTAAAAACCCATTTCGATTAATTCTCTAATTAATAACTGTTAAATTTAGATTTATATTTAAATTAAATATTTAAATTTAAATTTGGATTTAAAAATTAAATTTTAATTTCTATTTCAATTTAAAATTTAAATTTTAAATATTAATTAAAAATTAATTTTTTGAAAAATTTACAGCGTACTGGGAATGCACTCAAACATGTGCGTTGTTTCATCGGCTTGGAGTACCGTGAAAACCTACTTTTTCAGTTTCTTTCCATCTCTTTTGCTACCAGAAGAAGATCATCATTTGATGTATCCAATGGGTGAACATTGGTCTAGAAAAATTGAAGAAACCGGATATTTGCATATTCAAGCGACAAAACCTGACACTTTAGGTGCGTGAACGAAAAAAATTATCTTTAGAAAATATTTTAATTTTAATAAAGAAAAAAAAATAATTAATGAAAACCATTTCAGGTGTTGCTCACAGTGATTCACCAATAGGCTTGGCTGCCTATATTCTTGAAAAATTCTCAACAGGCACAAATCCCAATTACAGAATGAGAGACGATGGTGGTCTTTTTGAAAAACATACTCCTGATGAACTCATTGACAATTTGATGTACTACTGGATTCCAAATACAATGACAACGGCCGTGAGAATTTACGCTGAAACATTTAATAAAAAAATGTTAAAACCTGGAGCGCATAAGTAATTTTTTTTATTAATTTCTTTACTATTAATTTCATTACTATTAATTTCATTATTATTAATTTCATTAAATTTAGCGAATAGAAAATATTTACTGATGCAAAATTAATATTCGTAATAATCGTCTGTTCGTAATTACCATTCTAAAATTACTATACTTAAATATAATCTTACAGTGCGCCGATAAATGTACCAAGTGCGTGTGCTCAATTTCGTTATGAAATTGCGTATCAGCCGGAATGTTTGCTCAAAGAGCGCTTCAAAAAATTACTTCGTACAACAAAATTCCCTAAAGGTGGACATTTTGCAGCGATGGAGGAACCCCAACTTTTGGCCGAAGATATTTGGGCATCAGTGAAAATCTTCGAAGAATCTAAAAAGAAAACAAGTTCTTGATGTAAATTATTTTTCTAATTACAAAGTCGAATATTCACTTAAAGTCTATTTTTAAACTCAATTCCATGAAAAAATATTTATCCGAATAAAAGAAAATTTAAATTCAAGAACACGTCCATCAATGATAAACAAAATCAAACAAAATTTTTTTCAAGAATACATATTTCTTTAATTGAATTTTGTAAATTAATAGCAAATTTAATTCTTAATTTGAAAACTTGTATCTTAAATTTAGAATAACAATTTTCAATTTTTTCGTTTCAAAAATACTAAACAAAACTTGTTATTTTTTGTATAGAAAAATTTACTTTTACGATGAAATTATATTTATCTTATCATTTTATTTTTGCAACAATGTTACAATTCAAATATTGCACGTGACTAAAATTATTAGAGATGTAGTTATAATATAAAAAACTGCAGCATCACTTTATAAAATGACCTTCAACACATAGGCACACACTCCTTATGTAAAGTGAATAATTGACAATAAAATGACTGCGCAAATAAAATCTATTAAATCTTTATAATAAATGTTCTTGAACTTAAAAGACAGTCGAAAAAATTCCATGCCATCAAAATCAAATTACAAATAAAGTAGAATAAATAAAGAATTCTATAAAAGAAATGTATAAATAAATTCTATAACAAAATTTGTAAATAAAAAATAAAATACAAAATATTAAAAAATGTATTAAAAATTCTACAAAAAAATGTACAAACAAAAAGTTCTATAAAAGAATGTACAAACAAAAAATTCTATAAAAAATGTATAAATATAAAATTCCATAAAAAATGTATTTAGGAAAAATATTTCCAAAAAGAATAAAAAGTATTTTGTGAGTTAAGAAAACGCCATTTGTTTCTTGATTACTGATTTTACGACATCTACTCGAAAAGGCGATTGTTCAAAGTACAATTGAAAATAACGTCCCATAGAGTCAGGAAAAATATTCACAATCTGTGTCATAAATTATCATAAGACACTTATGACATGATCATTCATAAAAGTTTTTTTTTCGTTTCTACGCTACTGACAATCAAGTGAATTGGAAAGATGCTTTTCTAACTGTATTTTCCAACAAGCTTAATTTTATGTGGAAAAAAAAGAGATTCCTTTAGTTTACAGTTTCTCTCCATATAATAAAAAACGGTACCTAATTCTCATATTCGAAAATATGGGTTAAATATTAACGCTCTATTCTTTACCATAACTTTTTTGCCATAGTGGAAAATTATACAACGTATACTAAGTCTGAAGAAAACTATAATCTTTTATTTAAAAAAAAGCAATAAAAAATTCTACAATTAGATTTTTTAATTAACTAACATAACAAAATATTAAATAATAGTTAAAATTTTCATTTCATTACTTTTTCTTTACGTTTAAGTCAATAATCAATAATATTGTTGACAGTCGAGGAAATTGTTATCTATTTCAAAACTAATATTGTGTATTTAATGTCATTGAACCTTTCGTCTTCTTAAACAAATTAAAAAGAGTAAATTTAAATTTAAATTTTAAATTAAAAAATAGAAATACTACACTATTTGAATTTTTTAAATTAGAAAACAAATTTTCAACTTAAAAAAATACAAATATTCCATTATTTGAATTTCTTGAGTTAATAAAAATAAATTTCAAAAGAAAATCACAATTGAAAGCAAAAAAAGAGAGAATAATTAAATAAAAGAATGGGAGCATTAAATAATATTCGAACGTTTAGAAAAAAGTGGCCTTTAAACTTTTCACTAAAAGATTTTACAGAAAGTTAATTACTTTCTTCAAACCACGCAATTAATGGTAAATTGACTCTTTTAGAACGCAATGTTTATAAATCCTAACTATTTTTCGAAACACGCATAATTTAAGTAATTATGAGGTGAATTGTTCTTCTTTATAGTGTAATATTAATATATCATATATAAAAATAAGTAAAATAAATATATTGTCTTTATATCTTTGACTTTTACTTTTTGTATCAAATTAACAATTATTTAATTCAAATTAAATATACAATTGAAAATTAAATAACATTTATTTAATTCAAATTAAATTTGCAATTAAAAATTAAATAACAATTATTATTTTAAATATACTAATAGAATAATTTCAAAAAATTATATTACACATTAAAAATAATTAAGAAAAACAATTCACATCTAGTAAAAATTTAGAAATATTTTTTTCCCATAAATAAAAGAAATAAACAAAAAAAAATATAATACAATGGAAAATATTTTTTTTCTTCTGTAAATTATGCACTCTTAAAAAATACCTCTATGTCATTTTTCTTTTGATTTATGAAATTCATCATCTTTATCGTGTATGTAGCCAACGCCTGAAGATATGTTTCACGATGAGGTAGTTGTTTTGCTAGCAAAGCTGAATGTTGTCAGTCCCAAGCAGTTCTCGAAACGGTGTGCCACGATGTGGAAAGCAGTTCCTCCTATTTTAATCCTTACAGTAGGCATAGCGCATTACCTCAAGTAAGTGTTCTCCTAAAAAAAGTAAAACCACTTTAGTCGAAAAATAAATTTCAAAATTATTTAAAAAAAACCATTTTTTTCTTTATTGAAATATTTTTTTTTTGTTAAAAATTCTCAATATTCAAAGATCATCGACCTATATATTTTACACTATTCGCATCCCATTGTGAGAGAGCTTGATTGACCGTTTTGATATCCGGTTCTTTTTAATCGAAGAGAAAAAAATTATTAATGCAGCATTTATCACTGAAACCTTTAACCTTCTTTGTTTGTATATTTAAAAAATGCGAACAATTCTCGTAATTAATTATTGAAATTTTTTACACAAATGTATTTAATATATATTTATTTCTGAAATTTGTATTTTGTTAATTTACGTCTCTATTTACACTAAGTCACTATTTTCGTAAGAAAATAACTTAATAATCGTAATTTTGTTTTTATGTAAAAAAAAAATCAATTTTTGCTTTTTTATAAGAATACAATTAAATTCTAATTGCTTAAAAATTAAAATAAAGAATTACATTTCACTAAATAGATACCAGCAAGGAGATCCAGAAGTGCCAACGCTTCCAGAAACATTTTGGGGACCAAAGGAAAAAGTCAGCAAAGATGACACTAGTATTAGAGAGTTTAAAATCGATATTTCACAGAAGGTAGGACAAATCAATTATTTATATTTTTGCTCAAGTCTTGAGAAATAAAGAGTGGTCAGTTTTCTAATCGATAATTATAATACATTATAATATTTACCGTAAAAAATTCATATTTAGAATTAGAAAATTGTTTATAAAGTTGAATTATAATTATTAAGAACTCTACTTACAATTAATTTTTTATTAAAAAGTTAAAAAATACTTTTCCAAAGATTAATTTGCTATTTAACATTTATCAATTGTCAATAGTATGCAATAACCATTTTTTAAGTACAAAAAATTATACAAAGTCATCGTGAATTATTATTCTACTGACAAGCATTTTTTATCTTAAAAATTTATCTCCTTTTTTTGATTTACTTTTATGTAATTGTAAACTCGTTTATAAGGAAAAGGCTATTTTTAACTTTATGGAAAAATTTTAATTGTAAATAAGCTTCTCCCATCACAAAAAAAAAATGTTAATATATTTGAAATTAATAAATAACAAAAAGAATCAAAGCATTAAAAAAAGGCAATGTAAAATATTCTTCTAAAAATAGAAATCATAATAAAAAAGGAATTTACGATAAAAAAATAATAATGTAAAAATATTATTTTTGCCTTCAGTGAAATGATTTTTCCTGTTCAAATACTTTGTTAAAAGTGTATTTTTCTTACAAAAAGAAAATATTATTTAAAAAAATATTGATAATATTTAAATGATATGAAAATAATAAATATTAAAATACCTTTAAGTTTTGTAAATGCGTTTAAATTATACGCAATTACGTAAGTTTGAAGATAATGTTTATCTTTTTCTGCTCAAAGGTAATAGACGACCTTCATGAACGATTGGATAAATATTTCAATACGGTAAATTTGCGGCCAAAAACTGCACCATTAGAAGATGCTGAATGGACGTATGGAGTTAATTTTCAATACATGCAAAATGTACTTCGATACTGGAGAGATAATTACAACTGGAAAAAAAGACAAGAATTACTCAATAAATATCCACAGTTCAAAACAACAATTCAAGGTATGAATTTTTACAAAAAAAAAACGGAAATTTTAAAGTCAAATCAAGTAAAGAATTAAAAATAAAGTAAAGAAATTAATCAACTTAGTTAATAATTTATTACTCGTTAACTTTTTATAAAGATTAAAAAAGAAAGATAGAAAAAAAGAGTTTTTTTCATTTATATATTAAAAAATTTACAAAAGAAAAAGAAATTTTAAAGTTAAAATCAAGTAAAGAATTAAAAATAAAGTAAAGAAATGAATCAACTTAGTTAATAATTTATTACTCGTTAACTTTTTATAAAAATTAAAAAAAAAAAAGATGGAGAAATAGAGTTTTTTCATTTTTATATTAAAAAATCCACTTTCTAAAAAATGTATTATCTTCAGGATTGGACATTCATTTTTATCGAGTGAAACCAACTATTCCAAAGAATAAAAAAATTAGAGTATTACCTCTACTAATGGTTCATGGCTGGCCTGGATCAGTAGTGGAATTCCAAAAGATTATTCCAATGTTGACAACGCCTCAAGATGGGAAAGATTTTGTTTTCGAAATAATTGCACCTTCTCTACCGGGTTATGGCTTTTCGGATCCAGCAGTTCGTCCTGGTCTTGGAGCTGCACAGGTATTCATTTTTTAATTATTCATTCCTTAAGTTTTTATTCTTTTGTTCTTTTTTTTCTTTTCCAATAAAAATAGAATGCAATATCGATGAAGAAGCTGCTTATACCGTTATATCTGAAAAATACGTGAAAAGATTTCATTTGCCGCTCTCACTTTCATATTTGAACTACTTATCCATTTAATTATATTAGGAATAAATATTACAAATTACAAATAGAAAAATAGAAATTGAATGTTTCAATTTACTTTCACAGGTTGCTGTGGTATTTAAAAATCTAATGGCCCGATTGGGTTACGATAAATTCTACACACAAGGAGGTGACTGGGGAAGTATCATTACTGCCTCAATTGCTACACTTTATCCCGAAAAGTAAGATATCGAAAATTTCTAATTACAAATCTAATCTAATTTATAGTAAATAATTAAATAAAAATAATAGGGTAGTAATAAAAAATATTTTTAGTGACAGTGTGTTTATTTGTAGATAATTATTTTAATAATAATTTAATTTAATAATTATTTGAAAAAATTCAACTATTTTTATAAATAGTAAAATTTTTTGCAAAAATTCAATTTTTATTCTTAATTCGTTATAAAATTTTTCAAAAGAATTCAATTATTTTCTAAAAATTTTTGCAAATCCTTCATAACAATTAAATTATTCTTAAAAATAGTCAAATTCTTTGCAAAAATTCAATTATTTTTAATACAATTTTAAAAAATATTTCATGAAAGAATTAAATTATTTAAAAAAATTTTAAATAAATCTTTCACAATTAATTTATTTTTTTAAATACATAGTAAAATTTTTGCAAAAATTCAATAATTTTCAATAAAATATCACGAAAGAATTCAATTTTTATTCTTAATTCATCGTTATAAAATTTTTCAGAAGAATTCAATTATTTTCTAAAATTTTTAAAAATCCTTCGAAACAAATTAAATTAAATTTTTAATTTTTTTATTAAAATTTTTCGAAAGAATTTAATTATTTAATTAAAATAAAAAATTAAAAGAAATTCTTCAAAGGAATTTAATTAGGATTTGCAAAAATTTTAATAAAATTCTTGTCAAGAATTCAATAAAAGAAATAATAAAATTCTTCAGAGAAATTCAATTATTCTCAAATTTTTTGATAAAATTCTTGTCAAGAATTCAATTATTTTCATAAATAATTAAATTCTTCAGAGAAATTAAATTATTCCCTAATTTTTGCTAAAATTCTTTGCAAGAATTCAATGATTTTCAATATATTAATTTTAAAATTGAAAATATTTAAAAAGTTAAGAAACAGAGAAGCAAACATTTACTAACTTCAAACTGTGTACTTACTGATGAATAATTGTAAATTTTCAGAGTAACCGGTGTTCATCTAAATATGTGCAGTATAAGTTCGCCATCGACGTTCTTTTGGACATTTGTAGGATCATATATTCCTTCACTCGTTGTCGAAAAGGAACATGAATCCAAAATGTATCCCTTGAGTCACCATTACAGTAGATTGGTGGAGGAAAGTGGATATTTCCACATTCAGGCAACAAAGCCAGACACTATTGGTAAGAAAGAAATTAATTTTTTGCATTTTACTTTACAATTTTTAATAATAAATATTTAAATTTGAATTCTACGTGAATTGTAATTTTCATTATTAGTAGATTTTAATTTTTATATAGTGAATTTGAAAGCATTTGTGGATTACTTTTCAATGCCAAAAATTTTTTTAAAATTATATTTATTTATAGAACAATAATTTACCAGAGTTGCTTGAGCAAATGCGAGAAAATTTAAATTCTTTCTTGATCGTTTCACGTAGAATAAATCGAGAAACATTTCTAATTTTCACAAGAAATAAAATTATACCTTTTTGTTTTAGGTTCGGTTCTTTCGGACACTCCGGCTGGTTTAGCAGTTTATATTTTAGAGAAATTCAGCACCTGGACGAATCCTGAATATAGATTCCGAGCCGATGGTGGTTTACTGGAAAAATACAAAATGGATGAGTTATTGGATAATTTGATGATGTACTGGGTTACAAATTCAATAACAACTAGTCAAAGACTTTACGCTGAAAGTTTTAGTAAAGCTCACCTAGCCTTAGGAGTCGATCGGTAAAAATACAACATTTAATAATAATTTAATTACCGCAGTAGATTAATTAAATTACATAATTAATTATTTAATTCTTTTACCTCTATTTCTACTGAATTTGATCAATTATGATTTATTTTCAGGCTGCCGCTCCATAAACCAGTTGCTTGTGCGATTTTCCCTTACGAAATCGTCTATCAATCTAAATCACTTCTCGAAGCGAGATATAAGAATATTATTCAATTCAATCATTATCCACGTGGAGGACACTTTGCTGCCATGGAGGAGCCACAATTTGTTGCTGATGATGTTTGGTCTTTCGTTGAGAAAGTGGAAAAAATGCTGAAAGAAGAAAAATTATCAAAGGCCAAAGAGGAAGCAAAAAAAAACAAGAAAAAAGATATTTAGAAAACCTTCAATGGGTTTCAATAAAAGAGCTGTGAATGATAGTTTTTTTTAATTAATGTTTTGTAAAAAGAACACCGCCGATTATCTCTAATTATTATTATTATATAATTACCTATTCCGGACAGTCAAATTTCCGGTATTTTTTTATGAAGAATTATTCTTTTATTTTTCAATAAATACGAATTTTTTTGTATAATAGTCAATTTTATTTTTTATATTGTTTTCACTTTATCATTTCTTTTTAATTTTTTTCTGTTTTTGAATTTATTTTTAATGCAACTTTTTTTTCTGTTTCTTAATTATTTTAATTTTATTCATTTGTAATATATATGTAACATATTATGATAGTATTTTCATATTCAGAATAACTTGTCCTGACCTAGGGTTAAAAGTCTACTTTTTTTTCGAAGACAAAAATAAATGTTCTATTCTTAAAAATCCTGTATCCTTGTTATTTTTCTCAATGCAAGGGATGACAGCTGCAATCTCACACGAACACAAAACTCCCCCGCCTGTTACATTTTGCGTCAATCTATATTACGTTTTTCAAAAATCCACCTTTCTTGGTAAAGGTACTCAATACAACGCCCTTTCCTTTCTCAAAAGAAGAATAGTTCCAATTCAAGAATCACTTTTACGTAACTTCCTTTATGCTTTTTACCTCGAAAACACACTCGTCAAAAGTGTCTCAAAAGTTGAAAAGTAGAATATTTTTTATGTACTAATTAACTTCGAAAAAAATTCTCTATAAAAGTAAATTTAATTAATTGGTATTTTTTAGTATTTTTCTATTTTCTTCTATTCTATTCTATTCAAATTTTTCTGGATAAATTCTAGATAGATTCTAGATAGAAAAGAAGAATAGAAATTAAAGAAAAACAATAATTATTATCAATGACTGGATAAAATGATTCACATTGAAAGTTTAAACTATTGAAACCATGAACTTTAAACGGAATGTATTTTTATAGAAAGTGTTTTCTGCATGATTATTATCCGTTTTCGAATAATTATATACTTTCTGAATTTATTCCCATACTGATTCGATTCTGAACAATGGAAAAGGAATGTGTATAATACATCTTTCAAAAAAAGAGATTGTAAATAAAAAAACGGTTTCAAAACGTTTTTCTGTCCATAAGAAAAATAAAAATCTACCTCAAGTAAAAAATCCAGAGAATTTTCATCACAATTTACCTTTCATTTTTCCCTTTTATGTACAAGCAAAAAAAACGAAATTTTCCAAGATTCGCCTCTGATAGTTTCCTCCTTTTTTTCGTTCCATCCCAACAGCAATCGGTTTAAGCAATAAAAATATTCTTTATAGATCTGTAATAATAGAAAATCTTTGTGAATATCATTGCCAGTAAAAATGATTTCAAAGAAAAGTGCAAGAAACTGAAGACTAAAGCCGCATATGGTTCTCCTGTAGCTTCGAACGCTTATAATACTCCCTCGTGGGAGAATCGTTCATTTCACATTGTCAGTCGGGCTTTGGCTGTCGAAGCGGAAGGTATTTCGTTTGGAGTGTTGTTCCTCACCGAAAACAGCAAAAAAAGACAAAAAAAAATATAAAAAAAGGGCACGATGATCATGCCATAAAACCGGTTCGTGACACAGAAATTTACGTACGTCACATGAAGAACGTCACACTGACATTAGTCAAAAAAAAAATTCTCAATTTTCCCTATTAAATAATCAATGTATCTTCAATCAAGTAGTGATTTTGTGATACCAATGATGCTGCGAGAAAAATTTCGCGAAATTGTTAGATAATAACGGTGATGTGTAATTATTTATTTTCTTTTTTTTCATTTATTTTACTTACCCCTCCCCCTTTCCGCCTTGAACCCCAAAAATGAAGGATACAACGTTTATCACTCATGCCGATGTTTATCTCGTCGAAGAATCTCCAGGGACTTCTGATAGGTGGGTGTCACACTTCCAGTAGCCAACAAAAATTAAATACCTCTCGCGATTTACTGTCATCTCACACTCTCTTTTATTACAGCTTCGCAATCCACCTGCAATACATTTTTAGTCTTTAAATAACTTTCAATTTTGCGATCAAATTTATTTTTTAATTTTAAAACTAATTTAAACATTTTCTAGTCTAGAAAAAAAAATTAATGAAAAAAATAAAGAAACAAAATAAAAGAAAATGAAATAAAATAGAATAAAAGAAAGGAAAAGAAAAAGAATAGAAAAGAAACGAAAAAAACAGAAAGAAAAATACTCACAAGAAGAAATAATTATAAGTAAAATTTATAAAGAAACGTAGAAATTAAATTCTGAAAAACAATTGCCAATTACAAAATTTCCTACTTATAGAGAAACAATGAAAAATTTTTAAACTGTAAAATTAGGAATTTTTTCTTATTTGCAAAAAAATGGAGCTTTTTTTCTTTGAAACTATTTAAACGAAATTTTATGGTCTTTTCTTTCTTTTTTTTTTTGTTAAAGAAACACAAGAAATTTTTATTCAGATTTATTCAAATGAGAAGGTACTCATGTGATTTTGAATTTGCAAATCGGAAATACATAATTAGTGTTTACACATTTAATTATATACTGAGCAAATGTCATTTCCGAGGTGCGCTTAGCAATTTTTTTCCTTTAAAAAGTCAATGAAGTTGTCACTGAGAGTACAAATTTCATTTTGCTGATGAAATTCTTTGGCTTATTATTACAACCAAAGGCACGCAGAAGATTCATTTTTTTACCATTCTTCTTGCGAATAATAATAATGAAAATAATAATTATTATTATAATTATCTAAATATTTAGTAATTATAATTATCATAATGAGAATAATAATAATAATAAAAATAAAAATATAATAATAATAATAATAATAATAATAATAATAAGAAAAATAATTTAATAATCATATAAATAATAATAATAAAGCAATAATAATAATAATAATAAAATAACAATAATAATAATTAATATAATTATAATTGTTTGATTTACGAAAATTGTTGAACCGAATCACGACAAAAAAGTGGAAATAATTAATTAATAAATTTGGAAGACAGTTAACGAGACTCTCTTTTCAAGCAACAAAATTCATATGAAAGCGAAAAATTCAGAAATAAAATGGGATCGTGTTTCAAGTAAAAAGAAGATTCTCGACGAAACTTGATCACAAATATACATATATATATAAAATAAAAAACCGGAAGAAACATAATGTGCAACTTTTGTCGTATAAAAAAGAAGTTATATATTGTATGCGGTTTCTCTTGTCAATTATTTGCAAGCACCAACAAAAATATATTGTATAATATATCACAAAAAATTTTTTTTTTCTTTAATTAAATTTAACCGAAAGTCACGTAAAGGAATTTTGAAAATAAATAAACTTTGAAAATATTTTTGTAAATTCATCACAAATAAATTATACACATATTTTTTTTGCTGAACTTTATTAATTAAATTTTTAAGTATATAAAAAAATATATTTAAGTAAATAAAAAGATATATTTAAAAATAAACTTTCGAGAAGGAGAAAAATTTTTGCATAGGCGAGAAAAAAAATTGCGATACTTTGCAGAGAGATTATAAAGAATTTTACTAATTTCGCGAGATAAATTACATATCAAGAATATATGTGAAAAATTTCTCAATTCTTTTCAAAGAAGAAAATATCAAATTATGCTCATAAACGAGAAAAACTTCTAATATACTTCAAGAGCTCTCTTTGTAATTTGTAAGGCAATACTTTTTTGTGAGAAGACGTCGGTATGAGAGTTTGATATTTTTTTTTCTTTTTTCTTCTTTTTTTTGTCTTTTATTCTTGAGAACCGGTTTCTTATATCGACCATGTTTTACGTGCAGTGATAAAAAAAAGGACAATAATTTTTTGGCGTGGGGGCGAAGTCACTCGAGAAAATTTTTGCACAATTTCTTCACAAAAAAAATTCGTAAATTGTCTCATTGTCTCATTTTTCTCAATAGTAAATAAAATTTCAATTTTAAAATATAAAAAAAAGAAAAGATTTTTCACTTCAAAAAAAGAAAGGATTTTTATTAAAATACCTCATGTGCCACATATGAGTCAACATTACTCGAAAAGTACCGAAAAAAATTTCTAGAACTTCGGAATTTTAAAACCATCTGTCTAAATATTATTTGAAAAATTAATAGAACACCGAATCGATAATTTTTTGATTAATAATAATTTAATATTACCAGTATTTTTGTAATATTCTCTCAAATTTTGTATTTGAAAGAAAATTTTACACTTAAGAGAGAGAAGGGAAAAATAATAAAAGATTGAATAATGGCGATAATCGTTTATAAATGACTTGATCGGAGAAAAATTATAAAATAATTTTCTTGATAATTGTAAATCTGTAACTAAACTTAATTAATGAATGGTTATTGATAAATTTAATGAATGGTTCTCTTCTCAATAAATTAAAAGAAATGAGAAATAAAATACAATTTTCAATTGTTAATGTTAATTAAAAATGAAATCGTTAAAAAAACATTAAAAGATATAATGAAGGACTTGTATACTGTCCATATAAGTACACAGTGTCTGCGTTTTAACGAAAGGAAAGTTTCAGTACAAAAATGGAAACTGGTACAGCTATAATATTGAAAAATCATTCAAACTGGAGGTAAAATTAAATATTTAATTAAACATTTTTTTCACTAAATCTCTGTTTTTCTCTAAATTGAATTATTTCCAGAAAAAAAACTTAAAGTTTAAAAATGGATACGACTTTCAAAAACTGAGAATTAAGTATATGTAAAAATTATAGTTTACGATTTTAATTTTGTTTTCATCTGAAAATTAATAAAAAAACGAATTTTCGCCTTTGTTCATCTTCATTAAAAAAAGAGAGGATTGTCGGCTGTTAATGAGAGCGGAAACAAACTGAGTTAACCCACACATAATATTAAAATGACGAGAGCAAGAATGATTCTTTGTACTTAACAAATTAACACTTGTAAACGTAACATGAGATTTATTTTGCGATTTACAAATGCTCACACAAGTCAAATGACCTATAATGTGTAAAACTGTACTGTGTTTCATTTTTTTCAACTATTTGAGAAAAATCTTAACTGCTGGTTTAAAATACATAATGATATTAGTAACACTAGTTTTATTAACGAGAACTGAAAAAATTTCACCTTCAATTTTTAAATTAAAAAATCTGTATTTTTACAGACAAGATGGCATTTATTTTATACTATCAGAAAGTTAAACTGAAAAAAGATATTGACTATAAATAAACTATAAACATACTATGATCTGACACCTGTTTAGATAATGGTTCTCAAGTTTCTCGAGATGGGAGGTTCTCAGTTTTGAGGACGAATAAAAAATATAACAGAAAATTCGATATCCAAAAAACGAAATTATTACTATTGCTATTATTATTAATTATTATTTTTTTATTATTATTATTCTTATTATTATTATTATTGTAGGTAATTATTAAATTATTTTTCTCATTAGTTTTTTTAGAATTTTTTTGATTTCTGACTATTTCACGTTAAACGTGAAATTAATTTCGAAAATATTAAGACCAAGGAAAAATAAATTTCGTTTATTTATATTTTTCAAGTTTCTTGAGAATTTTGAAAAATAAAAATAAACATTTGGCGCTTTCGGCCTTTCTGTGGCAGGAGAATTTCTAAATAAACCCTTACTACTTACGAATTATACTTCCTGCCTGTTAAATCACAAATTGTAGGCGACTGTTCTTCAATGTCCCTGTGTTCTCTATTATTTCGTCTCATTATTGAAGTCTACCCACGAATCATGTTTGGTTCGTCAACCTTTCACTTCAGAAAAGCATTTTCCTTTTTTTCCACCTTCGAGCTGCACTGAAAAAAGAAAAAACATTTTATTTCCAAAATTCATCGCTTTTATTCTCATAAATATAACCAAATCTTTTTTTTTCAGAAGAAAATTGAATGTATTTCGAAAAACTTTCGTAAAAAGAATTTTTAAAATCATTTTTTACTTAATTTGACAATTTTTCTCTTATTTTCGGAAGACAAATTTAGAAAATCGAATTTTAGGAGAAAAAAAGCAAAATCTGTTTCTTCTAAAATAAAAATCAAAGTCCTTGAATTACCATGTTTGTTAATTCAAGTTTTCACTTTAGAAACTGATCTATATTTCAAGGCGACAACTTTATTCATTTAAATATTCTGATATTTCATGTCATAATTCAAAACACCTTGAAAAAATTAATATTTCTAAGGGGGAATAATCGTCATCATTATCAGTTAGTTTCCTTCAGCAGAAATCATTATGTTTCTGAAGAATTATATTTCGGAAGGTGTTATTTAATTTCACGAGAGACAGAAAGAGGAAAAAATATCTTTTTAAAGTACTATATACTTTTGTCATGAAAACGTTTGGAGATGGTTTTAAAGTTTAAATGGAGCTTCGAATCCAGCGAGGGCACAGGTCAAACCTCTGCCCAGGGACTTGCCTTTATAAACTGGCAACTTGATGCCCTTGACCTTGACAGAATACATGTTGCAATTTTCTACTGCAACCTCTCGCTTGGAAGCTGACGATGACTTCTTGTCGTGTGATGGAATTTTATTTTAAAAGTTACGCAAGAAAGAGTCAGTAGCACGTGTGCCATATATTTTATTTCATATTTAGACACGTGCTCCAGACAAAATTAATTTCCTCAATCTTTCTATTACGAATCTCATTCACTAATTCATTTACTCATTCAATATTTCAAATCAAATTTCGCTAATTTCTTTCATTTCTCTTTCAATATTATTTTTTTCAATTTACAAATTTCTGTTTGTAAAGTTTACTCTTCGTTAAGGGTATTTTTTATTTTTACTCTTCGGTTTCAAAAATTTCAAATTAAAATCTTTTTAAAATTAAATAATTTTGAAAGAAATTACACTTTTTTAAACAAATTAATTCTGCAGAAATGTTAAGTATGAAAAATTCAGATTTTCAAAGCTTTTAATTTGAAACTTTTTCAAAATTCACGCTACAATGCTTTTAATATTCAATTATTTTCTAAAATTTTAACTGAAATTCATTTTTAAATAAATTTTTATTAGAAAATTCTTCGAGACTTCAATTATTTAAATACATAAATAAATAATTTAAGGTTTCTTAAAATTCAATTCTCATAAAGAATTTTATCAACAAATTTTTAAATAATTGAATTCTTTTGACGAATTTTAATAAAATTTTTGAGAATAATATTACATTTTTCGAGGAATTCGATTCAAATTGTATTAAAAATAATTGAAATTCTGCTATGAGTTTTATTATTTATTAAAATAATTAAAATTTTGACAAGAATTTCAAAAGAAATTTTGAAAATAATTGAATTTTCTTGTAAAATTTTATGAAAATTAAAATAAATAAATAAATTTGAAAATAATTGAATTTGGAAGAATTTTATTATTTATAAAGATAATTGAAATTTTGACGAGAATTTTTTTTAAACTTTTGATCATAATTAAATTTTTGAGAAGAATTTTATCACTTTTGAAAATAATTGAATTCCTGGTAAAAAATTTTATTCTCCATGAAAATAATTGAATTATTGCGAAGAAATTTATCAAAAATTTCTAAATAATAGAATTTCTGTGAAATTTTTATTATTTACTATTTTTATTTTATTATTCATTCAAAATTGAAATTTTCTAAAATAAATTTCAAATTAAAACCCTTTGAAGTTCATCTATTTATGAAAATTGTAAACGCAACTCTTTTAAAAATGAATTAATTTTGAAATATTTAAGTAAAATTAAATTTCAAGAATAAGCACAATAACTTTAGAATACAATAATTTTACAGAATTCCGATCAAAATTCCCCAACTTTTCCAGGTTATTTCAAGGTTTATAAATTTCCCTGTCATTTTCAGGTTTTTCAGGATTCCGCAGGTTGCGTGGAAACCCTGATTTTGCTATTTCACTTGCAATACTTTTCCTTTTTTGTGTTATAATTTATTTTCCTACTTGTTTTCAGAACATTTTGATTTAATTGAAGAATAGAATTTAGAAAAAAAATTTGCATTAAAAATAATTCAGTGGCTATAAAAGTTAGTCAGTGAAAAAAATTTTCGACTGCGACTTAGTACCTTGTTTCTGCTCACCTGCCTTTTTTTCAATCACAATAGACATGGTAATAGATAAGTCTATAGTGTTGATTTTCCCCGACCTTCATTTCTTCTATTACGCGCATTTTGGAAATCCCCTTCTCTCCTCTGATAAGAAATTAATACACGCAGTTCTAAAATCTAAAAAAGAAAAATCGTATATCAGACATTTAATCTATACAACGAAAAGTAATTACTATTTTCTATTTTTACTTGCATTTTCCAAGATGAATTCAAATAAATTAAAATTTTTGTTTTCTTCACAAATTTCTAAAAAAAACTGACTCTGGAAAAAAATTGTCTCATACAGCAAGTAGCATTGAAATCCTTGGAACAATAGAAATTTATGGCCGAAATGAAAATTCTTTCGTAAGAATTCAGGTTAATATGGAAGCATTACGCTCTTTCATAGTGAGAAATGATGTAATGAACTCTCTGCTATAGAGTGTTGATGTAATGAAACGTCCATGGAATTAAAAATCCGTCTGAATATAGCCGACAGTATAGTTGTCTCCGTGATTCGTGCAACGTGTATAATACTGCTTTACTGGTTTTCTTGCTTTTTTTTATTGCGGCTAAGAAGACGCAATAAACTAGCTTATCTTTTGTGCGATTAGACAGACGAATAGCTTTACATGTTTTGCAAGGGAAAATTTCCCAGCAGCTACAATTTAAAGAGTGAAAGTGCTATGAAATCTGTAACAAAAAGAATTTTACCCAAACATCATTTTATGCGTCATACAGTGAATTTTTCATAACTAGAAAAATAGAAATATTCCCAGATAATACCTGAAGAGAAAAATATCAAAAAAAATCATATAATTAGTAAATAATACCAATTGTTGATTAAAAACTGTTTAATATGTCTTATTCTTGAATCAATAATAATAATTCAACGATATTAGTAATCGTTTCAATTATTTTTCAAAAAAGGAGAAATTGCAAATTTACCTTCTGGGCGTAAATGAAAAGGTTATTTTTCGAAAAAATTGCGTAGGCGTCAGGGCAGATTTTACCGTTACAAAAGCAATGTATACCATCAATAATATGTGGTATATTGGATACGTTTAAACACAACCGGGTAAAACTTTTCATGAAGGTCTGTGTTGCTTACACGATTAAAACCATCACGTGCCCAGCATATAATAATACTTCCGGGTTCATTTCAAGTACTACAAGGAGAACCTTCACCATATCATCAAAGGAAGGCGTGGGACATTCGCCAAGTAACACGTGTGTCTGCTGAAGCCACTTTACTACTTATAGGAATGACGAAATGAGATTGACTTTCTCTACGTAAATACCTTGAAAAAAAACAAGTTCAAAAAATGAAAAAGACCCGCTATTAATCTTGACAAATTCACCTCTTAACCCCTTCACAAAACTTAGACACGTGTGCTCTACAAACTATTACCGAAATTCATCTTATACCTGTAAACTGATTTCCATTCGCAAAGAAATAAAAATTCAACTGACGAATTTTATTTTCGTCAAGTTTTTACGTTTGTCTTCCAAAAAAAACACCATCTTCTTCCCTCTGTATTTCTTGTTATTAAAAAACCAAACGATCCGAAATTCTGGAAAGACAAAAAAAGGCAAATTAGTGATATTTTTTATTGAAATTTAAATACAAAGGAAGGAAAACTCAAGTGGAAAACATGTTTAAACGATCAGGACCCGGGGGTGGTCGACATAATAATCGACCACCCAAGAAAGAAACTGGCAGCAAGAGACAAAGTATACGAGCTTGGGTACTTTTAAAAAAGAAAAAGAACAAAGATTATGATCACCACCGTTCTCCCTCGATGTACACAGGTGCAGGGTAAGCTCCACTTTACATATAAATCATCCATCAGTGAAAATAATTAGCGAAATTTATCAAAAATTGCAAAAAAATATCAACAAACACTGAAAGTCTGAAAGTTATTACAGTCATGCACCGTCATGTCATTACTCAGAAAAGTGAGGTTATGTTCTAGGCAAGGTTGGGTATAGTTGAGGTCACGCATGTGAACGAACAAACCTGATTGGTCGTTTGTTAAAAAACGGACCAATCAGAACAGTCTGTCATTTTGTCCAAAAGAAAAAAAGTTTCTCTGCTTCCAAACAATTGCAATAACAATTGTTAATTAAAAGATTGAAACGGTTAAAATTCGTTACTTATTACTGGTATAAAAAAAGTCAAATAGTTATAAACAAAACTTAATAAAACAAAATTCGGTTAAGTAATTATGGCATTCGCGTCGAATTTCGCGTCAAAAGAAAAGTATTTTCATAATAGTAATTCTATTAAATTAAATGAAGAAGATTCGTCTACTGATAACCTCTTTAGTCGACATATTTGTGATCCTGACCTCCATCTTCCGAAACGTGAAATATCCTTCGAAATTCCATGGTCTACTCCTCGGTGAGTGGAATTCCCGCTAAAACTAACCTTCACAAACACACAAGCAGCACGTTTGTTCCCTCTCTGTCCCTTCACCTCTTCGCTTGTGTGTGTGGGTCTATACCCTTCGTCTTCAGTTGTTGTCCCTTCTCAATATATATACACAGTCAAGAAAGCAAACCAGGATTTCACGAATCTTCGCACACACAAAGGCAAAAAAGTTTCCCAAACACGTTCGTTGTGCGGGATGAATCTACTCTCAACTCCACTGGTCCAGTCGTTTTAAATCGTTGTCAGCGTTTGTTTGAACGCAAAAACCTCTTTCAAAACCTTCTTTGTGTCGGCCTCAATTTTTCCTATATTATTGAAATTCAACTAAAAACCAATTGGTGACCAATTGAAAAATGCGTTTTCGAAATCTTTTTCCCCAACGTCAAGTTTATCGGTAAGTCAAACTGTGTTTCTTATTTTATAATATAACATTCTTTTTTTAAAGGTTATATTTTTAGAAATAGAAGAATTTTCATTTCTTTGAAAATTCCCTTGGAATAATTAAAATAAGAAATAAGTAATTAAATAATATCACAATTTTATTTAATATTAAGAAAAAAAAAGGTTTTATAAAAATTTCATCAGAGAACTTCGCTTCATTGCTCATTAAGGTCTTTTGCGGTTTTGTGTTTATCATTTTGCCGAGAATGAGGAAGGTGTTTCAGGTATTATTTTTACACGTTTTACATTTTCAATTGTTTTATTTTTCTTTATTTTTTTTCAATTCTTGTTTTCTATTTTTCTTTTTAATGTTTTTAATTTTTAATAAAAGGTCCATTCAGTTATTTTAATAAAAAATTCATTTAGCTTCATTTACTTTTTTTAAATAAAGAATTCGTTTGGTTTCATTTAGTTATTTTAATAAAAAATTCATTTAATTTCGTTTACTTTTCTTTAATAAAGAATTCGTTTGGTTTTATTTATAGTAATAAAAAATTAATCTTGTTTCATTTATAGTAATAAAAAATTAATTTTGTTTCATTTATAGTTATGAAATATTGTATTATAGAGAATGTACAATTTAAAAATATAAATAACGTATTATTAGTTTTAGATTTTTAAATTCTACTCTTGAATGGTTCACACAGAATAAACAATAAGTTTACCCCCGAGGGAAATTATGAGATCAGAATATTATGTAGTTTCAAATTTGCATACATTTATTCAGTAACACAATTTTTTAAAGATCTAATCGAATTTCTTGTTTTCTTTTTCTCTATTTGCAGTATATAGTGTAGTGTATTCATTGAAGCATTAGAGCGTATATTTTAAAACTTCAAGCTGTAACTTTAATCTTTTATAACGGTTTTTAATAGTCAGGTGCAGTGAAAAGTGACTTTACTGAAAACTAGTAAATTTTTTTTTACACAGAATTTTGGACTTAAATGACAAAATTAATTTATGTGTAAATAGAGTAAATTTTTATTTATTTAAATTTAATTTTTCGTTTTACAGAGAACTTGGTTTTCTATATTATTTATTTAAAGTGACAAATTGTAAATATTTTTAAAAAGCCTTTGGTTCCAGAAGTCAAAAAATCAGTCCTTAGCTTCATATTACAATTATTGTTCTTTGAAGTTCCTTGTAGAAGTTTTCTCACGTCACTTGACGCTTCCTGAATAAGGCAGTGAATCTTGTATCTGCATTTCAGTCCCTTCACAATAGAAGACGAACTAAACAATTTTTTTTTCGTGCCGAGAGTGTAAACGCTTTGTGATGCTTTATGAAGGGAGATTAAATCCTTGAACAAAGGAATGAATCCTATTTTGTTTTAGAAAACAAAAAAATTGTTTATTTTCATTTTGTTGTTTCCTTGTGATTATTAATTGACGGAAAATAGAATTTGTTTTGATGATTTCGTGTTCTGTTTTAGGAAAGAGGAGATTATTAAAAGGAATTTGTCCTTTAGAGACAATTTATGACAATCATATAATTTTCCTTGAAGGCACTTCTGGAAGTCTATTAATTCATCAACTAGTCAAAGATAAATAGAAAGAGAGAGAGGGAGGAACAAAGAATGTCAGTTTGTAAATTAAGTGAAAAGGAGTTTCTAGAGACGTCACTGAACCCATTAATTGACCTTCGAATTAATTTTATTTCGGATCAATTTTAATCTTTACGATTCTACTTTTTCAACTCGTTGTCGCATTCGCCGATAGGCAATATCGTATAAGGTTCATTATCATATTCATTTATTATATTTCTGTCTGAAAAATTCACCAATTATTTCGTATAAGTTGTTATCTAAATTTAGAATTTTATTTTGAATAAATATTTTGTTATAAATTGTTTGTAATTTTATAGGAGGAGATTTTGTGAAAGATTCATAAAATTAGAGGAGGAAATTACGAGAATTTAGACTTTTAGAGGGAAGTTTATTCTTGTACCGACGAGTTTATTATCGGCTATGTCTCTCTGTGTAGTTTTTACCTTTTGATGACACTTGTGTTTCTTGTGTTGCTTGTGCTTTTTATTATCTTATCAATTTCATTTACCAGTCGAGATTGTCACATGAGTTGAAGAAGACCTTTTGCTTCTTGCATGGTAAAGTAGAAGCTTTTCTTACAATGAAAAGAAGGCCCTATTGCGAGACCCTTCTTCAGAGAGCTGAATGCCTATTGGTCGTACGTTGCTCCCATATATGATTCTTCAGCACTCGCCAAGAACTTCACGTACCTGATTCTCTCCCTCCGGCTTTGAAATTCATCTCCACGTGAAAATTGTCAGCGTGGAGAGGAATCGGCAGTTCAACCGCGACAGCGACCGGCTTCAACCGGCTTATTTAATATTATTATATACACTTTCATACATTCCAGCTGTTCATCAAAAATCAATTCCTTTAAAAGTGTCTTATTTTTGTGGTTTTTAAAAAGAAAAATCTTTTTTTTTTAAAAAAGGGAAACGTTCGACAAAAACGTATCTTCGAAAATTGTCATATTTTGTGAATTTGTGATTTGGTGCTACTTTTTCAGACTTTTACTCCGAAAATATTTTTTACACAATGGTATGAAGGACTTTAATATTTTGAAAAAGAAAATATTACCTACGTTTAAATTAATTCGAAAAAGAATATTTCAAAAAACAATTTGAAAATATTTGAAAACATTTGAAACTGACAACAATTGAAACTATAGAATATTAATTTATTAACAGTTGAGAGTGATTAATTTACAATTAGAATAATTGCAAATTTTAAAAATTAAAACCACCAGTTAGTAGTGAATATACAGAAATAGTTATAAATAGTTAAAATAAAAAATCGAAACTGACAACGGAATAAAAATATTTGTTAAAATATTTTTATTCCGTCGTCAGTTTCGATTTTTTATTTTAAATTTTATTAAATTCTATCAAAAATTAATAAAACATCTATTTTTCTATAAATAATTATTTATAGACTATTATTAAATTATTATTTTTAATTATAAACAATTATTTATAGACTTAAATTATTATTTATAATTAAAATTATTACTTATAGTTATGAATAATTATTTATTTCAAATTTTGAATTCACCTGGTAATTTCGATATTTCGAGAGCTTTTTCGGCGACGATAAAAAAAAATCAAATCAAAATTTCCTTCCACGATTAATTCGAAAAATTCCCCTCTGAAATTAAAATTCTTCACTTTATGACTCGAAGTGAAATAAATCTCAACTCTGGATAAAGCTGAACCTGAAATTTCTCTTCTCTTCTTTCTCATTTTGGTTCCAAAGGAGCTGAAAGCCAATAACGAATGTATCAAGAACGCCTACGAAAGATAATCTCGAAATCGTCTTTTTTTATTAACGAAAAGGAATTCAGGTATTTCAAAATGTAACCAGCCTCTTAAAAAAAATAATCACCTTTCTTTTTTTTGGGGGGGGGAAAAAAGAGAGAAAATATTTTCGAAATATTTGAATCTAAAAGAAACAAGAAAGATTTAATTCTTTTTTCAAGAATGAAAGATTTAATTCCTTTTTTCAAGAATGAAATATTTAATTCTTTTTTTAAGAATGTAAAAAAAGGGAAAATAATTGCACATGTGAGAAAAGTAACAGGAAGTCGGAGAGTCTAAGAACAAGTTGTTTCCATCAAGGTCTTCCGGAATTTGTAAATGCAGTATGAAAGTTTGTTCTTTTTTGTAAAAAAAAAAGGAAAACTGGAATGTCCCTCTGTCGTGATTATATTTATCCCTTAATTTGTAGTTTTGTTTCTTGGAAAAAGTCGCCGACAGTACGTGCTTCGGAACACCTTTTGGAACTTAGAAAATTTCTTTTGTCATTTTTGACCACTAGGTATTTTACTACTTATCGAGAATGAGAAACGATTTTTCGTTTCTTCGTTTCGATCTCTTGAGTTAAATAGCAAAATATTTTTCGTTTTGAATTAAGTTTTCTCTCTAGCAAAAAAAATTGATTTTCCTTTTTAGTATTCTTTTATCGATATTTTTCGTTTAGAATCGAATAGTAAATGAATAAAAAAAATTCATTGATTTTGTTATGTTCTTCTTTTGCAAAATTCTCGGCCTTGAAAAATTTTGCCCTCACGAGGGCGTTTCTTTTCAAGAATAAACAGAGGGTACATGTGCAAAGCAGCTGCTTAATCTTGATTCGATTCTCCCTCAGTTCATTCTTCATCCTTACACGAACATTGTCCGCAATAATTTCAAATATTACAGGACTTTCTTTATTAACTAACAATAAAAAAAGTGTGTCATAAAATTTCTTTGTCACGTCTCTTGTGGAGACATGAAAATCTTTGTCCAAATCGACTCGGTCGTAAAATTATTTTCAATCCCCAGAGGACCAAATTTTTCCCTCCAATATAATTTTCGTTTCGTAAAAAAATAAGAGCAAGTAACCAAGTTTTTTCTTTTATTAAAAAATCTGTTTTTCAAAATTCAAAATTGTTTCGATTCAAAAATTAAAAAAAAAAAAATTTTGAATTTTCACAAATCGGTAATAATATTTATACTTAGTATTTATTTATTTAATATTTGTAGTATTTGCAGCAAATAATATTTAATTATTGTTTCATAATTTCGAAATTACTTTTTTATTTTATTTTTTGCAGATTTTCTCCAAAAAGATTGTCAATAAAAGATTATGATTCATTGAGAGAGAGTTATATATAGAGATGAAAATTGAAAATTATTTGCGATGTAGAAATTTTGAAATGTTCGTCTTAATTCGATACAGCAGCATCAATCGGGACCCAAGTTGGTTACTTGACACTGATCAAGTGAACATATCGAAAGTTAATCACGATCTCAATTTGACGATCGTACAAGGCACAAGTTAGATTCAATGATCCGTTTATCAAGTGGACATTCGTTAGCCTCTATTAAGAATGCCTGAGGGAATTCTAGACTCGCTAGTTGGCCATTTAAACAGAGTCTAGTCACGACATTCAAGTTGAATTAACAGAGAACACTAATTCTTTTGTCATTTATTATACATATTCAAGTTATTGTTCATATATATAGAAAGTACATTGATCTAATGAAACAACTTTTCTTGTTTACGACAAGAAATATAATACCATTTTTATACAGATAATTATCAATAATATTTATTTCAATAATTAATTGTTGAAGTAATTTTAAAAATTAATTTTAATTATTTCGAATAATTATTACAAAGCAAATTATTTCAATAATAGAAAATTATTGAATTAAAGTTATTGAATTATTGAAAAAAATGAAATTACAAGCAGGATTCATTAAAATGAATGTCTAAAAATATGCAGAAAAATAGTGGAGGTAATTGAGCCCATTGGAATTAATAAGACTCGAGTCAAACTGAAATGTAATTAGCTTAAATAATTCAAAAAAGTGGAGAAGAAAATATTGCCAATTTCAGTCGTATTTTAAATTGAAAGTAATTTGCAACGCGTCTTGTATGAATTCTCAAGTTTATCGTCTAGCTCTCTTAAGGAAAAAGTTAATTTTATTCCTCCTGAAATTTGCATTTTAAATCAATTACTCCTGAAACTTGTAGATTTTTTTAAAAATACAATCTAATAATTTTAAAGGTCAAAGCAAAAATTAAGAATAAAAAAGAATATTCAAAGTAACTTTTAAATTCTGAAAAAGGACCAAAAAAAAAAAAAAATCGAAAGAATTGCAAGAAAATAAAAGAAGTAAAAAAATCGAAGGAATCGAAAGAATTGCAAAAAGAAGTAAAAAGAATTGACGAAATAAAAGAATTTCTAGACAAATATAAAAGATGAAAAAAAAATTGCGAAAAAAATTAATTGTAAAATTATTTAAATATATTTTTACCTGGCAAAGCAGTTTACTTATCTCACTGTAAATATAGAATGAAGGCAATATAGTGCAACTATCTTAGGATGAAAAGTGCAAGATCATCTTGATTCTCTCTGGGCGATTGGATTTCATAGATGCTGTCTTGAAAATTCTACGTATAATCTTTTATATACTAGACTATTACTAATCTTGTGAGGCAGAAAAAAACTAATCGAGATAACGAACCATGTAACGTCTAGGTATTAAATTTACTTTCAATGAATTTTATTATTAGGTTTTTATGTTGTCTTTCCTCCAGGAAGTTCATGCATAACTGATAAATTTATAGACAAACATAATCCTAAAATAAAATTGATTATTATCGAGAATGTAATTGAGATCAAACATTTCTTACATACACACGCGCCGGGTGGTCAATATTTATTATAATCGAGAAAAAGAGAAATTATAGGGATAATTGAATATTTTAATTAATTTCTCTGATTTAATTGAAAAAAATAGTTGAAATTAAATTATTTCAATTAAATAGTTGAAATTCAATTTCAAATTAAATTTAAAATAAAAATAGAAATTAAATTTTAATTTCAATTAAATAATTGAAATGAATTGTTGATTTCAATTCCTACGATTATAATTAATTGTTGTTGGTTTCAATTGTTAAGTTTCGAAAAAATATTTTTTTATACTAAAAGTGTCGAAAAAAAATGCAAATGAAAAAGTCTGTTAAAAATTGCTTTTGTGTATCATTTATAGGCGAATATTGAGAAGGAAATTGTCGAACTTCGCGACTAGGAGAAAAAATCGATTTAAGGATTAATTGTGAAGTTTTCGGTTTCCATTTGCATCGAAAAATTATAAATCTGTTCATTCAATATGGGTTTAGGCGAAATTCAGGAGCAGATGTATTATGCGACCTTGACGCCTGAGGAAAAGGCAAGGATGCACCCTTGCCTTAAAACCAAATGGTTTGTGCCTTTCTGATTTTTACCAACGATTATAATATATTCGTCGGAATTCCAAAGCTTTTCATAGAATTAATTTTTTTCAATTTAATTTAATTTTTTTAATTTAATTTAATTTATTGTTTTATTATTTATTTTTTCACTATTTTATTTAGTAAATAAAATAATAAAATAGAAAAATAAATAATAAATGCAATTAAGGATAACAAATTAATTTTTAGTTTAAAAATACTTACGAAAATAATTTAAGACTCCATAAATATTGGATTTACGGTTTTTTTTTTTTTTTTTTGTGACTTCTTAAAAAATGTGTGCGAGTCCAAGATTTTTCCTGATAAAAAGAAACAAGAAGTTAAAGGGATTTAAATAAAACAAATTTATTTAAGGAAGAAAAAAAGAAAGGAAATAAAAACAAAGTTTTGTCAGAATATATTATCTGAATTCCATGTCCTTGAAATTCCTCGACTCCTCAAAAAACACCTCTGTCCAAATATATTTGGAAACTTACACTTGTCTTCATAAATCTCAAATCGATAAAAATTTTTATTTTCTACACAGGTACCACGCTGAAATGACAGTTGAATTCTTTAAAAGAAATTCAACTCTTTTGAAAAAGAGAAAAACAATTCACAAAAGTAACATTTTTTATAAAATAATTACGAACCAAAGAATTTTTGTTATCTAATTACATTAGCATATTGACACAATTTTTTATTACGTCAATTATCTTTGAAGAGGTTTTCATTATCTCTATAAAACACTACAAAAACAATGATTGGCAATTTTTTCTTAAGTTCAACAAAAATAAGAATTAGAGACAATTTTTTTCAATTAGAAAATTGTAAAATATTTTACGACTGATAGTTTTTAATTCTGAACTTAAAATATGATTTCGTTTCTTGTACGAGGAAAAAAATAACAGGTGAATTTCTTTGAATTTATTGCAGCAATTCAAAAAATGATGAGTTTTAATTTTAAACTCAAGATCAGTTTCAATTCTCGATTTGTCGAAATAGACAATATTGAATATAATACTTGGAAAGTGGTGTCAGGTGATATGAAGTGAATAGTAAATATTAAATAACTTCATATGCAATAGTTAAACTCACAAAACGAGAAACTGTTCTTGAACTCGAATAAAAACTCCAATTTTCCATAGAAATATTTTTCAAAATCTATTTTTTACTTTCTTTACGAAGTTTCTTCAAATTTTTATAATTCAGAAAAAATACTAAAAGAATTTCGGTAATTTAAATTTCCAAAAATTCAGGATTTGTGAAAGAAAATATTGGAAGTTGTGGAAATATTGAAAAATGTTTGAAAATGTCAAAAATTTCGATAAAATTATTTTCTGGTAGAAAAAAAGATTTAATAAAAAATATTTTTTGTTACAGCGTTATGGTATCGGGAGACTCACCACCTCCGATGACAACATCAATTCCACCTGGATTCGATATTTCCGAGGAGATGCGACCGGGAAAGACAACACCAACAAATATTCCTCTCACTCCACTGAAATCGTATAAAACAAATGGAAATGTGCCAAACGAGGATATTGAGGAGGCAGTGCCAATTGTCAAAAGTCTCCCACTGCCAGAACCTCAGCCAAAAATTGAGAAAAATTGTTTCGATTATGATCAAACCGATGGCAAACAATTAGTCGGCGACGTCGAGGATGATGCCTGTTTTGTTAAATGTCTCTATTTTACACAGCAGTGTTGCGAGTGTACGATACTTTAAAAAAAAAGGTCTAAAAAGAAAAGAGTTAAATTATATCCTGAAAAGAATTCAATCATATCAGCCTCAGGACGTGAACTGTCGCCATTTTTTTTTTTTTAATTTTTTATTAGGTATATATAAATATTTATCTAACTGTATATAAAAAGAAAGCAATTGTGAATAAATACACACAGCAACTGTGATTCAGCAAATTTTTGAGATTTGGACTCAAAACAATGTTTTTTCAATCAATGTAAAGAAAAAAGGAATCTTCGATTAAATATTTATTTTCATATTTTTCATGTGAAATCAAAAAATTATCTACGAATAATTTATTAAATTTTAGAAAACGAAAATAATTCTATTACGATAATATTTAGATCATAGTTTTTTAATCTATTGTATATATTCTTAGATATATATTATGTCGTCGAGAAAAAATTATTTCAATTTCATTTTGAAAAAAAATTCAAGTGATTTTTTTGCGAAAATGGGACCAGATTTATTTTTAAGATTAAGAAGGAACGTCTAAAATTTTTAGACAATAAAAAAAAGTGATTTCATATTATATTTGCATAAAATTAGATTTATTACAAATAAACAAAAAAAAAAAATTGTATACGGATAACAAATCTAAAACGATTTGATACTCAGATGTTTTACACATTCATTTTTTTTATCAAATAGTTATTTTTTTTTTTTTTGTAAAATGTACAGATGGAATTAATTAAAGTGCAATTTGTTTTACAGCCTTGGAAGTTTTTTCTTTCGTTAAATATTCTTCAACCTTTTACATATTTCTTTCATATTTACAAATTAAATTAGTAACATAGATTCGTTAATTCATTAATATTTGATATAATTTTTCAACATTTTCACAAAGTTCTTTTAAGCAAATTGTAGAAAATTGTGATATATTTTTTTTGTAATAAATAAACGAATCATATGAATTATTTTTCACATTTCGATTGCGATAAGATTCAATTCACTCTATCGATCCTTAATTTCTATTTTATTATAATCAAACTTGCACTTTCCTCTCAGGTAAATATAAAAACACTCGATTCTATGAATATATAAAACTACACGCTTAATTGTCAATAAATATTTAAAAACAATTTATTAATCATAGCGGAAAAAAGAAGTTGTAAAGTTATTAAAGTTTAAGATCTATTTAATTTAATATCAAATTGTAAACAATTTACTTTCAATTACATTTTTTTTTTATTAAAAATTGAAAAAATGCAAAATTTAGTTAATATCATTTTTCAAAAAAGCATATTTTTAGTATAATAAGTTTATATTTTTCTAAATAATGTCAAAATTCAAATATTGAGAAAGTTTTCATAAGATATTTAAGATTTGATTTTAGATTTAGGAATTTTTCCTAAAAAAAAGTAAACAGTCTTTCTTCATTAAGTTAAAGAGAAGATTCACAGAGAAATAAAATTGAGCTAAAGAAAACTAGATTGAAGTTCACTAAAATGTTAATATCCAGACTTCTACATTATCGCACGCATCATTTTTCTATATTATATTGCTAATAAACTTGACAATAACGGTGCTTTGAAAATTATCATTACGACTAGAAAATTCATTAACAATATTTGGATATACAACAGAAGATATCTTCTTGGACCAAATTTCTATCATTGAAAAGACTATTTATTCGCCTATTATTTATCGCTCAATTAACAAAAATTAAAAATTTGAAAATAAGATTCTTCTTAATATTTTTGATATGATTAATAGTGTTTACAAATTTTAAATGAAATAAGTACTTTGTAACAGAAATTAAGAAAAAGAATTAAAAAAAACCCCAAAATCCCAACATAAAAAACAAAATAATTTGTAAACTAATAAAATATAAATTAAAATCGAAATCTTAAAATTATAAATCAAAATTTAAATAAAATTTAAAATATACGAATAAAAAACATTAAAATATTAATTATTAAAATTAGTTAATGAATCGAAAACATTTTATTGAAAAGAAAATTAAGTAACGATTTTCGAATCATTCTAAAATAAAAATAATAATCGTAAATCGTAAAAAGAAACTAAAATTTAAAAATGGAAGACTCTAGAAAGAAAAAAAAATGTCGTAGTACTTACTGTGTCAGATAGTTGAAAAAAATGTCCACTCCTAGTAGTGGGTGATTTGAATAATAATTGTGATGAGAAACATTGAAAATGAGAAGTGATTTGGCGTCGAGCCAAAAATTGTCTTCGTTCTTCAACTGAAATTCTAAACTGGCCATTAATTATGGTGTGTGAACCATAAATTCATTGCAAGAAATTTAAATGTCATTATATGGTGTTTAACCATATAAAATTCATTGCAATTTATGTCTCATATATTGGCAATGGATGTCCCTCGGAATTGAAGATCCATTTGTCGAGATTTATTAATTGTCTACTATCGTCGAAGAGAAGATAAAGATACTTTAAGGTTTCAGCAAACCAGAAACTCTCAGTCATGTCCTTAGGACGAGTATTCTGAATATTTCGAACATTTCCAATACTTGTGTATCCATTTTCAACTTTGGTATAATTCTCAAATGCCTAAAGGAACCAAAAGATTTAATTCGACACTAATTAGGTATAATTCATTAGGAAGAGAATTATTATTAAATTATTATTATGAAAATTTACTTGAAATATTTTCCAACCCCATTCTTGATAAGTTTTGTTGCCCGTGAAATACCACATGTAATATAAACTTTCTATAAATTCTGGACGTAATAAATTATGCGCGTCATTTGACTTCACGTACATTGGATTATTATCCAGTGAGTTCTGTGTAAAAAATATTGCCTTTCAATAAAATTCTTTTTTGATTTCATTTTTGTTTAAATTGAGATAGTTTTGTTTGATTGAAAAATAATTACCAAAACGTTGAAATATGTGATTTCAGGAGCGAGGAAAGTTGGTTGAATGGCATAAGTTTCGTAACAAGTTTTAACTAATTTATGTGCGAGATCCATATGCGTATAAGGCAGACCATTATGATAGCCAAGAGCAAGAGTTCCGATTAAATAGCAAACAAGATGATCCTAAAAAATATATTTAAAATTTATACTGTTTTCTTCGAGAATTCAAAAGAATATAATTCAATTCTGAGAATATAAATTGAATTAAATACATTCTCTAAAAAATTATATTTACCATTTTTGGTTTCATTTCTCTTGCAGCTCCGACAAGTTCGGCTAAAAAGTGCAACTTATTATTAGCTGTTGTTTTGACTAAATGCTTCTGCATTCCAGCAATGCCCAATAAATAATCGTCTCTTAAACTGAAAAGAATATTAATTAATAATAAAATTCAGAACAAAAATGTCTATTTATTTTATTAAGAAGATTACGATTAGATTTATTTAGAATTTACGTTCCTAGGACTAAAAGCCTTTTAAGGGACAAAATTAATATTAATGATATTAATCAATAAAAAATGCTCACTAATCAATAGTTTTTCCTGTTTGGATCCATTGTTTCAGTAAATATTCATAATAACTGTCGCCTCGTGCTCCGAACGTTATCGTTGCGTATTCTCGAAACATTCCTGTATTCGCATTTATAAAAATTGGAACTAAACCGTCATATTTTTCTAATCGATGAATGTGTTCGGAAACTTTGGCGGCGGCAGCCTGAAACATGAAAAAAGTTTCAATAGTTTTATGGATTTTAATTTCAAAATTTTTACAAATAAATTCAGTTTCAAAAAAATACCTCAAATCGCGGTTGGCCGGAACTGCGGCTCAAATCACGAAATTCTAATTGAATGGAAGTCACTTCGCTTGTACTGCTATCCGGACCCCATTTAGGACTATGAGCACTTCTCATGCCTAAATTTACATCCGAATAGGGAACATCAGATCGTGTGGAAAATGCGGGCAACAATCGATCGCCAAGATCAATCTGTAAAATTTAATTTCAAAAATCTACTTAAAAAAATTAGTTCTAGATTATTAGTTATTAAAATTACTTCGAGATTATTATTGATTCGCTATTTACATTTTATATCACAATAAACTTTTATATTCTCTAAATAAGGAAAAATGTTTACTCTGAACTTTATACGTTTCGTTTAATATTTACAAAATTTCTACTTACTGCCTTGTCAAGGAAAAGCTTATCACTAGACAAATGATAAGCGGCCAATAAACCCCCAAGTACTCTTATAGTAACTTCAAATAAATTTACATCTCTGTTCAATGTGAACACTAGAGAATGTTCTACCCAATCACGGGCGTCTTTAAATTCTGCAAGGAAAATTTATTCAACGTTAATTCTCCGATTTTTGCCGTTTTTCGATTTTATTAGTATATATTTATTTATTAAAAACTAAATATTAAGAAAACTAATTTAACATAATTTACCTTCATTTAAACCCATTATGTACATAGTATCTAAAGAATCTACAATTGTAAGACCCAAATTAAACCATTCGTGATATCCTTTTGATATCGGTTTAACGTTATCGTGGCCCCAAGCATACTTTTTGTATCCAGCCCAGGAATGCCTAAAGGCTTCCACCACAGCTTTCTGCCTATCATTTTGAGGACCTGAAAATAACACAAAATTAGTTAAATAGAAAAAAAAATACTGAATATTATACAATATAACTGACTGAATATTTTTATTAGATATTATTAGATAATAGAAATATGTATTATTAATATTAAACTAGAAACATTTATATTTATATTAAATTTATATTTAAATATTTAATTAGGAATATTTCAATGTTGTTAAAGATTGAACTGGTTATTAAAAAAAACTTAACCGGTAAATTTAAGTCCAATTGTCTTCGGTTGTGGTGGTTCGCCAATCTGATCGTCATCAACTTGATTAAGTTCCTGTTGAAACTGGGGCTCCTCTATCACATCCCCAGTGTCTAATATTTTTGCCGGATCAACATTATCAACGACCAACACATCTCCCAACTAAAATGAATGATTTAATTCTCATTAATAATCATTAATAAATTTAATTCTATCGTAGACGATTCAAATTTCAAAGAAACAAACCTTGTTTGGTTTTGGAGTTTCGAGACTAATTTTCCCGGTATCAAAACTATTTTCAGTTTCAATTAGAATATTTCTTGCACCTCCGGGAAGTAAATAGAAGATTAAAAGAGCGACAGTAATAATGGCAAAGTAAAACACATTTCTTTGAAATCGAGACAGTTGATTCCATTTCTGCAAAATATTTCATTTTTTATTCAACTCAACACACAAAAAATTTATAATGTTGGCTCTTAAATAATTAACATGTTTTTATACGTAATAATTAAAGGTGTTTTTTTTATATAAGTTTAAATTAATTGTGTTACATTGAGAGAAATATTGACAAAAAAAAGCCGAGTCGGCTCCATTAATTTATCGTCAAATATTAAAAATTAACTCTTGGAGTAAATGGTAAAAAAGATACTCACCCTCCAGAGACTACGAGAAGTTCCTCGAGCAAAGGAAGAGGTGTCGTGAATATTTAAACTAATATAATCTACTTTACTTAAATCCTTTGTTGAGAACATATTTTTAGGTTATGTTCTTATTGTTGCTATTACAATGAGCTCCAAACAGCTGCAATACGTACTCTACTTTTTGTGCAATGGGAAACATTTAGAGTACAATTGAAATTGTTAAATTACTACTAGAAAAACGATTTAATAAGTGATAAACATGATCCCGCAGCTGTTTTTCCTTTAATTTAAATACGTTGACATTTGTCACGTATTTTCCTTCGAACGACAAAGGTAATTACGTAATTACGTTATGAATATCGCGAAGGGAAAATGAATGACACTTTACCACATTTTACCCTAAGGTTACATTCCCATCCATGGCAGTTTTGTACACAAAAGATATTTATTTTAAATAAACGCGCGCATTGTGACCAATGAAAAAATTTTTCTCGCGCATGCGCTCTTTTGTCGTTGTGGAAATTTATTGCGTTTCCCATCCTTGTTGCCGTCACTGATTTTGTTGTTTGTGAAAAGTGTAAAGCTACAACGAATGAAAATTAGTGCTAAAAGAATATCCGATTTTTAGTATTATTTACAAATTAATTGGGAATGTTATTTCTCTTTTTTCCCTTAGTGCAGGGCGACAGTGGTTGGTGGTCCGTCACTGGGCGTTGGCAATATGGCCGTGATTCCCAGAAGTGACCGCCAGTGGCGCTCTGTCTCGCGTCGTCCCGACAGGTTGCGACAAGTTGCAACAAGTATCGAACAATCCTTTGTTCTTTTTCGTTTTTCGACCAATAAAAGTGAGAATATTCTTCCTAATTCTTTTTTTTAATCAAATTTCAACTTTAAACGGGCAATTCGTTCACATTTTTCTGATTCATTTGCGATTGACAAAATTGACGTGAAGCCGCGGGCATTCGTGCGCCTCGTGGTAGCATATTTTTCGTTTTTAATTCCAAAAGAACTAATTTATCTTTACAATTATAGAGTTTCTGATTTTGGAAATTTTGTCCGGATACAAAAAAATTTATATTTATTTCGCATTTTTCATAAATGTGCATTGAGATCTCTTGTCTCGTGTCGGACATTTTGTATTCACTTCCCTCAAACAAGGCGTCATACGCGTCGCGATTTGTCGCTAATATTTCAGGTTTATTTCAAACATTGCAGCAATATATTGATGCATATTGTTGCAGAATTAGCAATTTTCAGCAATATTTCGAACATTTTAGCAATATATAGCACATTATGTTAGAAGATGTTATAGATAAAAGTCGAAGAAACATGTAGAAACAAAATGGCTGCCAAGCACAGTGACGTCACGTCATTGTCGACACTACTCCAAATTCATTTCGTTCGTTTACCCTTTGTTTTGACCCGGAAGGTCATCGGGAGTGCAATTCTATTCGAGTATTAGTGATTTCGCATTAAAATTTTTTTTTGAGAGCAAAAGATTCACGATAACGGACTTTTTTTGCGTCGACCACGTGTTAAATTCACTTCGAATAATAAAAGTGCAATTAATTTCGGCGTGTATTTGTGTTAGTGTCCTTGAAGAAAAGACGTTTCGAAGCAGCTCCAGGATGGATATCATGGACAGCTGATCGCAGTTCTCCGTAAGTTAGTCAGCAATGAGTGAGTTTTTAATTTTTCTTTTAACAGATATTTTTTACTATCGTAAAATGTGTGTCGCGAGAAATATTGTGTTGGGAAAATTTTCTTCCATCAACACTAAATTCCGATCAAAATAATTTTTTTTTCTGGTATTTCATTATACCAGTTTGATTTTGAAAACGCTGATTATTTTTATTATTCACCTTACGTGAATAATTTGATTCGAGTCAATATCTAGGGTGGCTACATATCAGTAAAGTCAGGGAAAAAAGTTTTTGTCAGTAAAATCAGGGACATGTCAGGAAAAAATATTTTGTTAGGGAAATTAATAAAGTCAATCTTGCTGCCACCCTATTTCAGTGATTTAGTGAAAATTTAGTGATCAGAGATGAAAAAATATATACAAAAAGTGATTTAAGTGATTCAAGTTAAAGGAAAATTAAAAGTGCAAAAAAGAGTTTATCAAGAGATTGTGATTGTAGAAAAAAAAGATAAGTATTTTCTTAATAATTAAATGCAGTTTTAAATATTTCAGAAAAAAATTTAAATTAATAATTTCCATGTTTTGTTTGTATTAATCTGTTTCAGGAATATTTTTTCTACGATGTATCCTTTTGTTTACTATTTTGTTGAATATGTATTTAATTTATTTTGTGCTTAATATTTACTTGTTTGTTTCAGTTTAATTATCTACGATGTATCATTTTTGAGTAACAATTATTTTGTGTTTAATTCTTATTCGTTTGTTTCAGAAAATTAATATCTACGATGTATCCTTTTCTGTGTATACATTTATTTTGTGTTTAATTTTAGGCTGCGTCTACAATAGAAAAAAATAATGTGTAATTTGTAGTGTAATGTGTATTGTTTTTGGCATTGACAACTGTCAGGGGCAATTACACAAAAAATTACCCATTTTTCTACTTATTATTTTTTCTGTTGTAGACGCAGCCTTAAGGCTGCGTCTACAATAGAAAAAAATAATAAGTAGAAAAATGGGTAATTTTTTGTGTAATGTGTATTGTTTTTGGCATTGCCAACTGTCAGGGGCAAATTACATTACACAATTTTCTACACATTTTTTCTGTTGTAGACGTAGCCTTATTCTTTTGTTTCAGGAATTTCATTTTTATTTTTAATTTTCTTTTCTGTTTCTAGAAATTTATAGAAATTTATCGTTTTAGAAGGTTTCCTTACAACTTTAGATTGTCAGTGTGAATAGGCCTTAATAAACTGCGTACTTTGAGACAGTAGCGCTCGTACAAGTGGCAAGATTTACAAGTAATTCTTCACTCAAACCACTAGTCATTACTTTCAACTCTCACAAACGACTGTTTTCAGTTCTGTTCTCAATCATTAAAGTTAAACTGTGGTAGTAATCTGTTTATTAACGTGTAGAGAAAATATATATTTGAGAGAGAATATTATACGTTTGAAACAATCTGAATAATATTTTTTTTCTGCGCTAGCGCAGAATGTTAAATGGTCAGCAGAATCAACAGAGAAATCGGCAACCTTGTAACAGCCATATTGTTTGCATGCACGTTATTGGTAACAAGTCAGTGAAGAATAATCTCATAGTCCCGCAAATTGTGAAGGACTTCGAGCATTGCCGAGAAAGGTAATTATGCCGGGTTGAATGACGACTCATTATAGTTAACATGAATTCCGCAGTTCTGTCGATATACACATGCAGTAACAGTTGAGTATGTACTCACTTGAAAACTGTGTTACATTTATTTTTTCTTTGGTCAAATGTGTGCGTGTGTGTGTGCATTCTGTGAAGGAGTGAAATTGTCCCCGTACAAACGAGTTGCCCTAATCGATATAAGGATTCACAACTCTCTTCAAACACCTTTTTCGACATTCTGAAGTGTTCTGAAGAGAGAAGAAGAAGAAAGATAACAAAAAATTGAAATTATGTCACTATTATCTAAATTCTAGTATATTATACTGCTCTCCATGACAACGAAGTCATCTCATGAAATTTACTCTCAAATGCTCTTGAAAAATGATTTCCAAATTTGAAAATACGTTTTGTGTGTGAAAAAAGTTATTCAAATTCTTCTTATGAGGGTCTTGCCTAACGGACAGTGAGTATTTTTAATTCTTTCTAAAAAGCAGGAGCTTTGAGGATTTTTAAATAGTGGGCGTACAGGTTAGAGGGGAGAATTGTGCTGGCATAAGCATTTTGGAAGAAGTTTCTGGATTACTATGTAGTTTCTGTAGTGCTCCTTATCTACTAGGATCAATTCAATGATTGTGAAAAAGAAGTTATTTTTTCTTTTGGAAAATTATTTTTAAATATCGTGTGTTGCGTTTGTCTCTCCCTTTTGGTGTGTCATAAATTCCCCTTGAGTTGGGAAAGTTGAATAGGGCAATTGAAAGTACTACAGTTTTACCATCAATCGTGAGTTCCACGTGCGCGTTTTACTGCTGAAGGAATGTGAAAGGTGTCACGTTTCGTTTCCATGTTTGTAATATATCGCCATCAGTGAATGTCATCGATCGACGATCTACCCCAGTAGTAGTAGTCCATTGAGATTTTTCGGGTGTGCTTGAGACGGTGTTATTTTTGTTTCGGCTCTCTCTCAACTTCCTCGAGCCAAATTCGATTATATTCTGTCGCTTTTTGAAGCGAAAAATTCTCCATCGAATTTGTCGCATTGCGAAAAAAGTGTCTGTGTGTGAAAATTAAGTTTTTGTGCAAAATTCGATATTTTACATTCCAGTGTTTTTTGCCCAAATAATAATTAAAAAAAGGAAAAAAAGTTGTGTAAAACATCAATCTTTATGAGGATATTGATAATTTTCGAATATGAAGAAATACATTTTAGATGAAATGAAAATACGAAGTTTTAAAGTGAGGTAATTATTTCAAGTGTGTATTTTTAAATAATGAAATCATTCAAGTGACTTATGGGGATTTGCACACCTTCGTCCTTCCGCAGAATTTTTTATACTTGAATACAAAAATGTTTATTTCACTTGAGAGAAGGCATTGAAAAAAAAGTTTCCACATTCTGATTTACTTTGTCATCGTTTTTTTTTTTTGCTTTATAAAAAATATTTTTCGTGGTACTCAAGGTCAAAATGGCAATTACAATCCGTTATAAAAGTTTTTAAAGGCCGAGAAATTTACTATCTTGCAATAAATCAATTTTTCATGTAGTGTGTGTATAGGAGAAACCCTCGAGTTTTTAGAAGATTAAATTTCGCTTTCGTATATTAGAAACGATTTTCGTAAAAAAAAATGCTATTATCGAAAGAATTTATTGGCAGTTGCGTAAAAAAAATTCGTATATCTAATCATTTGGAGCAGTATATGATGTAAGTGATAATTTTTTTTTTAAATTTTAATTCAATTTGTAAGATTGAATGAAAAAAAAATTGAATTTCAGTTTAATTAGACAGGTATTAATTGGAATTTATCAGACAAATCTTAATTGAGAACATTCTCGTGAGAACTCTGTTATTTTGTTGTTGCTTTTTCTTTTTTAATAAGGTCAGGAAAATTCTATTAGAAAATTTGTTTGTATACACACGAGAGTTACGGAGTAGTTTCCTTTCTGTGTCGATCGATAAGTGAATCCAGTTATCTCTGAATTGTGAATTTCTTCCTTCTGAACTTGGGAACTTATTATGTTTCAGTGTATAATACATATTTAGGGAAAAAATGAGATTAAATTTTATTGAGTTGTTGTAGATGCAATTTTGAGGTTAATAGAATCACACATTGAAAATTTTGTTGCATAACTTTACTTTAACAATTAATATAATGACGTTATGCAATATTGTGTTATTGACGTTTATCGTACATCTGCATCGAACTATAGATGTAGGGACTCGGTTTTCTGTTTATCTGTTTGCGTTTATAAAACAGGACAATTTTATAGAAATTCGTTCTAGTTTTCGATTTATTTTCCTGTTGCACTGAATTTCACTTTAGTTGAGAATTTTTACTTTTTTATATTTATTTATTAATTTTCCAATTTTTATTATTTAAGTAATTTTTTTTTCATTTTCTTCGTTCGATTTCGAAACATACTTTTTGTACCTTTTCCTTTTTTTATTTATAAATTTATCGACTATTTATCAAAGTTGTTAGTAATAATCAAATTTGGTTCATATTTTGCAATTTTTTGTTTTGTTTATAAAAATTAAATTGAAATTTGTTTTATTTTTATTTTTACACGACATATTTTTTGGGAAAATCGTATTTTTCAATCAAACAAGGAAATAATTATTTATTTAATTAACAATTATATGATTTTTTTAAATCTTCAAAGTCGGAGCTGACTTGTAATATTGAAGTCATAACAGTAAATGCGGAAGTTGATTATTACGGAAGTGTAATCGTGAGCAAATACTGTGTTCGCCTCTCGTTTATTTTTTATTGTTTCATTAAATTTATTTAATAATAGAGATTACTTATAACATTACGAGTAAATTTTGTTTGTTTGTTTTTTTTTATTTTGTTCTCTACAGTAAAAATAAAATTTTTAGAAGTTTATAATCTTATTTGCTTAAAAAAATTTTTCTATTCACTTTTATTTTCGTTTTATTTAATTATTTATTTATATTTATTTTTATTTATTATTATTTATTTATATTTATTATTGTTTATTTTTAATTATTTTCATTTTTTGTTTTATTTGTTTTATTATTTTAGTTTAATTGAAAAAAAATCTGTCGATAAAAAAAACAAAATGTTGATTGAAAAAAAAGGTAAATTCTTGAATCAACTGAAGTGTGGCTATGTTAGAATAAATTGGAGTGTAAATTTTAACGAGAACGTATTTTTCAGCTGCCTCGAACAATTAAAGTCACTTAGGGGTGAAAAGTGTGGGTGTAAAATGAGCATTTTGCAGGATGAAGTCGAGTTTCCGCCTGGTTTGCGTTATTATCATATAAACTAGTATCAAAAAGATGATTGAAGCTGGATGGCTCAGAAACTGCTTTGCATAAAAGTCTCAAAATCTTTTAAGATGAAAAAAAGAAAACTTGATTTCACAATTTTTATTATATTTTTAAAAAGAGAAAGGAAATGTCACGTTTTTCGCGCTCTCATCAGAGATATCAGATTTCATTTTTTAAAATAGTATACCTACTCCTATATTTTTGTCTCTATATATTCTTACTTGTTTCAGATTTTTTCTCATATTTTTTCCAAACATCCGGAAAAATATTTTCTATTTTCACCACTAGTATGGTTTAGAATTGATAGTTTTCGAAAAATTCTTCAGTGGAAACTTTTGGATTATAGTCGAAGTTTATTTCGTATATACGGAATAGAATGACAAATCTCAGGGTTCGATATTAGATAATCTATAGTCAGCTGATAAATTTTGCGTGTCACCCTTGAAAAATCTGATTTTGAAGAAGCCATTCAATCTAAAACTCCTTATTCTGCCCTTGATGGATCAGTGTAACAATGATTCTTTTCTTTCTGCCCTCGTTGGGTGTCTAGAAACTGATAAGAAAATCGGAAGTGTGATAGAGGAGACGGGCAACAGGGGAGACTCTATAGGAGAGAGGCTCTCGACTGTCTGAAAAGTATAAAAAAAAAAAAAAAAAAAAATTGGGAAAAAAGATCAAAATGCCATTTCATCAGGGATCATACTCGGGTACAGTTGCAGTTTCGTACAGTACAAGTCCCATGGCACCATTATCGCCAAGCATCTCAAGACGATATTCCGGAACTGTTGGCGGCTCGACCACCTCATCGAGGATCGGCAGTTCGACGTCAAAATATAATACCTATAGACCTTCATCGACAACCTCCTCGATTCTCGATCGTACCACTGGCAGTTACTCGAAGCCATTGGGCACATCTCGAATTAACTACTTGTCCGGAAGGTCTATCTGTTCACCTGCAAGGTGAGAGAGGTTGACTTTATAAACAAACAAAAATTCACCCCAAGCAAAAGTAACAGCACGCTTTTGATGGCTTCGCAATTCTTTTCTTCAAGTTTTTTTTCTTTTTTCATCATGCAATCGAATTGTCGATTAATTAACCTTTCGCCTTCTCGAGCCTTTTTGTTTTTTAATAATTGTTTTTTATTTTTCCTTTTATTTTTTATTCATTCCAAGATGTAAGCTATTTTTTTGTCATTCAACTTTTGAGATTCTAATGGTAAATTTTTCATGTACTAAAAAATTAATTAACCAAATGTTAATTAAGTTAAAAAGTAACTACCATTTAGTTTTTAATCGTTTTCAAATTTTAATCAAATTTTAATCATTATCATTAGACTACATATAATTAAATTTATAATACGAACGTAATGAAGTGATTTTACAAAAAAAACATTGAATTTGAAAACAAAATTTACCATGAATATCAAAAGGACTTTTTTTGTCTCCTGTTATATTTTTAACAATTTAAACTCTTTTACGTGATTTTTTCCATTAACGAATACATTTTGTTTTATTTTTTTTTTGTTCTCAAATATGACCTCATTTTTAGCAGAAAATTAATTTTCACCAGCTTTTTCAATTTAATTTATGTTTGCTGAATCATTGGAAGATTTCTTGCACACACTTCTCTCTATCTCTCTCCAACTCTCTCTCTCTCTATTTAATTCACGAGAGTTTTCGCAAAATTTTTCGTTTTTCTGCTGACGTTCCTTTTTTATCTGTTTGTGCGAGTGAATTCATTTTTGTATTTTGTCCACTGACCATTACATTAGATTAGAATTTCGATTTATTAATCTGGATCATTTCCAAAACAAAAAAAAAAAAAAAAACAAAAAAAAAACAAAATAGAAAATCGTTGCATGTTTTCGTGTTTCATTCGTATTTTTTGAATGAGATTTGCTCTCCTTTATAAAGAGAATAATTATAAAGGTTAATTAACAATCATTGTGGATTTAATGAATTTCTATGTCTAATTACCTTTGTTGTCAACACTAACGTAATTTATTTACTTACATAATGAGAAATAATCTCTGCAATTTCAATTGATTTTTTGAAAAAGAAACTTCGATTCGTGTATAAAATCGGAAAAATTAAATTTTTATCTTTTTTATTTTTCCAGATATTTTATTTTTATTTATTTCTTTTTTTATTTTTCTCTGATATTTTATTTTTATTTATTTCTTTTTTTATTTTTCTCAGATATTTTATTTTTATTTATTTTTTTTCGCAATTATTTTATTTCAGTTTTTATTTTTCTCAGTTAAATTGAAATAAATTGCAAACTAATTTAATATATTTTTACTATTTTATTTTGCAATATATTTTTATTTTATTTTTATTTTGTAATATTACAAAATAATTATTACAATGCTGATAATTGAAAAAATGCCTGAGAATTTTTGAAACGTTTTTGAGAAAAAAGAAATTGTTCTTTCAAATAAAATATGATATATATGAAGTGGAAAGGATTTCAGAGTTGACCCTGATACTTGAAACCATTTATGGTTGAAAAACGTTTTCCTTCTCTTGACTTTTAATAGTTTAACTCTTTGCTTGGACTTGAGCAATTCTGGCAAACCAGTTTGTCCACTGTCTTTAAAGAGCAATCAATTTTTTAATTTTATGCACATGGGTAATAAGTAATTATCATTTTCTATAGATGAAACAATTTTCAAAGTGATTTTAAAAATGCATTTTTGCCTTTGAAAAAAATATATTTTGTCCAAGAGAAAAATTGCAGATCAATAGAAAATGTTCTTTTCTTTATTTTTACCTCTATTTGTGAAAATATTTCTCATTAAAATATTTCCTCAATATTTTTGTTATTATTTTTTTGTATAATTCTTTTATTTATAAAACAATCTTTATTTATCACTACTGTGTTATTATTATTACACAATAATTATTATCGTCAGTTATGAAATTTTCCGTAAATATAATTTCCTTTTTGTTTTGAAAGAGATGAATTTCGCTACGTTATATAGAATTTATAGTATTTTGATTAAAATGATCAAGAATTAATTCATTGTCAGATTGTAAAAGTTTGAATGAGGCTTCTAAGAAACTCTAAATAATCTATTGTATGCCTTCAAGAATAATCCAATTATGCAGCCACTATGTGGTTCGGCACTTAAATGTCTATTCTATTCTGTGGTCCATATAGTTATAACTAGAGAACTACATTTTAGGCAGCAGCCCACTGTAACTGGTTCCCTAAATATATTAAGCTCTCTCTCTCACTCACTCTCTTGAGTTGAGGTCAACGATGATCCTTTTACTGTCAATGGCATTTAAGTGAAACAAGTTTAAGTACAACGAGGTTCTAAAAAAAATCTTCACAATAATTCTCATAATAGAAATTCCCCAAATTTTTACATTTTCACTGTCTTAACACAGCAATATTATATTGACAAAAAAAATTTTTTGGTTAAACAAATTCCATTTTTAATTTTTTGTTAATTGTAATTTTTAGTCTATTAGGTAAAATTTTTGTTGTTTTAATTTTTTGTTACTGCCATTTTTGTTATTACAATTTTTTGTTACTACTTTTTTTGTTATTACAATTTTTTGTTACTTCCATTTTTGTTTATAAAATTTTTTTGTTAATTATTCTTTATTAATTAATTATTATTCTGTGTTACCTAATTAATTTCTACTAATTAATTAATTTAATTTCGAATTGCTTTGTTTTTGTGAGTATTAAAAAAGTGTGAAGTGAAGAGAATTTTTTTTTCGTGTGGAATGTCTTGAATTAAAATGAAAATGTTTGATGTTAAATTTTTTTTATCGGTCAACACACAGTGTAATAAGATTTTAAATGACGTTTGCTTTGATAAGGATCTCGCTGTAATCACACAAGACACGTGTTCTTTGGAGTAGACTTCGTTTTGCAATGGCCGTTAAATAAGCGCATATTCATTTCATAATCGTAACACTAGATGCGAACCTTGAGCTCTGAACTGGCAAAGACCGTAAATTAATTTCGTTTTCGTTATTTTACGTGCGAGTTGATTTTCGTTCACGTGCTTTCGAAGAATTATTTTTATTGCAAAAAGGAATTATTGAAATTTGTAAAAACAAAAATGTTGGGACAAAATTTGTAATTTGTAATTCTATTTTAATTTTGTTTTTTTAGAGAAAGGATTTTTTTTATTGTTAAAAAATAATTTTTCTTTGAATATGTAAGAAAAGTTTTCGTACTTGTGGAGTTTTTCAATATTTGGTAGGGAAAAAAATTCCGTGAAGTAGCTTTCGTTTGTATTTGGCAAACGCAACTCCTTTGTTTAAAGGCAGTTTCTGTTTTTTCAAGGCCGGGAAAATATTTACTGCATAACGCGCTTTATTACAGTGTAAATTCGGTGATTTTCCGATGGATTTTTGAAATTAATGCGCGGCGGGATTATTGCGTAATATTCTTTTTTTTGAAAGGCCCTTGGCGAATGTCCCAGTGTTATAGTCGTAGCCATGCTCTCATTTCGTATTGGGTTGTTCGCAGGTCAGTCTCATCGGCGACAGACTCGGGCATTGGATCCAGCAGCAAATATCTGAGTACATCGAGTTTGACGAGAGATCATCGCAACGGTCACAGTAGCGGTAGCCAGAGCAGCAGTGGACCGTCAGTCGTCGACCGGCTGTCCAGTAAATACTCGTCGTCGATAAAGTCGCGATGCACATCGCCCTGGCGCTCGAGTTCGTCGACGTATCTCGATCTCCTCGGTGGTGAGGACTACAGCAATATTGTGAGTGATCTTCGCCGTGACCAGCGACAGGAGTCTTCGTCCTCTTCAGCCTCGTCGTCGGCGTCGTCCACCTCCTCCACCTCGACGTCCGTGACCCCGTCACGATACTCATCTCTTCACAAGCGGCGACCACCACTAGCAACCACCGTGCTCACCAGTCATGCGCAAAATGATAGCGCCACGGCGCCCGCCGAGGTAACAGTCAACGATCAACGGAACAATAATACCAACGACGAGAACGACAAAGACATTATTGACAGGCCCGCCTGTTTTAGTAACAATAGTAATAATAGTAACAATAATAATAATCACGAGGACAATCCAAAACGCCGCGTCGATCACGAGGAGGATAAGCTCGTCAAGGACTCGTCGGCGATAGTACAGCATCCGCCGACAACCTCCGGAGCATCATCAGCCAGTGATCGCGGCGGTGGCGGAGGATTGATTGGCACGAACCTTGATCCGCTCTCTAATTTTCCCACTAACCTCGATAACACGGAGCTGCTAACTAACAATAATGCTCGCTATCGCGAGGGAAAAATTCTCATCAAAGTCCAAGGCGGCGATTCGATTCGAATTATTGATCAGGTGACACAAGATTCTTCGCCGTCGTCCTCCTCCTCTCCCTCGTCATCAACAAGGCTGGCTGGAGAAATTAAAGCAGTGTCGGATGATGATGACGAGGACGACGATGACGATCCATTCGACGAAGATCCATTTTTCAAGACGCGAAACACATTTGCCGAGGGGCTTCTGCAGAATGGAGTCAATGAGAGACCAACACTTGGAACATACAGTGATGATCCGTCCCTAATGCCCTCCACGTCCAGGAGAGCTGATCTTTTTTCAAGTTCGGTTAATTCCAACAATGACACTGCTACCTCGTCGTCTGCAAATACCACCACCTCTGGAACATGGCAGAGCAACAACCTTAGGGACGTTAACGAACAAATCGTGAGTGGTCTTCAATTTTTTTTTCAACAAAAAATGAAAAAACCCGAGTTTTCGATCATCGATGGATTAAAAATAGTGTTCAATAATTTTGCTGTGAGATGAAAATTTACTGGTTCGAAAGTTTATTTCTACTCAAATGCATTTATTTAAATGCACCCTTTTTTATTTTTCTTTCTTCTCATTTCTTCATTTTTGTAATTGTATCACATTTTTCTAGACTTTCAAATTTCTTTCCTCATTTATTAAATTTTCAAACTTTTCTATTTTTCTTCACAGAGAAATATAATTATTTATAAATAATTAAATTAAATAAAAAGAACTAAAAATAAATTTTCAAACTTTTCTGAATTAATTATTAAAAGTGAAGTAATAAATTATTCAATATAATAGCATTAAAAAATCTCTTATAGACAAAAGAAACAAATTTCAAGACTGTAAACTTTCATCTCCTTACTATGCAAAATAACTAATGAATAAAAATAAATTAATATGAATCATATCTATTCATAAATCAGAAAGGAATTTGAAATTCTGACAATCGTATTCGCTCCGATTTATACCAGAAACTGGGTTAGAAATTCAAGGTCATAAAAATTATTATCTTAAAATTGAGAGAAAACATTTTTTTTTCATTAAATTTTCAAAATGTGCAATTCCATTTTTATTTTTTGGAGCACTTGAGAGAGTGTTAATTTAAATGGAACTTGGTAAAAAGGAAATTGGCATAAAGTTCCAAAAAAATTTTTTAATTTGTTTTATTATTGGTTTTCTTTTTGTTTCCTCGAAATAAACAATTTTTAATAGTAATTAATGGAATGTAACTTTAAAGTTTTATATAACTTGTTTTTCGCTATAAAAACCAAAAAATTTTCATTCGATAAAAATGAAAAAATCACGGAATTTACACATTCTTTGGGGCAAATAATTTTGCGATAAATTTTCATAAAACTTGTGATAATGTTTTAGTAATCAAGAGTTGTTTTTTTCACAATTTTTTTTTTTTTCATCTTTTGTGAGTTGAGAAAAATATCTGTCTGAACGATGCTTTTTGTTAGTTGCCAAAAAGTCTCGACGACGCGTGGGAAATTCTGGCAATCAATGTCGAGTCGTATTTTGTCGAGGAGAGCTTTCACATAAGCTGATCGGTAACGCGGTTAACATTCCATTATACGTGAAAAAAAAAATTTTCTCTGCAATTCGCTAAATAAATTTTAAAGCAGTTTTTTTTTCCTTTTTTTTTTGTTATTGTGCATTGAGTGCTGTTAATTATTTTACGAATGAAAAATAATTTCAAGTGTTAAATTTTATTCTCTCGTTTTGAAAATTTTTCCCTCTTCTAAATGATCTTGAATTTCATCAGTGACTGGAAATTTACTTGTAAATTCAAAAGAGAAAAAAAGTACCGAATTCAAATATTTAAAAATTTGTAAAATAAATTTTTTTCTATTAATTTCTGTAAATATATTTTGAATAAGTTTCTGAAAATTGAAGTGAATAATAAGTTTGTAAGTGTAAGAAAGAAAAAAAATTTGTAAATAATGTTGTGCTATCCATCGACGAGCGAAAACTCGGGATTTCCTGTGAAACAATCGTCATTGGAAAGAGAAATATTACAATCAACTGTGAGTATCTCGAGTGTGTGAGTGTATTTTTTTTCTAATTGTTTTCTAATATTAACGGCTTTCAATAATAATACTTAGAAATGTGACTCAAAGAAAAGAAGCATTTGCTTCTATTTTTATTCCACAGAAAACTTGTACTTAAAAAAGAGTCTCGATTGTGTAATTATTTTTTAGTAATTTTTTTCTTATTAACACTGAATTTTTCTTTTTAGGAAGATTACAATTCTTTGTTTTTCTTATTACGAAATTCGTTCACAATTTCTTTCACGACACAAGTATCTTGAGTGGCGAGCAGCAGATGCCTTTATTAATAGAACATCAGCGCGACGTTCCTAAAACTCCCGTTTGGAAAATTTGTCTTGCACCAGTTTCGAAATTAATTTCAAAATATATATATAAATATAATTATATATATTTACTTTCTCAAAAGAAAGTTCAGGAGGAAAGAAAATCGATTCATTTCGTCTAGGCAATTTAATTGTCGGATGAAGAAAAAGAAAAATTGTCCCTCTCAATTCTGGAAGGAACCTGTAAAGTGCGATAATCCGTTCCTTCAATCGTGTGGATTCTCTCTAGTGAAAAAAACTCAAATACCTTCTGTCATCTAAAGTTGGAAAAAAAAACTTTTCCAATATTTTTTCCTAAAGTGAAATATCTATTCTGATTAATCATCATCTGGTTATTAATTTTATTTTTCTCACTTAATAATTATTTCTTTTATTTATTTATTAATAACCAAGTTATTTATTTGCTATAATTATTTTCTATAATTTATTTCTTATTAAAATTATAAATTAAATAATTAAAAATTAAATTTAAAGTCTGGAATTAATTTGACACACAAGTGTGATCTCATTAAAAAAAAGTCTTTATTTAGCTCTCGTCTTTTATTAATACTGTGAAGCAACATTTGAATTTCTATTTTTAACAACCCAATGATAATTCCGTTGATTGTTTTTTTAATTTAAATGGTTCATTTTCTTTTCAAGTAGAGGGAAATTGAGTGAAAAATTAAATTTATTTTCCACAATAGTGATATGGTTTTTTTTCCATGGAGAAAAGAAAATTGGTTTCAATTTCGTTTGAGGTCTGTTAGTCGAGAGTGAAAGATAAACTGGCTTGGCAAGTATTAGGCTGGGGGTTGTGGTTCGCGTGGACTGCAGCTGCTCTCTGTTTTGCTTATGCATTTTTTCTCGGGATCGTGACACCCTTAGTGACCCAAAAACACATCGCCCCTGACATCCAATGTGCAAGAGTTGATTATTCATCGCCTCCTCGGATACGTGCCGTTGACCAACAATCATTACGTATCAAGGTGAGGCCTTCCAATTTTGCAAAGTCATTTCTTTGTTATATTTGTCGGAAAAATTGGGAATCTTTCTTCACAATCGACTCGAAATATGTACAAGTTTTCTGAATTTGCATTTTTTTTAATGCTCTTATTTTTATCATTTTTAGTCAAATTAATCCTTTATTTTATTTTTACACTTATTATTTATTCACCAATTTTCTTCATTCATTTTTCTTTTTTGCCTTTATTCGTTAATTAAATTTTCTAATTTTTTGATAATAAAAATTAGTTTTTGATTTTTGTTATAGTGACTAATATTTTTTAGAAAAATTGTGTGCTTTAGATTAGTTTGTTTATCAAAAATTCCCCCCAAATGACAAGACAAAATTCTAACTATACAGGACAGATTAAATTACAAGTTTTCAGGACTGCGGAAATCGTCGAATTTCGAATTTTATGCGATTAATTCTCGACAATTTAAAATTAAATATGTTTCTAACGCTGAGAAAGGCAATTGAAAACATAGAATGGATTTTTGATTGAAAAATAAAAAATAATTATACTCTCTTAAAGACTAATAAAGAAAGACTATTCTCTTCTAAAGAGAGAAGAAAATGTTACTGAAAATTAATAAGTGAATTTTGTTTTTCTTTTAGGAGGAGAGTACAGTAGCGAGGGGAATTCGTAATCGACATCAAGCCCATCGGGACGAACGATGTGGTCTAAATGGCCTGCGAAACATTGGAAATACGGTGAGTTATTCATTCGCGACTCATTACACACGGATTCTCTCTATTTATATATCGAACTGCATTCAATATCCTCTGCCAATAATATATGGACAATTGGATCTTTGAAAAAAAATACGTCTGAGTCTTAAAACTGGTGCTCTATCGCAGAGACTTTAGTGAATACAAATGAGTAACGAGTGGCGAATATAAAAAACCTATTTTTTAAAAATAACACTTTTTTTCCTTTTTTCTTTGAAAGAAATTCAATTCAATTGTATTATATTTTTATTATAAAAAATATTATAATTTTATTTTTATTGTATTACTAGCAAATGTTACGGGCACTAGCGCGCAAAACGTGATATTTAATTTATTATTATTACGCAAATTACAAAATTTTCTATTTTCAAATATGAATTTTTGAATAATTTCGGATTCAAACTTAAAATATGTAATTCAATTATTAACTAACTTACTAATTAATTATTCTTGTTTATTAATTTCAAAAATTTTAATAAAATTCTTCACAAGAATTCAATTATTTTCATAAATAATAACATTCTTCATAAGAATTCAATTATTTTTATAAATAGTAACATTTTTTGGAAAAATTCAATTATTTTTAAACAAAATTTAAATAAATCCTTCGAATCAATTTAATTATTTTTTTAAATAGTAAAATCTTTCCAAAAATTCAATTATTTTCAAAAAAATTTCACAAAAGAATTCAATTTTTTTTTTGAATTCGTTATAAAATATTTCAAAAGAATTAATTTTCTAAATTTTTAATAAATTATTCGAAACAATTCAATTTTTTTTTTGAATTCGTTATAAAATATTTCAAAAGAATTAATTTTCTAAATTTTTAATAAATTATTCGAAACAATTCAATTGTGTTTATAAAATAGTAAAATTCTTTGCAAAAAAATTCAATTATTTTATAAAATTTTAATAAATTATTCGAAAAAATTCAATTTTATTTATAAAATAGTAAAATTCTTTGTAAAAATTTAATTATTTTTAATACAATTTTAATAACATTTCATGAAAGAATTCAATTTATTTTTAATTTTAAATAATATTTTTCGAAAAAATTCAATTATTTTCTAAAATTTTAATAAATCCTTCGAAACAATTCAATTATATTTATAAATAGTAAAATTCGTTGCAAAAATTCAATTACATATTTTCAAAAAAAGTCCACGAAAGAATTTAATTTTTTCAGTTTCTTGAATTTATTAGAAAACTAAATTCGATTTTTGTATAATTTCAGATTTAAAATATAAACAAATTGAATTTTATTAAAATTCTTTGCAGAAATTTAATTATTTTCAATACAATTTTTATAAAATTTCTCTTATAAGAATTCAATTGAAAGAAATTAAAATAAATAAAGTATGTATTATTAATTAGCTTTTTTACAATAATTTATAAGCAGCTATTTTTGTATTTTAGAATGTTAAATTAATATTACTAATATATTATTAACATATATATAGATTGGATTTCAAAAATATTCAAATTCAATTTTAAAAATTTTTAATAAATTTTAATATAAATTCTAAAGAAGTTAGTTTTTTGAAATATTTTTAATCAAATGTTTTTGAAATTAGTTGTATTTTTGAATATTTAAATATATATTTAATTGAAAATTTTTCGAATTTTTAAAATTTCATGAAATTAAATTGTAGAAATGTGGATTTTAGAAAAAATATTTTAGGTAAATTTTCTTTTGCTTTAAATAAATAATGGAATTTTTAAGGAACTTTTTAAAAAAAATTTAACTATAGTTGAATTAGAGAAGAATTTTAGTAAAATCAGGGAAAAAGTCAAAGTTCTGTCTGGAAATCAGAGAAAAGTGAGGAAAAAATAAAATAAAATTTCTGTGATGACAACCTTACTTTTTGTTCGTTATTACTAATTTTTGAGTTATTTTTCAATTATGTAATTAATTTGTCAAATGATTTTTCTCGATTGAAATTAAATTGTCTGATGAAATTGATGCTTTCAGTGTTTCATGAACAGCGTGATTCAATGTTTAAGCAATACGAGACCATTGCTGGAGTATTTGCTCAACGAGCAATACTTGCCAGATATAAACACGACAACATCGAGTATGAAGGGTGGACTCATTAAGGCATTCAGTCAAGTTACTCACGAATTATGGGAGATTGGTGGCGATGTGGTGAATACGACTGCTTTTAAATCTCAAATACAAAAATTCGCACCACGTTTCATGGGCTACAGTCAACAGGACGCTCAAGAGTTTCTTAGGTATTTATTGGAAGGACTTCATGAGGACGTTAATCGAGTTAAAGTCAAACCACAACCAATTCACACCGATATTCCCGATCACTATTCGTAAGTCGCCTTTTTATACTAAATAACTCAAATATTCTGTATTTATTTTTAAGTTTAATATTTATTTTTGTTACGATTAATATTTATTTCTATTGGGTTTAATATTTATGTATTTGTTTGTATTTATTCCAGTGTGTTCATAAGAATTTTTTTGTTTGGAAATATAGGGACAGTCAGAAAGCAACGGAGAGTTGGAAACGATATCTTCGCAGTGAGGACAGTACGATTGTCGATGTTTTTGTCGGTCAGTTGAGATCATCTTTGCGATGCACATCCTGTGATCATGTCTCAGTAACGTTGGATCCATTTTGGGATCTGAGCCTTCCCATTCCATCGAGGAGCAGTACTGTGAAACTCAGTCAATGTCTCGAACATTTTACTCGCGAGGAAGTGCTCGACGGTGACGAGAAACCAACATGTTCCAAGTGCCAGATGAGAAGAAAGTGTACCAAGAGCTTTAGCATTCAAAAGTTCCCGAAAATCTTGGTTATTCGTATCCTTTTTCACAATTTTTTATCATATTTCGATCTTTATAATTTCAATTGTTTCAATTTTATGTTAATTAAAAATTTAAAAAATTATGGTTATTAAAATTAAAAACAGTCTAATTAGAATTTCAGAAAAAGAAAAAAAGCACAAAACTGTTTACTCATAAAATATGTAAAATCGAAAATTATTAAGAGATTTGTGTTATTTTGATTTTAGTGTGAATCGAATTTTTCCTTAACGTTGATGATTAGATTTAAAGCGTTTCTCGCCGATGGAACGATTCCGCAGGAAATTGAACGTACTGGTGGACTTTCCATTAACGGGTTTGGACCTGAGTGCCTTTGCCACACCGAGAGTTCAAGGTTGCACGTATAACTTGTATGGAGTCGCGAATCATTCGGGTACAACATACTCGGGCCACTACACGGCTTATTGTAAACATCCATACTCAGGAGAATGGCACGAGTACAATGACAGTCGAGTATCGTCGGTGTCGGTGCAGTCAGTTGTTTCTAGCGAAGCGTACGTGCTATTTTACGAACAGCAGCCTCACAGTTCTCATTTGTAACCTCACGCCTCGTCTAGTAACACAAACAAACCAACCAACTTGCCTCTTGGAAAACCCTCGATTCAATCAACAAACAATTTTTATCGTGCGATTATTATTTTTACATTGCTTTGTTTTCATTAAAAAAAAAAAAAATGACTAAACGTGAACGAATCGTTGCAAAAGCAACTTTTACGTTAACGACAATCATGCAAATTTTATCTAAATAACTTTATTTTTTTTTAAAACTCCATTCCAATTTATTGACAAATTTTTAATTATCTCGAGGAAGAGGACACGAGGGAGGCTGCATTTCTTTTTACATTTAAAATCTACCTTTGATTCTACTCGAGATTATATTCATTTAAAATCGCACGAAATTCTATCGTTTCAAGTGTGAGTTTCGCGTGTATTTTTTTTGCAAAATTTATTCGTTTTTACAAAGAGGGATAGGAATTTAGAATCTTGTCATCAATTTTTAGTGTGAAAAAAACAAGAAAATGGGAAAAATCATGCTTTGAGAGTTTATTTTATAAGACTTTTTTCATCGAATTTCTTTTTATAAAAGAATAATTAATTGTACAATTAGCAAAAGGAAAAAAAATCTAGTACTAATCTAGCTTGATTGTTGTTCACACTCATACACACACGATAAAAAAATAATTTAGTTTTTTGTCGCAAAAAACTCTTGAGTATATAAATATAAATATATAAAATCATTTAAAAATGGTGGTTTAAAAAAAAAAGTTGAGAAAAAAGAGAAAAAAATCCTCAAGAGTTGTAAAACAATGTCTTGCTAGAATTAAATTTACATTTTACTTTATTTGTCTTTTGTAAAATATTTATTGTCACAATCAAGAGCTATTTATTTAATTTATGGAAAGAAAAAGAAACAAATATTAATATATTCGATATTGAAGGACAGGATATATACATAAATATACATATAAATATATATTATACACAAACACATCTATATTATTATATTATTAAAAATACCAATAAAAGTAACAAAAATTAATTGAGAAATACGAAAGTGAATTTTTACATTTTTCCACCTCCTTTTTTTGTGAATCAAACTCATTTTATTCCTATTTCTCTCGCTATTAATAATATTTTATTGTAGTACATGTGTAATTTATTATTAATAATCAGTTATTAATAATAGTAGTAATAAATTCACTGAACAGTAATTTTTAATATTTAGAATACGTTTGAACTCTTTAATAATTGTAATAAATGATATTTTCCCCCTTTTATAAAAATTTACGAATTTATCCAAATCGAAAATTTATTCTTTTTATTATTTATAAATAATCGTTTATGCAGCAAAAAGCAATTATTTGAAATTTTTGAAAAATGGCGGGGTTTAATTTCGCAATGATACGGCCCTGAGATTGGTCAATTTGCAAACTCGAACTGAACGATTTAACAGCAGATGGCGCCATTGTGCTATTTGCACAAACTAACAGAACAGTACGTCTGTTCAAGTTGAAAACAGTAGAAGTGTGTGTTTTTGATTGTTGTGTTCGTGCGGAGGATGACGATCCGCGGCGACGATCGTCGAAGTTTTGCATGTGCGATATTCGCGAATGTGTCTGCTCGCCGGCCGCCGCCACCAGAGGCTCCAGGGTTTATACTCGCGTCCGTGAAATGTCCCTGCGACGAGAGTTTTTTTTGCGATCGTAGTTTTTCGGTGTTTTTTGCAACAAAGGAAGAAATGAAGTTTTCGCGTTTCGCAAAAAAAATAAAAAACAGGAAAAAACGATATTCCAAAAAAAGCACTGTTGCCGAGTGCTCTGCTCCGTCGTCTTCGTGTGCGCGACAACCGGAAGGGCTATTTAGCTCCCAGGCATCCTTCTGTCATTTCGTCAATGAATTCGCGGTTTTTTTTTCTTGATAAACAAATTACATGAAATTTAGTTGCGTTGAGAAATTTGTGTTTTATAAAGCAGTTGTTTTCTTTTTTTCCATGGTTTTTAAAAGCGAATTGAAAATGAAATTTTAAAAGCTGTTCTACAATTGATATTGAAAGCTCACGGATGAGAGTTTAACGATCTCGGAGGGAGCGGCGACCTGACGTTGGCTAGCTATAGGATATAACTCCTCCTCTTGGCTGCTGCCGCTCTGCAGCCTGGGACGCAGGACGACCTTTTGTCCACTGTCGAAGCGAAGGTAAAACTACTCTAAATCACTTTGACCAAATCTCTTCTCTCTCTCGATCTTTCGCCTCGTGCCACGACGGCACTTGGCAATAGTCTCTTTTTTGTTTTTCCTAGACTTTTTTTTCAATTTTAATTACCGTATTTTTCCCACATAAAATGAATAAAAAATTTTCGCATATAATTATACTCTGGTTTTCTCTTTAAACAACCAATCATTATTTCATTTTTATTAATTTTAAGGTTATTTCTCGAAGAAAATAATTCTAGAAATTTTTTGTATAGATTATGATGATTGAAATATAGATTCACTTGTCGGGAAAAATTCTTTTTTGCGAATTGAAAACTGAAATAAAGCTTGAATTTTCATTCCTTTATTATTTATTTACTCTAAATTTTTAGACTGTCTTTTATTTATTTTTATTTATGAATATTCTTTAGAGTTGGTAATTCAAATAATTTGATAAATTTATAATTTTTTACTATTGACGCTATAGAATTATTCTTCAAGGAATACAGTGATATTAAAAAAATGAAAATTGAAACATTCTGTTACTTTAAGTAACGCATTCTTGAAGTGATATTTTTAATAAGAAATTACGGGTTCATTGAACTTTATATTTTCAATTTTGTTTCCAATAATAGACGATAGTTGTACTAAATACGGAGTATTTTTAAATTAATTACGGTTCACCACTAAAGTTTAGGCAAAACTTTTTTCTACTTGTGTTTGTGTATATATACATACAACTGACATCTGTGATTAATTATTATTTTACACCTTCTTACGTATACACAAGAGAGAAGTCATTTTCATATTGCTGCTTTAAATTAGCATAATGAGTTGCTGATTATATTCGGGCATTCAAGAATGAAAATTCCATCATTTACGTGATAAATATGAAAATGGTTTTTTGGCAAACCTTTGTTTACATATTAAAATCTAAAGTGTAGGAATTTTGAAGCTGTTTTTTATATTAATCTTTTTTGTGAATCGTGGCGGGATAAAATGGGTTGTTACTGCAATAGAAATGAGGGTCTAGGCTAGAATTAATAGATGCATCTCCATTGCGATAGGTTGGGGTCCCCCCTTGCACAAAAGCCTATTTTCCTAATGCGAGGGTCTCCGAATTTCTTTTTCCGGGTCCCACTAACCACCAATACCAAAGCGTTCTTTTGAAGGGCGTACCTTCGACAAAATGGCGTTAGTGAATATTTTCATTTACCTTTTTTTGGAAAATTTTTATTTTTTAAGGGGGAAAATAGTTGGAAAAAATAATTTGGAATTTTTTTTTGGATCTTGGATTTCGGAGTCTTAAGAGAATATTTTTTTAATTAGACAATTAAAGAAAATTGAAGAATAAATTTTTTAATTAAGCTGTCTGTGGAGCAAAAATTGGCTGATATTAAAATTATTTATGCTTTAATTAGTAAAAGTTTTTTTTATTAAATTTTTTAAATATTAAGTTGATTTATAATTTGTTTTTTTTTATAGTCAATCAATGCACATTACATTTAATTTTTAAATATTGAACTATAAATTATTTTTATTCGATTCGTTGTTCATATTTACCAAAAAGGTGTTTATTTTATTCAAAAAATGATTATTTTTCTAAACTTCTTTTGAATGAAATAAACATTTGTTTCAAAATATATAGTCAATTTTGTATTTGATTCAATAATTAATTTATATTGACAATTGACTCAACACTCTCCATAAATTAGAATTAGTAAAAATGTTTACTATTAATTTTGACTTTTTCCTTTTAAATTAGTAAATTTTGCTAATAAATTAGTAGAAATTACTATACTTTTTACTAAAATTTACTAATTGAAAAGCAAATGAATAAATTTATAATTAGTAATTTCTGCTAATTTATTAGTAAAATTTACTAAATCAAAAGCAAGAAGTCAGTTACTTAATTAGTAAACATTTTTACCAATTCAAAGTTAGGGAGTGGATTCTTTTCTTAAAATAAATTTTATACAATTTGATACAATTGAAATAATTAAATTTGCTTAACATTTTCGAAATTATAAATAAATTGTCTGATTTTTATAACTGGACCTAGAGAAATATTTGATTTTGCAGTAAATAAAAGATATATATACTCGCATCTCAATAAGAGCCTAGCTCTATACTAACATATTTATTAATGCTCCAAATAAAAATTTTATATATGACACAAATAAAATTGATTTAAACGATCTAAAATTTATTTGAAAGATATAAAGTTTGTTTTTATCGAAATAGAATTTATTTATAAAACGAATAAATATTTTAAGTTTGATAATTAAAATACATTTACACTGAAAAAATATTTATATATGATTCAAATAAACTATTACCTTTGGGTATTTTTATTATCTATTTTTATTATCAAATAAAAATTTTTGTTTTATGCTTTTATGAAATAATTTTTATGTGAATTAAATAATATTTGCTTAAAATACTGAAATTATTGCTTCATGTATATTACAGTTTATTTGAATAAAAATTATTTGATTCAAGTATTTATTCGAACTGATTTTGAAAATAAATGAATGAATTTGGTATAATAGTCATCAAGTATTGGTTATTTAAATCAAATTAATGAATTTTTTTTCAGGAACGTTTCACTGAATTTAATATTTAGAATCTAAGTTTATTTTTGGGAAATTTTTTGTTTTTTCTTCTTATGTTTGGAATAGTTTGTTTTTTATATGTTTTTATTTATTTAATTAATCTTTTTTTAACTTGAATGGTATATTTTGTAACAATATTTATGTGCTTCTGTAAATTACACGTTAAGAGAGTATAGAATTCTTTAACTGGTGACCCTTTCGGGTTTTCAATCGTTTATTTCTCTTTCACTTTATACCCCGAACATTTTGGCACCGCCCTTTACTTACCTATTAGACTTTTTGAATTGTATATATAAGTAAAAAGGGCGGGGCTGTTAGTGAAGGGAGAATAGAGGGTTTTTTTCCGAAAAACAGGATTCTTGCTCCTTGACAAAATAAATGTTGCTTTTTAAGCTTTCACAAATCAGACAAAAACTCTTGGAGAGGTTGCAACAAAATCATTCCATTGTATTTACTTGTGAAAAAAATTTCTAATTTATATTTTTTTCATTAATTATTAATTCAATCCTACAACTAATTAAGTCATAAGATTGGAACTAAACATAATACCCTAAAGGCTAAGATTCAGTAAAAAATGTTTCTAATCTAGGGGCTGTTAGTCCAAAGTAAATATTTATTCGCTTTAAATATGTTTGATTCACTTTGATGATTTATTTGTCAATTAAAGTCATAAATTACTTGAATGAGTTAAATGATTGATCAGCGTTATCAACTTTTGAAATGCAATTATTTGTTCTGTATAAAAATTCGATTATAGTATACAAAAAGCTCAGAATCCGAATTAGTGAAATTTCATATACTTCATAATCATAATGCGTTAATTCATAAATTTGTGAAATTGTGCTGATGATGAATTAGTGGGATTTTACTGGTCTGATTCACACTAATTATATCATTAGTGGTTTATGTTTAATGCTATTTCTATCCCAAAATATGTGCATTAATGAAAAGTCCTATATTTAGAAGAATGTATATAGTATAAATTATAAAGTAAAGAATTTTTACCAAACAATTTATTGGTATTCGAATTTATCATAGACTTCATTTAATTTCTTCATTTAATAAGTTCTGAATGTTATTTTAATTCTACCAAAAT